GACTCACCTGATCCAGCCCTAACTATAAGCTTTATCAAAGAGGAATGTCTTAAGCCTACTCTTGAATGTGGAGAGGGTGTCTGCCTCCCGAACCACAACTGGAAGCTGGTTCCACAGGAGAGGAGCTTGGTAACTGAAGGCTCTGGCTCCTGTTCTACTTTTAGAGACTATAGGAACCACAAGTAGCCCAGCATTCAGAGAACGTAGTGTTCTAGTGGGGTAATAGGGTACTATGAGCTCTTTAAGATATGAAGGGGCCTGACCATGAAGAGCTTTATAGGTGAGGAGGAGGATTTTAAATTCAATTCTACATTTTACAGGGAGCCAATGCAGAGAAGCTAGTACAGGAGAGATGTGATCTCTTTTTCTAGTTTCTGTCAGTACTCGTGCTGCAGCGTTCTGAATTAGTCTCAGCTCCACCTCAGCTCCACCTCATCTCCATCTCAGCTCCATCTCAGCTCCACCTATTGCTGGCTGTTGCTGGCTGTTGCTGAGAATTGCTGGCTGTTGCCGGCTGTTCCTGACTGTTGCTGGCTGTTGCTGAGAATTGCTGGCTGTTGCCGGCTGTTCCTGACTGTTGCTGGCTGTTGCTGAGAATTGCTGGCGGTTGCCGGCTGTTGCTGACTGTTGCTGGCTGTTGCTGAGAATTGCTGGCTGTTGCCGGCTGTTCCTGACTGTTGCCGGCTGTTGCTGACGTTGAGCAGCAGGTTGTTTTCTGTTGATTTCCTCTTGATATGAAGGAGTCATATTCAGTCTGTCTGAGATTAAAGCGAGCATACAATGTGTTTATGTCATCGTCTTATTCATGGTTTTAATTATTTGATGCTGCTTTTATGTTTGTTTCTGTTCTGTAATTTATTTTCATCATCATCATCATCATCATCATCATCATATGTCTGCAGGGACCAGGAGGAAGTGAAACCTCCACCAGGCTCGTAAGTACCTCAGTCAGAACTAAATCTCCCAGAGTGCACCTGTCCTGGGCAAACCTACTTCCTGTTTCTCAAACTAGCAACCTCATTAAAGTACTTCCTGTTTCCCAAACTGGCCCATAGTGAATCCACTTCCTGTCAGCTGACTCTGTGTGTTACCTGGACAGGTGGAATCCATTGTCGGGGTTCACTCAGTTGGTCAATAATGTTGCAGCCAACATGTCTGAAGTTCTGCAGGTTAAAAGTCCGATTGACGAGGCGTCGCAGACGTGAGTAAGAAACTTGAGAAAAGACAAATATAATTAGTAAAGTCCTCTTCGTCAGGTCCAGGTCCTGGTCCGGGTCCAGGTCCTGGTCCAGGTCCGGGTCCATGTCCGGGTCCAGGTCCAGGTCCAAGTCCGGGTCCAGGTCCTGGTCCACCTCACCATGAACCTTGTTTTTGTTTGTTTTTATCACTGTTGGTCCTTTGAACCAGTGCTGTCACTTCACTGACTTTAACCAACAAACAGAACCACATTCACTGTCCGCCATTTTATCTGCGTGTCGGAACTCTGAATGTGTGGAGACATCACCGGAGGTCACATGGGCTGTCAGCTAACTCAACCCAACCTGATTTGACTGTCTTGGTGATGTCATCCTGCCAAGTGGGAAGAAAACAGAACAACTGGACACAAACAGAAGTTATCTAAGGACACTGTCCAGACCGTAGTCCCTATAAAGAGACAAGTGGACAAAGACAATCGGGACAGCAACATTGCAGCAGGAAGTTACTGCTGATGTCACACTCGTTACCACAAACAAGTTTCCTGCCACATGACCGTAACCTGAGTAACGCCTCCCTCTTTGACTTCTGACCTCTTCACAGGAAGTTACATCAGCAGTTTGAGATGTATAAGGACCAGGTGAAGAAGCTGGGGGAGGAGCCTCAGGTGGCTCAGACGGCGAAGGCGGAGTCTCCTACCTGCGGCGTCTGTCGCAAGACAAAGTTTGCTGACGGCTGCGGCCACGCCTGCTGTTACTGTCAGAGCCGCTTCTGTGCCCGTTGTGGGGGGCGTGTCTCTCTGAGAGCCAATAAGGTGGGTGGCTTTCAGTTATTTAATGATGATTTTACTGACTTTATTGATTATGGGGGAATTATTGGTGTTATAAGGCGATTGAGGAGCCGCTGATTGGCTGCTTTAGTTAGACACTTTATGTATTTTATTTTATTATTTGCACACAATAAATGTTTGTGTAACAATGGAATTTAAAGGAAATAGGCAGGAGAGGTTTGAAGCCTAAATGGCTCATTAATAGACCTCCACTTTATAAATATAATCATAAACTTTAAAAAGTGGGGTCTATAATTTCAGCAGCTGAATACAATATTAACAGAAGGTGGTCAAAAATAAAGATACTGTTGATACTGACTGTAGGGATGGAGGCAGATTGAGAGAGACTGCCTCCATCCAAGAGACGGCCCCCTGTATTTCACTGAATATTGATTATGGGAGTCCCACAATATGGAAAATAGAAGTCCTTCCACTGTTTTGTAGAATATAAGTGAACAGACAAGTTCAATCTGATGTTTCTGTTTATTTATGGGGAGTTTTCACTAGATGGGGCCACACGTTCACCAGCATTTCACTTTACAGACAAAAATCAGCCAATGAGGCAACAGAACTCATCTGATTACATCAATATATAATATTATATCAGGATCATTAATATATATATTTTATCAGGATCATCAATATATATATTAATTCAGGATCATTAATATGTATATCGAGGCAGACAACCACCCACCTAGAGCCGAAGGATCTGTTCTAGGTGTCTGCCTCTTAACAGGCAGTTTTTCCTTGCCGCTGTCTCCAAGGTCTTGCTCATGGAGGTACTGTTGGGGCTCTGTAAATAATGTTATAAGGAGTTCGGTCTAGACCTGCTCTATTTGAAAAGTGTCCTGAGATAACTTATGTTATGAATTGGATTGGAAAATTGAATTGAATTGAATTGAATTGAAATATCAGGATCATAAATATTTATTATATCAGAATCATCAATATATTATATTATATCAGGATCATCAATATATATCAGCATAATCAATATATACTATATCAGGATCATCAATATATATATTATATCAGGCTCATCAATATATAATATTATATCAGGCTCATCAATATATATTATATCAGGATTATTAATATATATATTATATCAGCATAATCAATATATAATATTATATCAGGCTCATCAATATATATTATATCAGGATTATTAATATATATATTATATCAGGATCATCAATATATATATTATATCAGGATCATTAATATATATATTATATCAGCATAATCAATATATAATATTATATCAGGCTCATCAATATATATTATTACAGGATCATCAATATATATGTCAGGATCATTAATATATATATTATATCAGCATAATCAATATATAGTATTATATCAGGATCATCAATATATATATTATATCAGGATCATTAATATATATATTATATCAGCATAATCAATATATAATATTATATCAGGATCATCAATACATATATTATATCAGGATCATCAATATATATTATATTATATAAGGATAATCAATATATTATATTATATCAGGATCTCAGGTTATTGTCAGATTATTGATCAGTAATATTAGTATTGATAATCAGATTATTGATCAGTAATATCTGTGTTGATAATCAGATTTTTGATCAGTAATATCAGTGTTGATAATCAGATTATTGATCAGTAATATCTGTGTTGATAATCAGATTTTCGATCAGTAATATCTGTGTTGATAATCAGATTATTGATCAGTAATGACTGTGTTGATAATCAGATTATTGATCAGTAATGACTGTGTTTCAGGTCATGTGGGTGTGTAACGTCTGCAGGAAGAAGCAGGAGATTCTGACCCGCTCGGGGGAGTTTTACTCCAACACCTTACTGCTGTCGGTCAACCATGGGGTTCCATACCTGCCAACGCAGGGGCTGTCGGGGCCCACAGAGCTCATAGAGCTTCTGAGCAATGGAGCAACTGAGTGGTCAGTAGAACCCGATAGAACGTTCTTACTGGGTTTATGTTCCAGAGCTTTGAGCCACATTGCATGGTCTTGATCAGCAGTTGTCATGGAAATGTGACATGAAAGGTTGTTGGTTGAAAGTTTCGTAAGTAAGTTGGAGTTTTATTTTCTGTGTGCCGTTCAGAGTCGACAGAAAGACTAGTTTTCTGCAGAGAAACAAACAATGGGTCCTGGTCCTGATGGTCCTGATGGTCCTGATGGTCCTGGTCCTGATGGCCAACCAGTTTTGTATCTGCTGAATCCTGTATGATTAAACCTCCTAAAGTCATTAAAGTCAGACTGTTAATTAGATTAAATTAGTTTTGTTTGTTGTTAATTACTGTCTGTCTGTGTGGAGTCCCCCCACCACCCCCCCACCCCCCCTCCACCACCCCCTGATGTAATCAGATTAACAGATTAATAATCCTGCAGCCAGAGAGGATTACTGCTAAATACAGCATCACGCTAACACACACAGGCTAACAATGCGTGCTAACGCATATACGCTAACAATACTGGCTAATACACACAGACCAACACAGGCTAACAGCACGCAGGATAACATATATGGGGGGGGCAGTGATGTCATGGAGGGGGAGGGGTTTGAGCCAGAGTGGGCGGAGTTTAGTTATGATCCAGATTCCAGTTATAAATCTGCTGTGTGTGTGTGTGTGTGTGTGTGTCGTTGTGAAGCTTCAAACAGCCGACAGACAAACTGTAAGAAACTCTTCATATTATATTAATAATTATATTATCAGTTTGTTTATTTATTGATTATCAGTTTGTTTATTCATTGATTATCAGTTTGCTTATTCATTGATAATCAGTTTGTTTATTCATTGATAATCAGTTTGTTTATTGTGGTGATGCTGCACAGGCTCATGTCTCTGAAGGAACATTTAGTCAACCTGAAACAAACTGTGATCAATAAATTAATGATGTATATCAAGTATATCAAGTCAACCTTACAGTGATATCAATAATCATAATAATGTAATGTGTTCTGCTAAAGTACTCTAAGTACAAGTTACTTTTTAATATTTTTAAGGGTGTGATTACTACAGTAATTATTAAAGTAACGATAACAGCTAACACACACAGGCTAACACACACAGTTACTAATGTGGAGCTGAAGGTTCTGTAGAACCAGGTTTCTGCCTTTAATGTGGACTCCTTCCTCTCCACTCTGATTGGTCCATTCTGTGTGATTGACAGGAAGCCCAGCCCCTCGGGGTCGTATTACGATGGTGGGGGAGGGAGGATGCCTCACTCACCCTCTGATCACGGTCTGGACCGCCGTGCTCGCTCACCACACGGTTGGCATGGTAACGGTGAGGAGGAGCTGCGGGGCAGAAGGCGACCAATCAGAGACGGACGAGGTCGCTGGCACTCACAGGTGAGTCTGATAGGACATTAATACATTTTTATTGTACTGCCTGTATTTTCATCAGAATGTTGTTCTGACTGCAGTCTGTAGGGGGCGCTAACTGGAGTTTACTCTGATCTTTGTGTCCTTTCCTGGTTCAGGACTACCCTCTGGACCAGGTTCAGGATGAGCGCGAGCGACAGCGGCGGCAGGAGGAGGAGTTTCAGGCTCGTTACCGTAGTGACCCGAACCTGGCTCGTTACCCAGTAAAGCCGCAGCCGAGCGAGGAGGCTATGAGGATGTTGGCTCAGGTTGGCAGGGTCCGCCACCAACGCCGCCACAGCGACGTCTCCCTGGCAACCGCTGAGCCCGACCAACTGACTCTGAGACATACAGGTACAAAGGGATTAGAACCACCAACCTGTTAGTGCCTTGCTTTATTACAGAGAATAGAACCATCAACCTGCCTTGCTTGAGGGCACTCAGTCTGACTTGCTGTTTTACTCTCAGCTGTCCGTCAGAATCGGGTTCAGGGATTGGTCGGATCTGGAGGTCAGAGGTCGTTCTCTGTGGACCAGGTAGTCAATCATGTCAGCCCCACGTCTCCGCGCCGCAGCCCGTTACCTCAGCAACACCTGGACCCAAGCTCCGCCCTCAAGAGGAAGCCAGCCTATGAGAGTGCAGCACAGAGGGCGCGGCGGATGACCAAGATGCATGTGATTGGTAGCTTCAGCAGCTCGGAGGAGGAGCTAGCGACCACACCTGACTACACCAGCTGTGACGAGCCCGACAGTGAGTTGTTACATGCTAATGTTAGCTACATGTCATAATAAATGAGAGAGTATGTAGAGGGATTAGGATAGGATGAGGTTAGCAGGGGAGGCTAATGTGATTCATTAAAGACAATGTTAAAGGTTCTGAAGGTTCTAAGTTCTAGAGTCTGTTTGAGAGGAAACAGGAAGAAAGTGACAGTGAGAGAGAGACACTGACTTTGTGTACTCTCTTTCTGACAGTAATTAGCTCAGTGTGATAATCTTCTTAAAGATAAACTGTGTGTTCCACACTGAACACCTCCTCTAGGACACAGCACAGGGTTCCTGCTAGAACACTGAAAACCAAACACACTCACAGCTCTGTTGGGTTCTGCTTTTACAGGGCTCATCTATGGTTCTGTAGGGTTCCATCTTTCATGTTCTGGATGGTTCTAATAGTGGTTTCTTTGCTCTTCCCTGGGGTGCTGTCACTGTTTTATTGGGTTCCACATCCACTTTATGTTTCTCTATTCTCTAGGGTTCTCCTTAAATTCTGTGGGTTTCTTCGGCTGTCACATCAAGCTCCACTACCATTCCAAAAGATTCAGCTCATGGTCTACATGGTTCTCAATCTCTCGTTGATAGGGTTCCTTCGATGTTCCCTCAGGTTCTCCTCTTCTCCTCTGCCCATAAGGTTCTCATACTGCCGTAGGGTTCCACTACAGATCAATAAAGTTCTGTTTCTGTTCTATGTGACTCTTCTGCATTGCAGGGTGCTTTTCAGGGTGCAGTTATGCTCTGTAGCATGGTTCTGTTCCTGAGTGTTCTGTCACTGTTGCTGAACATGTTGCAGTTGAATGTGTTGCAGTTGCTGAATGTGTTGCAGTTGAATGTGTTGCAGTTGCTGAACATGTTGCAGTTGAATGTGTTGCAGTTGAACATGTTGCAGTTGAATGTGTTGCAGTTGCTGAATGTGTTGCAGTTGAACATGTTGCAGTTGAATGTGTTGCAGTTGCTGAATGTGTTGGTTGAATGTGTTGCAGTTGAATGTGTTGCAGTTGCTGAATGTGTTGCAGTTGAACGTGTTGCAGTTGAATGTGTTGCAGTTGCTGAACGTGTTGCAGTTGCTGAACATGTTGCAGTTGAATGTGTTGCAGTTGCTGAACATGTTGCAGTTGAATGTGTTGCAGTTGCTGAATGTGTTGCAGTTGAACGTGTTGCAGTTGAATGTGTTGCAGTTGCTGAACGTGTTGCAGTTGCTGAACATGTTGCAGTTGAATGTGTTGCAGTTGCTGAACATGTTGCAGTTGAATGTGTTGCAGTTGCTGAATGTGTTGCAGTTGAATGTGTTGCAGTTGCTGAACATGTTGCAGTTGAATGTGGAATGGTTGCAGTTGCTGAACATGTTGCAGTTGAATGGGCTGTTTACATGCTATGTTGCTGTTTAATGAGAGGTATGTAGGGGTTGGTGGATGGGTTGCGGGGAGGCTAATGTGTTGCAGTTAAAGATGTTAAATTGAGTGGGAACTGACTTGTGTACCCTTCTGACAGTAGTTAGTCAGTGTGTAATTTCTTAAAGATAAACTGTGTGTTCACGCTGAACACCTCCTCTAGGCACAGACAGGGTCTGCTAGACTTGAATATGTTGCAGTTGAATGTGTTGCAGTTGAATGTGTTGCAGTTGCTGAAAGTTGAATGTGTTGCGTTGGTGTTGCAGTTGCTGAACATGTTGCAGTTGAATGTGTTGCAGTTGCTGAATGTGTTGCAGTTGAACGTGTTGCAGTTGAATGTGTTGCAGTTGCTGAATGTGTTGAGTTGCTGAACGTGTTGCAGTTGAATGTGTTGCAGTTGTGTTGCAGTTGAATGTGTTGCAGTTGCTGAATGTGTTGCAGTTGAATGTGTTGCAGTTGAATGTGTTGCAGTTGCTGAATGTGTTGCAGTTGAATGTGTTGCAGTTGAACATGTTGCAGTTGAATGTGTTGCAGTTGCTGAATGTGTTGCAGTTGAATGTGTTGCAGTTGTGAATGTGTTGCAGTTGCTGAACATGTTGCAGTTGAATGTGCTGAACGTGTTGCAGTTGAATGGGTTGCGAGATGTTGCAGTTGAATGTGTTGAGTTGTGAACGTGTTGCAGTTGAATGTGTTGAGTTGAATTTGGTTGAATGTGTTGATGTTGTGAATGTGTTGCAGTTGTGTGTTGCAGTTGAACGTGTTGCAGTTGAATGTGTTGCAGTTGAATGTTTTGTTGCAGTTGAATGTGTTGCAGTGTGAATGTGTTCAGTTAATGTGTTGAGTTGATGTTGATTGAAGTGTTAGTTTGAATGTGTTGCAGTTGAACGTGTTGCAGTTGAATGTGTTGCAGTGCTGAATGTGTTGCAGTTGAATGTTTTGTTGCAGTTGAATGTGTTGCAGTTCTGAATGTGTTGCAGTTGAATGTGTTGCAGTTGATTTGCAGTTGAACGTGTTGCAGTTGAATGTGTTGCAGTTGCTGAATGTTGCAGTTGAATGTGTTGCAGTTGAATGTGTTGAGTTGCTGAACATGTTGCAGTTGAATGTGTTGCAGTTGCTGTGTTGATTGTGTTGCAGTTGAATTGTGTTGCAGTTGAAGTGTTGCAGTGCTGAATGTGTTGCAGTTGAACGTGTTGCAGTTGAATGTGTTGCAGTTGCTGAATGTGTTAGTTGAATGTGTTGCAGTTGAACGTGTTGCAGTTGAATGTGTTGCAGTTGCTGAATGTGTTGCAGTTGAACATGTTGCAGTTGAATGTGTTGCAGTTGCTGAATGTGTTTCAGTTGAATGTGTTGAGTTGAACGTGTTGCAGTTGAATGTGTTGCAGTATGTTGCAGTTGAATGTGTTGCAGTTGAAATTTGTGAATGTGTTGCAGTTGAATGTGTTGCAGTTGATGTGAGTGCAGTGTGAACGTGTTGCAGTTGAATGTGTTGCAGTGTGAATGTGTTGCAGTTGAATGTGTTGCAGTTGAATGTGTTGCAGTTGAACGTGTTGCAGTTGAATGTGTTGCAGTTGAATGTGTTGCATGTTGATGTGTTGCAGTTGAATGTTTAGTTGTGAATGTGTTGCAGTTGCTGAATGTGTTGCAGTTGACATGTTAGTTGAATGTGTTGCAGTTGTGAATGTGTTAGTTGAATAGTGTTGCAGTTGAATGTGTTGCAGTTGCTGATGAATGTGTTGAGTTGTGAACATGTTGCAGTTGAATGTAGTTGTGAGTGTTGGTGATGTGTTGGTGAACATGTTGCAGTTGAATGTGTTGCAGTTGCTGAATGTGTTGCAGTTGAGTGTTGCAGTTGAATGTGTTGCAGTTGAATGTGTTGCAGTTGCTGAACGTGTTGCAGTTGCTGAACATGTTGCAGTTGAATGTGTTGCAGTTGCTGAATGTGTTGCAGTTGAACGTGTTGCAGTTGAATGTGTTGCAGTTGCTGAATGTGTTGCAGTTGAACATGTTGCAGTTGAACGTGTTGCAGTTGCTGAATGTGTTTCAGTTGAATGTGTTGCAGTTGAACGTGTTGCAGTTGAATGTGTTGCAGTTGCTGAATGTGTTGCAGTTGAACATGTTGCAGTTGAATGTGTTGCAGTTGCTGAATGTGTTTCAGTTGAATGTGTTGCAGTTGAATGTGTTGCAGTTGAACACGTTGCAGTTGAATGTGTTGCAGTTGCTGAATGTGTTGCAGTTGAACGTGTTGCAGTTGAATGTGTTGCAGTTGCTGAACGTGTTGCAGTTGCTGAACATGTTGCAGTTGAATGTGTTGCAGTTGCTGAATGTGTTGCAGTTGAACGTGTTGCAGTTGAATGTGTTGCAGTTGCTGAACATGTTGCAGTTGAATGTGTTGCAGTTGCTGAATGTGTTGCAGTTGAATGTGTTGCAGTTGCTGAACGTGTTGCAGTTGCTGAACATGTTGCAGTTGAATGTGTTGCAGTTGCTGAATGTGTTGCAGTTGAACGTGTTGCAGTTGAATGTGTTGCAGTTGCTGAATGTGTTGCAGTTGAACATGCTGCAGTTGAATGTGTTGCAGTTGCTGAATGTGTTTCAGTTGAATGTGTTGCAGTTGAACGTGTTGCAGTTGAATGTGTTGCAGTTGCTGAATGTGTTGCAGTTGAACATGTTGCAGTTGAATGTGTTGCAGTTGCTGAATGTGTTGCAGTTGAACGTGTTGCAGTTGAATGTGTTGCAGTTGCTGAATGTGTTGCAGTTGAATGTGTTGCAGTTGAATGTGTTGCAGTTGAACGTGTTGCAGTTGAATGTGTTGCAGTTGCTGAATGTGTTGCAGTTGAATGTGTTGCAGTTGCTGAACATGTTGCAGTTGAATGTGTTGCAGTTGCTGAATGTGTTGCAGTTGAACGTGTTGCAGTTGCTGAACGTGTTGCAGTTGCTGAAGTGTTCAGTTGAATGTGTTGCAGTTGCTGAAATTGTTGATTGTGTTGCAGTTGCTGAATGTGTTGTCGTTGAGCATGTTGCAGTTGCTGAACATGTTGCATTTGCTGAATGTGTTGCAGCTGCTGAACTTGTTGCAGTTGGTGAATGTGTTGCAGTTGAATGTGTTGCAGTTGCTGAATGTGTTGCAGTTGAACGTGTTGCAGTTGAAAGTGTTGCAGTTGCTGAATGTGTTGCAGATGAATGTGTTGCAGTTGCTGAACATGTTGCAGTTGAATGTGTTGCAGTTGAATGTGTTGCAGTTGCTGAATGTGTTGCAGTTGCTGAACGTGTTGCAGTTGAACGTGTTGCAGTTGCTGAATGTGTTGCAGTTGCTGAACGTGTTGCAGTTGAACGTGTTGCAGTTGCTGAATGTGTTGCAGTTGCTGAACGTGTTGTAGTTGAACGTGTTGCAGTTAAAAGTGTTGCAGTTGCTGAATGTGTTGCAGTTGAGCATGTTGCAGTTGAACGTGTTGCAGTTGAAAGTGTTGCAGTTGCTTAATGTGTTGCAGTTGCTGAACGTGTTGCAGTTGTTGAACATGTTGCAGTTGTTGAACATGCTGAAGTTGCTGGAGGTTGTCTCTCGGGAAGTCAGGCATCATGCTGACAAGTTAATCTGCTGGCTGCTTGTCATTGGGTCAGAAATCACCTGGTCAGAGATCATGAGCTCTGATTGGCTCAGAGGGTTCTTGGCTCCTCCTCTCAGGTCTGAAGGTTGACAGAGCAGCTCAGAGTCTCTGCTGCTGCCATCCTGAAAACACCCGGAGACTTACAAGTACCAGGGAAACATTTTACAGACCTTCAAACCTGACTGGCCCGGTGACCCCTGGAGGCTCCTGACAAACCAGTCTGATAATCAGATCCAGGTTAGAACAGGACTGCACCTTCTGCACTGAATCACTCCACTGTTCAATTGGATTAAATGAGGAGAGTGTGGATTACCCAGCCTGCCTCAGGAGTCACTGTGGAGGCAAGAATAGACACAGAGAATGCAGGAGGCACCGCAACTGTTTAACACAATGCATCACCGCAACTGCTGGATCCTCTGCCTGCAGGAGGTCTGGTGATTTCCTGGTAAACTCCTGGATTTCTTGGTTTTGCTGCATTTCGGCGCTCTCATCTGGGGGAAAGCTTGGAGGAGGAGGGGGACGGGATCAAGGCTGCAATGTTGTAAACGACTCAGCAACCCCCACCAGCATCCAGTGACCAACCAGATCACTGTTAGACCGCCAAACTAACTGTTTGCAGCTGAGGCTGACAACAGGACAATAACAGATTAACAGGGTAACAACAGGCTAATAACAGGGTAACAGGCTAATAACAGTGTAACAACAGGCTAATAACAGTGTAACAACAGGCTAATAACAGTGTAACAACAGGCTAATAACAGGGTAGCAACAGGCTTATAACTGGGTAACAACAGGCTAATAATGGGCTAACAACAACCTTATAATAGAGTAAAAACAGGCAATCAACAGAATAATAAGTAATAGGTTAACTGCCAGCAGGGTCTGCAGTAAGAAGAACGCTAACTCTCCACAAGCTTATAACAGGCTAACACTGTGCTAACATCAGGCTAACAGTGAGAGAGGAAGATGGTTTCAGTGTTTAGTTAATCTCATTACAGACAGGCATGAACTGCTCTGCAGCCTACAGGCAGAGCTCAGGGCAGCAAACACCCACAGAAACAGTGAGGAGGAGGAGAGAGCTGCAGGATCACCCCCTCCTCTTCATCTTCCTCCCTTTCCTCTGCTGAATTCTCCTCCTCCTCCTCCTCCTCCTCCTCCTCCTCCTTCTTCTTCTTCTTCATCTTCTTCATCATGGTGTTCAGACAGACCTGTGAGTACAACAGTGTGTGTGTGTGTGTGTGTGTGTGTGTGTGTGTGTTCAACAAACGACAACATGCAGAACAATGACAACCTTTCAGATCTTTTATTGTTTGTCCTAAAATATGTTTCTGCATTTCTACACAAAACTAAACTAACTAAAATCACAAAAAGAACAGATTTTATTTTGGGTTCTCTGGTTGTTCTTCCTGTCCAGGGTTCTGTGGTTGTTCTTCCTGTTCAGAGTTCTGCTGTTGTTCTTTCTGTCCTGGGTTCTCTGGTTGTTCTTCCTGTCCAGTTCTCTGGTTGTTTTTCCTGTTCTGGGTTATCTGATTGTTCTGTTGTTGTCGTTTTTTTTTTTTTTTTTTTTTTTTTTTTCAGCTGGTCGAGACAGACGCCCCCACTAGAGCCGGAGGATCTGTCTAGGTTTTGCTTTTAACAGGCAGTTTTCTGCCCTTGTGCAGTGCTTGCTCATGGTGGTCTGTTGGGTCTCTGTAATTAATGTTAAGAGTTGGTCTAGACCTGCTCTATTTGAAAGTGTCCTGAGATAACTTCTGTTATGATTGGCGCTATACAAATAAAATTGAATTGAATTGAATTGATTGAATTGAAAATTGTTCTTCCTGTCCAGGGTTCTCTGGTTGTTCTTCCTGTCCAGGGTTCTCTGGTTGTTCTTCCTGTTCAGGGTTCTCTGGTTATTCTTCCTGTTCAGGGTTCTCTGGTTGTTCTTCCTGTCCAGGGTTCTCTGGTTGTTCTTCCTGTCCAGGGTTACATTTTTCAATTCAATTCAATTTTATTTGTATAGCGCCAATTCATAACAGTTATCTCAGGATACTTTTCAAATAGAGCAGGTCTAGACCGAACTCCTTATAACATTATTTACAGAGACCCAACAGTACCACCATGAGCAAGACCTTGGAGACAAGGGCAAGGAAAAACTGCCTGTTAAGAGGCAGAAACCTAGGACAGATCCTTCGGCTCTAGGTGGGTGGTCGTCTGTCTCGACCAGTTGGGGTGAGAGAGAGAGAGACAGAGAGACAGAGACAGAGACAGAGAGAGAGGGTTCTCTGGTTGTTCTTCCCGTTCAGGGTTCTGCTGTTGTTCTTTCTGTCCAGGGTTCTCTGGTTGTTCTTCCTGTCCAGGTTTCTGATGTTGTTCCTTCTGTCTAGAGTTCTGCTGATGTTCTTGCCGTCCAGGGTTCTGCTGTTGTTCTTCCTGTCCAGGGTTCTGCTGTTGTTCCTCCTGTTCAGGGTTGTCTGGTCGTTCTTCCTGTTCAGGGTTCTGCTGTTGTTCCTTTTATCCAAGGTTCTGCTGCTGTTCCTTCTGTCCAGGGTTCTCTGGTTGTTCTTCCTGTTGTTCTTCCTGTCCAGGGTTCTACTGTTGTTCCTCCTGTTCAGGGTTCTCTGGTTGTTAATGAAAGTTCTCACTGTGAAATAAGTTTCTACTTTGAAACTACATTCATCAGTGTTTGACCTCTGACCTGTCTTTTCTCCTGGTTGCTAGGAGACATGGACGGCCAATGGTGGGATCATGGTTCCTGGCACGGCGAGCCTGCACCCATGTCTATGGTATGAGCAAAAAAAGAAACTTCCAATCGAACAAGTCACCGTAAATAAAAGAAACTGTGGGTCGTAATGTTGAAATGAAGTGACCATCAGCATCCCGAGGAGTTGCTGAACGTGTACATGTGTCATTTGTGTGGATAAAGTTAAAACGCCAAATGTCTGTTTGATTCGAGAGTTACATCTGTACAACCAGCACACATCCTCCTATGTTTTGGTTACAAATTATGACTGCAGATGGAAATTTGTGGGAATGAGAGCTGAAGTTGAAGAGAAATGTTATCGTTAGAGAGTAGAGAAAACCCTTTCCAGAAGCCTACAATTAATATTAATATAGAGAGCAGCTGTCAGTTGAGCTCAAACAGCAGAACTTTAATTATAAAATCTGTCAGTTGACAATTTGGATTGTAATAAAATACATAAAATATTAAATAAGAACTCATATTTTATTAATAATGTAATTAATAAAGTAAGGTGGAGTGAGGATGCAGTCAGCGGTGTGAGTAGGCTCGTTGGAGATGAACTGCGTCTGGAAAGTGGACGAGATCAGTAGTTTTTAGACCACGTTTAGATCTATAAATAAACTTTATTATTATCTGTTTGTAACAGATTAAACCTTCATTGTACAACATGACACACAAACAGCTACAGTCTACAGTTAAATATTAGAATCACACAGAAAATCAGGAAAACGTGATGTTTGTGTTCAAAACTGAGAGCCAATCAGCTCTTTGATCAGGAGCCAGGAGTTTTCCATCGTGCTCTGGGTTTTGCAGTCGGTGGAGAGCAGCTGCGGAGCCTGTTCTCATTTGATCTTGAGAGGTTATCGTTATCAAAGGCTGTCCGGCCCTTGGCCCCTCCCAACTCTCAGGTACCCACCAATCAGCAGCCTGCAGTTCCTCTAATGTCCACTAGAGGCTCCAGCAGTGAGTCAGTCTCCATAAGGCTCCATATTCAAACTTTCCCCTTTACATGCGGTTAAAGATTAAAGTTAGCAGAATTAAGGGCGTGGCTGCTTTGAGTGACAGGTGGGTGTTTTCAGTATATCCTCTGAACCATAGCAACCATATGTTTTTACCATCAGCAACCAGTCACATGGCAACCGTCCAAGGATGGAGAGCGTCTGATTGGTCGAATTCTGCTGAATAAGAGGATGAAGGATGGAACAGTTCCTGCGGATACGGGAGCGCTGCTGGGACTCAAGGTGACGCTCTTCTTCTTCTTCTTCTTCTCCTCCTTCTCCTCCTCTTCCTTCTCCTCCTCCTCTCTGTGCTGATGGGCATTGTGTTTTCAGGTTGTTGGGGGAAAGATGACGGAATCCGGTCGTCTGTGTGCATTCATCACTAAAGTGAAGAGAGGAAGTCTGGCTGACACTGTGGGACACCTGAGACCAGGTAAACAAACACACCTGAGACCAGGTAAACAAACACACCTGAGACCAGGTAAACAGACACACCTGAGACAGTGGATAAAATGAAATATCGTAAATAATAGAAGCTGTACAGTACATATAATATAAACATTGATCTCACATAATATTCTAGTTATTGTGGTAGAGGGTTTTTATGGCCCAGCCTCTACAGTCAGTAAAGGGTTGACCCGTTTTATGGAGCTGCTCAGTGGTACCTGTGAGATAATGCCGAGTTTTTACAGTTTGAGGATGTTTTATGATGTCTTTGATTAACAAGGTTGTGCCTATTTCCAGTTCAATAGTATTAATCTTGGAGCTAAAAGGTTTATGAACCTGACCACGGTCAAGGTGTCCTTCTCCAGCACCCCAAACACAGCCATCACCGGGTCCTCCCAAGCGATTTCAGAAAATCTATGGATATATTTAGACATATAGTTATAGATGTATGATATTACGGCACCCAAAATGCTGTCTTATTTGAGTCCAGAATTTAAGGGACGGTTTTATCACACAGTTGGGGTTAGTAAATTCCAGGAAGGGAAGAGAATGAGAGTGCACCAGGAGGACAAGAGACCTGCTCAGTCTGCAACCAGGCAGGTTGATCATAACTTCAGTCTTTGTGCTAAGCTGACTTATGTTCCAGAAAGTTCAAATTATATACTGTTCTGTTTGATATTGTCCCCATTAGATGTTAGAACACAGATGTTCTCACAGATTCAGTCTCTTCCCTCAGGTGATCAGGTTCTGGAGTGGAACGGTCGGGTTCTCCAGGGAGCCACGTTCAATGAGGTTTACAACATCATCCTGGAGTCCAAACCAGAACCCCAGGTGGAGCTGGTGGTGTGCCGCCCGATCGGGTAGACATACATATATTATAGATGTATTGATCTTTACATTGATTAAAGTTACAAGCTTTTGATCCACAGAGAACCTGAAGTTCTGTTAGAACATTCTGTTGATTGTTTTTTGTAAATTTTGTTCCTCAGAGATGTTTCCAGAGTGGCAGACAGTACCCACGTCCAACTGGACTCCAGTGAGTTCCTTACACAACAAAACCACCACAGAGAGACAATCTGAATGTAGGAGGGCTCTGTCCAGGACTTTGTTTTCTCTGTCCACACTGTCCACACTGACGGTTCCAGTGTGACAGGAAGTAGAACCCTGTTTGTTATAAATGACGTGTTCTCTACGTTCTGTGTTCAGGTTCCAGTTCCTTCGACTCTCAGAAAGTCGGTCCGTCCATTTCCGTCACGTCCCCCATGAGCCCTACCGTTCTGTCTGGACAGGTCTCTGTAAGTTCACCCAGCATGCACTGCACTGCCACACCCCAAAGCCAATCAGTCAGTAACCGCTGTTTCCATGGTGATGTGTGTGTGTGTTTCAGACTGTTAACAGGCGTCCTCTGGTTCCCAGAATCCAGGTAACTGTAGACGTAGAGAGGAGTGAGACATCTGTTGGTTCCACCCATATTTGTTTGGTTGTTTGTAGTTTCTAGTTCCCGGTTGCCCTTCCCACCAGCTGTTCCCACACAACCAGTAACATAGTGGAGTACAAGTATAAAGTAGAACAGGATTCTCCTTCTGTTCCACAGAGCTCTGCTGCTCTTTTGGGCACATCTATTCTTGTTGTTCTTCTGGTTCTGAGAGGTTGCTGTTCAATTCAGTTTTATTTGTAAAGAATTCATAGCAGTCATTATCTCAGGAAACTTTTCAAAGAGATATATAACATTATTTACAGAGACCCAACAGTTCCTACCATGAGCAAGACCTTGATGACAGCGGCAAGGAAAAACTTCCTTTTAAGAGGCAGAAACCTTGGACAGACCCTGAGAGAGAGGGGAGTGAGGGGAAGAGAGAGAAAGACAGCGAGAGACAGAGAGACATAGAGAGAGACAGAGATTTTTTATTTTTTATTTTCAAAACCTCTTTATTTGCTTAACACAATCTGTAAATACAATAACATTGCATTTTCAAAACGAAAATATAAAGTTAATAAGATGAAAATGAATGAATAGATAAACAACAACAAAACATAAATTAACTCAAAACAAGTCCAAATATCAACTCATTCTTTACAACAGAACATAAAACATTGTTAAGGCTCCATATGTTTGAGAACTCTTCCACATTATTTGTGGTTCTGTAAAAACTGAAGTCGACATGTAATCTGGCCTTCACCATTCTAAGAAACAACGTAGGTGCATCAACATCTAAAGAATTTTCCAACTTATTCCTTCTACTGAGGTAGATCGCCATTTTAGCTTGGCCCAAAATAAAGTTCAACAACTGACATTTCAGTCTCCTCTTCTGTGAGTAAGTAGAACCTAAAATGAACATTTCCATAGAAAAAGTGTCTCTGAGCATCCTGAACATTCAGTGCAACAGCTGAAACAAGGAGTCCAGCCTGCCACAGTCCATGAAGCAGTGAAACACCGTCTCTCTCTGCAAGCAGAAAGGACACTTCTCACTTACATTTGGGTTGATCACAGAAACAAAAGCATTCACAACTACAATCCCGTGAAGAATTCTCCACTGCAGATCTCCAACCCTTTTAGTTAATGGTGGTTTATAGAGTACTCTCCACGCAGGTCTGACCTCACCATTAAGCCCTAGATGAGCTCTCCAAGGGGTGTCAGTTCGACCGCTGAGCTTGTCCTTGTTGAACCAACAGTTTGTACATAGTTTTTCCTGTCATAACATTTAACCTGTTAGGTGGAGTGTTGCTGGACTCCAGCAGTCGACCAGTGCAGTCTTTAAAATCAGGAACAAGTGTCAGTGCAGGGAAGGGATCATCGATGTTTGGCTGACTGTGTCCGTTACAGTGAGCTGTTAACAAGGAGAGTTCAGCCCGTGTCAGCTCACACCTCCAGGCGTTGAGCACTTGGGTTATGAACCTGACAGACCTGACTCCCACACAGGAGGCCAGAGCTGCAGCGTTGATCAGTCGTGGTCCGCATAGTTACACCATGTGTCCCAGGGTGATGACCCTCGCCGAGCGAAGCAGCTGCAGCACAGAAGGTCCTGCTGTGCACTCTACGTTGAAGCGGGTCCCATGCACCACTGGCTCTTTCAAAAGCCAAAACAAGGAAACACAGACTCTGCTTGTTGAACAACCCCCACACAGTAAACAGTCCATTATAAAACTTTGGAAGGTTGCACAGTTTGTGAGCACTCAGGTCCATCAGAAACGGAGAGTCAGTGAGATCAAAACCTCCGGGCTGGAGGTTGGTCTCAGTATGGCTCGGGCTATGGGCCTCCAGATGAGGTCTGCTGGACCGGCGAGTAGCCTCTGGATGAACCGGTACCTTAAAAGGAGTGCTTAACCCACCGTTAATCTTTAGTACACTCTTAATGTCACTGTACAAGACCTGGATCTTGGCTATGAGACCAGAGTTGAACCCAAACGCATTCAGTGTCTGCCACAAGTACTGATGTTCAACTCGGTCAAAATGTCCCGAATTTGAGAAACATGGTCAGATACCAGCCTGCTGGGTACACAATAGGTTTGGTCAATTGGAATGATATGCTCCATCACTTTTCTCAGACTCATGGCCAACACCTTGGACAAGATTTTATAGTCCGTGCAGAGCAGAGCTACTGGCTGCCAGTTCTTTATCAGCTGTAGATCCCCTTTCTTGGGGAGGAGGGTGAGGACCGCTCTTCTGCAGCTCAGAGGTAACCGTCCTTTGTTGAAACTGTCTCTGAGAACAAGTAACAAGTCTTGGCCAATGACAGGCCAGAAAACTTTATAAAAACAGGAAGACCATCAATCCCTGGAGCTTTCAGCTTCCAGGCTCTGCAGCGCCGCAGCTAATTCGTCCGCAGAGATCTGTGCGTCCAGCTCAGCGTTGGCATGTCCCTTGTGACATTGAGAGTGTACTGTAGGCACAGATGTTTTATTTTACCCTTCCCTATATCCCACCACTGTTGTAACGAAGTGTATTCAGATTTTGTCTCTGTGTAGTTTTTCCAAAACAAAATTAAAGCATTCCTAAAAACATTATTGTATAATACCTAAATAATTTCTTCAGTAACACAAGAACTGGGTAAAAAGCTTCTAGAAAACAGGACAGCAACTCCTCCACTGTTACTGCTCTTATGGCTGAGGAAGACTTCTCCATCCCACCCCCTCCTCCATGCAGGTTCATTCTCAGCTGTGCTGTGAGTCTCTTGCAAAAAAATTACATCTAATTTTCTAACCGTGAACAAACTGAATAGAGAAGCTCTCTTTACGTCCTCTCTGGCACCATTAATGTTTGAAGAGCCCAGCTTTATGTCACACATTGTGATGGAAAGACTGCATCCAAACAAGGCAGAGAGGAACACGCAGAAAGAAGGAGGACAGCAGTGAAAAAACTCATTCATGAGCAATTTGCGACTGAACTCTTAACACCAGCTTTTTGATGCGAAACACCTCTTGGTCAGTAAACGGCTGCTGGCCTGCGTTTTTTGAGAAATATTTAACTGAGTCAAGGAACAGCTGTAGATCTGGGAAGAACTCCTCCACTTTAACTAGTCTCACACCTTTTGTGTCCTGTAAGAACGAGCAGATTCTGGTGAAGGAGTAAACACTGCACCTCCAGCTGTGAGCTCCCAGTGAGATCACCTTCACTGTCCTGTGTGCTCACCAGACTGTCCTCTGGCTGAGAGGAGGAGCACGCCGGGGTTATCTTTGACACTTTAGAAGCCTGTGCACTGTTGGGTTTGCTTTCTGAACTTTTTCTTTTGGTTGACAGTTTGGAAACGTCATCAACAATCATAACTTCCTCATCATATAACACAGACTCTGCCACTCGGGTCACGGTGTGACTGATATTTACCTGCAGGTCTGCTACTGTCTGCTCACCTTCCTGACTCGTCAGACCCTCCATGACCTCGTCCTGATCACTGTCAGCATTGTTTTCCCTCTGAGGATCCTGCGTGTTCCCCTCCGGCTCTCCGGACACGAACGAATCAAGTGCCCCTCAGTTCCTCTCCAGCAGCTGATTTACTTTGTCTGTGCTGTCCAGAAAAACCACCACTGCGCTGTTCATTCTGGACGCAGACTTAACACTTTCATAGCCCACCACCTCACCTACAGCCAGGCTGCACTCCTCCACTGAGCAGCCCACAGCCGGAGACAGTTTGATGGTGTGTCGGCGCGTCAGCTTGTGCAAGCCGGAGCCTCCAGCTGCCGCCATGCTGAGCAGCCACGCTGCCTCCGCAAACACACAAACACAACTCCTCTAAACAACACAACAACAACAACTACACTGACTGTCAAACGAGGAGAAAAATAAAGCAAAAAAGAGTCAGAAAACTCAAAACCACCACGACATACTCACTCGCACTCACCACTCCTACTCCCAGCATGCACTCTGACAGAGAGAGAGACAGAGAGAGAGAGAGAGACAGACAGAGAGACAGAGCGAGAGAGAGACAGACAGAGAGAGACAGAGAGAGCGGGAGAGGAAGAGAGGAGCTCAGTGCATCATGGGAAATCCCCTGATAGTCTAGGCCTATAGCAACATAACCACGGGATGGTTCAGGACTCACCTGAGCCAGCCCTAACTATTATTTACTAGTATTCAGGATTCTACGTTTGTTCCGTTATGCTCTGATATTGGGTACTGCCTCTTTCTGTAGGGAGTTTTTTCTGTAAATCTTTGGGGTTTCACAGGGTTCTACTACTGTTGTTGTCTTGGGTTACTCTGTTGTTTACAGGTGAAGCTGTGGTACGATAAAGTCGGTCATCAGCTGATCGTCACTGTTCTTGGAGCCAAAGAACTTCCTGTCCGAGACGATGGACGGCCGAGGAATCCGTACGTCAAGATCTACTTCCTGCCAGACAGAAGGTAACAGGCGAACCATTCAGGTTCTAGGTGATGATTAGAACGTTTGTTGGTTATGTGATATATCTAAAGATATTGTTCTCAGCTGTCTCAGCTGTGTTTTCTGATCTGTGAGGTTCTGTTGTAGAACCTGTAGAACCTTTGGTCTGGTTTATGCTCTGTCATTGTCTCACAGTGATAAGAGTAAGCGGAGAACAAAGACGGTGAAGAAGTCGGTAGAACCTCGGTGGAACCAGACCTTCATGTACTCTCCAGTCCATCGGCGGGAGTTCAGAGAGCGGATGTTGGAGCTGACGGTCTGGGATCAGGCCCGAGTCCGAGAGGAGGAAAGCCAGTTCCTGGGAGAGGTCAGAACACCTAAAGAACACAGAACACATAGAAGGAAGTCAAACCGTCTACAACTAGAACATTTTTACTCCCAATTTCTACTAATAGGAACTTACAGTCATTTTTCACAGTGGCCATTTTGACATTATATAGTTGGGTAGACTAAGCAAAATCTCAACAACAACAACAAATGTGTGACAAGACTTCATCGACACCTCTAGTGTTTGTCTTTACTCAGATATAGGGCTGTAAATAAACTGTCTGTCTATGTCTGTCTGTCTGTATGTTTGTCTGTCTGTCTGTCTGTCTGCCTGTCTGTCTGCCTGTCTGCCTGCCTGCCTGTCTGTCTGTCTGTCTGTCTGTCTGTCTGTCTATAGGTGTTGATAGAGTTGGACTCGGCTCTGTTGGACGATCAGCCTCACTGGTACAAACTGCAGCTCCATGATGTTTCTTCTCTGCCACTGCCCAACGCCTCCCCCTACCTGCAGCGGAGAGGACTGCAGCCTGAGGACTCTCCGGCTGGGAGGAGGCTGCAGAGTGAGACACACACACACTGATAACACACATACAACAGTCTGGTTGCCTTCATCATCTTGTTTTGAATTTATTCTGCCTTCTTCGTCTTTTGTTGATTTTGTTTTACTTTTCTCCCATGATGCTTGCCAGACAAAGGTCCTTATTGTAACTCAGGTAATAATGGCTGTGTGTGTGTGTGTGTGTGTGTGTGTGTGTGTGTGTGTGTGTGTGTGTGTGTGTGTGTGTGTGCGTGTGTGTAGCTTTCTCCCATCTGTTGCTGTTTTATTAATAAATCATTTAGACTGAAACATCTGCAGACAGTTTTAATAAACATCTGTTTTATATCATGTTCCTCAGAGGTTCCAGGAGGCTTTAGGAGACTTACACACATATACATATTTTACAGGTTCTTTAGTATCACTATATTAAAGTATAATAATCAGATGTTTCTGTGATTTAATGTCAATACATGGATCAGAAAGATGCTGTAATAATGACATCATGGTGGCAATTTGTAAAAGTCTGTCTTTCTGCAAGACGACAAGCAAACAACTTTTAAAATGCTTGTTTTCTGAATGGAGTTTGGTTGATCAGGGCTATGCTAACTTAGTCCATAGTAAAGTAAAACTGACAGCTGGAATCAGTAACAGACACATATACTTAGGGGTGTAACGGTATTTGTATTCATCCCGAACCGTCACGGTACGGGCGTCACGGTTCGGTGCACGCAGTCATACGACGAATACGTCTGAGTGAGTTTAAAAAAAAGTCGAGTCCTCACTTTAATCCATGTCGGTAATGAGCCTAAAAGCTGCCAGAAACAGTCATTACAGAAGAAGAAGAAGTAGTTACAAAAAAGGACGAAGAAGAAAAGTGATGGAAAGTGTGGAGTTGGAGGAGCCGCCAGCTTCATTTAAATCAGCTGTTTGGAGCACTTTGGCTTCCTAGAGCAATATAATGGTGATGGCACGCGAGTGGTGGACCGGACAAAGACTTTCTGCCGGCGATGTTTCACGGAGGTGCGGTATGTTGCTGGCAACACCTCAAACATGCTAACCCACATAAGACGGCATCACCCCAACATATCTGTCACTGGTGCGAGGAAAAAAACGTCTTTGGTGCAACAACTTATCCCCGCTGCTTTTAAGCCATCTCTTGACATTAACACTGACAGGGCCAAAAACATCACAGAAGCAATTGGCGTATACATATCAACATCTATGCGCCCATATGCCATAGTAGAGGAGCCCGGCTTCAAGTATTTATTGCTTGACCCACGCTACAGTGTCCCAACCCGTGCGCACATCAGCCAGTCTGTGGTCCCTGCCACAAACAATAGTTTTATCTGCTCTAAATTAGAGCAGATAAAACTATTCATTTCAATATGACAAATAGCATGAACCAACGTATTTCTATCATCTATAGCCAAAGCTGACAATAAAATGAGAAATAATATTTTTTGTGAAAATATCCTAGTATTTACTATAAAAGATAGTATCACTGCATTATCATGTATTAATAAAATACATAACACCAATGCACACAATTTATTTGATGCCCATGTGTATAATGCATTATAATGTATTTGCATTATTCTGTGCAATTAATAATTATAGGTATAAATAGTCACAAATATTCATAATGTTTTATTACAATAATCTTTTATATGTGATTTTTGAAAAAAAATTTCCCTTTGTACCGAACCGTGACCCCCATACCGAGGTACGTACCGAACCGTGACTTGTGTGTACCGTTACACCCCTACATATACTACACATAAGTAGTATCGTGCAAAAAGAGTCCTTGAGAATCCTCAAATAGGTTCTTGGGTTTCTCAAGAGGCTTGCAGTTGTCTTCAAGGATGTCTTAGAGGGTTCCCAGCAGTCCTTCTAAAAATCCCTTCAGATGCTTGATGGTGTTTTAGGGTCCTATGGTTGTAGCGCTCCTTAAATATTTCTTGCTGTCTCCGTGGTCTTTTAAAGGTTGTTGCAGTTTCAGGGTTCTTTAAGAGAGGGTCGCAGAGGTCCTTGATGGGAATTCCAGGAATTCTTTTTCATCACTTCTTGGGGGGATTTTACAGATTTTGGTGGAGGTGATGTCCTTGATGGGGGTCTCTAATGTGAAGAATCCACAAGAGGTTCTAGGATTTCACTAGCCTTCAGGCCCTGAAGGTCTTTGAGAGGTTGAGGAGATGTCAGGGATCATTTAGAGGGTCTGGATAGGGGTTCTAGGAATAATTGCACGGTATTGAAGGTGATTGGTGCCATTCCAACTGCAACTCTAAGTATTATTAGAAGGTTCTAGAAGTTCTAGTTGTAGGGGGGCCCAGAGTCCTTCAGAAGGATTTATGTCTTTAATGAAGTCCCAGAAGTCCTTCATGGAGGATCCCAAGACCTATTGATAGTTTCACCGGTCCTTCTGAGGATTCTAGAAATGAGTGTGGAGGGTCTGCGGATCCATGGCTCAGTGATCTTTAGACTGCTCAAGAATCATCAAGAACATTCTGGGATTCCTCTATGGGGTTCTAAGGCTGTCCTGGGGATCTTTGAAAGGTTCATAGTCTATTACCCAGATGTAGAGTTGTTCTGACACAATACAAGTGTTGGGAATTCTTTTGATGCTGCCTAAAATGTGGTATTGGATATTGGTGAGTACAGGGGTCTGTGCACTGAGCCGATAACACAGAATTTATTATCCTGAAACAGAACCCTGCTACATCCCAGCAGCAGAAGTCATGATCCACCCTACTCTGACTCTGACAGGGTTTAATCTGAGCCAGGACATATAGCTACAGCAATCATACAGGATGAATAGTATACACTTGTTAAACAATATTATACATTTATTTCATATAACGTACTTTTATTGGATCGATACTCGGTATCAGCCGATACAAAAACTTCAGGTATAGGAACAGCTCTACTCAGATGGTCTCTGTGGTCTTAATAAGGGTTTTAGGAATACTTTCAGGGGTTCCAAAGTTGTTGGTACCATTTCAACAATCTTTAAGGAACTCCATGACTCCTGAGAGGGTTCTAGAGGTGGTAAAGGGGGACCGGTAGTCCTCGAGGTGTTTTCAAGGATCTCAGAAAGGTTTCAGGATATGGCTCAGACTGTAAAGCTGTCCTTTAGTGTTCATGTGTTTCTCTGTTCTGTTTCTGTTTCTGTCAGATTAGTTGACCTTCCTGTGGAGGATTAAAGGGGAGCTGCTTACAGGCTTAAACATCCTCCCTTCCTCCCTCCCTCCCTCTCTATTTGTGCAGGGTCTCAGAGGATCAGTGACAGTGAGTTTTCAGATTACGACTGTGAAGACGGCATCGGGGTGATATCAGGTGAACTCCACGTCCCATCATGGGATTTATTTCAAACTAATATCTGTAAGATCTGGTTCTGGTTCAGTCTCACTGTGGTATGGACAGCTGTACAATGTTCTGATCAAATTACTTATGATCAAAAACTAGCAAGTCAACAACTTTGCCAAACAGCCAAACATCAACATAGTAAGCAGCTAACATTACTGACTAGTCCAACTGCAAGAAGACCAGCTCGCCGTCTGTCTGCAGCCTTTTATTTTACCAAGCTCTCTTTATCCAACTACTAACAGCCAGTCCCACATTCACCCTCTGCTTTTCTCTTCTTCCTCCGTCAGCGTCCTCTGAACTCTCTGAGACTCTAACATTAACTCTGTCAATAGAGGCTGCCGAGCCTGCTTACTTCACCACTGTCCATCCCAGGGTTCATGGTTACTTAATTTGTACCCGAAGGTAGATTTGGTTTTTAGTAAAGAAAGGCAATCCTCTTAACATAAATATAGAAACAACAAACAACTCAATAGACAAACATAAGAATAATAATAAATGATAAAGGTCCAGGCTGTAAAAATCAGGACTTACAAAGAGAGATCAATAAATAACCACTGGAATATATAAGATAAAACGTCTGCCTTGTTCTACATGTTGGGACAATAAACCTCCACCTAGAAGGAGGTAGGCCTGAAAACATCCTCCTCCTGGCAGTCCAAAGCTCCTGTGCTAGCAGAGTAAACACTAGCCCTCCCCCGGTGCTCTGAGCACACAGTACCGGGTGTCCAGGGCAGTGCGGCTAAGCTAACTAGCTAACTAACAGCAGTAAATCACAGAGAGTTGAACCTGAGCAGCCGGAGGACGTCAGAGGGAAAACCAGGAAATATTTTCTCCATAAAATATGATCCAGTTTCACCATAATCACTGACATAGTTGGTGGTGTTTGACTGTAAAGTGTTACGCTCCTGTGCCGACCTATAGACCAAAGTTATACAGTGCAAGAACAGGAGAACGAGGAGCCATTGACCCTGTTCCAGTCAATGAAACATCAACAGGATTCTGTTATTGTAAAGTTACATAATGTTCCTTTAATGAGCACACTGACTTTCTCTTTCTGTGTCCAGACTACAGACAGAATGGGCGGGACTTCCACAGCTCCACCCTCTCAGTGCCGGAGCAGGTGATGTCGTCCAATCACTGCTCTCGATCCGATGTGGTCAGGATGAGGTCCAGGTCACCAAGCCAGCCGCCTCCTCAGAGGTAACCAGCTGCGATTATTTATGTCTTTATGATGATGTGACATGAGTCTGCCTTGTTGAACTGCCAGAGGCCCAGAACGAACAAACCAAACACTGGATTTAGACTGGATCTGTTTTATGGTCTATTTTACTCTAAATGGGACCATCATTTACTAAATGAACATCATGCTGTATGGAAGAAGACTGAAACTAGAGGAGCTGCCCCCTGCTGGCCATTAGAGATAATGCAGGTTTAGTCAGTGGTTGTAATCTGCAACTTCACCATTAGATGTAACTGAGTCCTGTAGATCAAAGATTATTTATTCAGTATTCTTTTATTTGGTTTAAATGAGTTTCAGCTGTTTTCTACTGAACTTTATTGGTTTTAAACTGATGAGCATTCAGTGTCCGGACAGTCAATCAGCCTCCTGAAAAGCCTCACCTTCATTTTACACCTCTCACTCTCTCTTCACCCCTCACCCGTTGACCTCTGACCCTTTGACCTCTGGTTGCCAGTGGTAACCCTCTGTACCCGTTGTACCGAGAGGACGCAGTGCGGCTGCTGCGGGGCTCCAGACTGAGCCGAGCATACTCTGACGCCGGCCAGTACAGCAGCCTGGACAGGTAACTAGTTACTACTGGTCATAGTAATTCAATTCAGTTCAATTTTATTTGTATAGCACCAATTCATAACAGACATTATCTCAGGACACTTTTCTAATAGAGAAGTTCTAGACCGAACTCCTTATAACATTATTTATTTTAGACCCAACAGTTTCCACCATGAGCAAGACCTTGGTGACAGCGGCAAGGAAAAACTGCCTTTTAAGAGGCAGAAACCTCGGACAGACCGCAGCTCTAGATGGGTGGGAGAGAGAGAGAGAGAAAGAGAGAGAGAGAGATACAGAGAGACAGAGAAAGATAGAGACAGAGAAAGAGAGAGAGAGAGACAGACAGAGAGACAGACTGACAGACAGAGAGAGAGATACAGAGAAAGAGAGAAAGACAGAGAGAGAGACAGAGAACTGTCCTGAGATAACTTCTGTTATGAATTGGTGCTATACAAATAAAACTGAATTTAATTGAATTTAATAGTACTACGTGTAGTATAGATTGTAGTCCTGGTTGTAGTAGAGATTGTAGTACTAGTTGTAGTAGAGATTGTAGTACTGGTTGTAGTAGAGATTGTAGTACTGGTTGTAGTAGAGATTGTAGTACTGGTTGTAGAAGAGATTGTGGTACTGGTTGTAGTGGAGATTGTAGTACTGGTTGTAGTAGAGATTGTAGTACTAGTTGTAGTAGAAATTGTAGTACTGGTTGTAGTAGAGATTGTAGAAGAGATTGTAGTACTGGTTGTAGTAGAGATTGTAGTACTGGTTGTAGTAGAGATTGTAGCACTAGTTGTAGTAGAGATTGTAGTACTGGTTGTAGTAGAGATTGTAGTACTAGTTGTAGTAGAGATTGTAGTACTGGTTGTAGAAGAGATTGTAGTACTGGTTGTAGAAGAGATTGTAGTACTGGTTGTAGTAGAGATTGTAGTACTGGTTTTAGTAGAGATTGTAGTACTGACTGTGTTTTCTGTGTATTCAGGAGGTCACTGAGGAGAATGTCTGTTGCCAACTCTCTCGATTCCCACGACAGGTACTTTAACTGTAGTAGGAGTACACAGTAGCAGTAGTGGAAGTACTTGGAGTATAGGTACTCACCTGTGTGTTTTTCTGTGTGAAAGATACTTTAATGGTCCAAACCAAATGCTCTGGACAAACCACATGATGAATGGGAGCTGTGAGGACTACAGGTAAGCCCCAGCGCTTATGGGTAATGTAGTGTTAGAGGAGGACATCCTGCCAGTCAGAGTTCACAGGGGGAATGGCCGGTATAGGTGTCCTTCAAAGGACTGTCCTTTGAAGGACACCTGTACAGGTATGTTCTGGGATCAAAGGTCAATAAGGATTTTTCATTCATTGTGTTTCTGTTCTTCAGTCAGGATTTCATTCCTGATTTCCCCTACGAACCCGACACCTACGACGAGGAACTGCTAAGGTAAACAGACAGACACAGACAGACACAGACAGACAGGCAGACAGACGGACAGGTGTAGATTTAGAGGACATTAGCAGTTCTTCAGTCCGTCCTAACCAGAGACCTTTCTCAGCAGTTAAATTTGTATATGACATCACCAAAAAACCAGCTGAGGTTCAAACTCTGTTGAGACAGGTTTTAGACTTCCCCTCATCTCACTTCCATCGTCCTTTGCTATGTCTCTCCTCCCACTGAGGCCTGATGGGAAATGTAGTGCCAGATACCAGGTTTTCCAATCTTCAATGCCTTACACTTCCTGTTTCATTTCCTCAAAGCTCTCCACAGGTACGGCCAGCTGACAATCGTCACGGCTAACTAACCCCTCCCGCAGGTGCAGTGGTTGACGGTTCTCATGGTGATGTACAGGTACAGTCGGGGGATTGACCGACGGGATTACTACAGTCGCTCTCGGTCAGCTGACCAGCGAGCGATGGTGGACCGACCTGTCTGTACACGCTCCCACTCCACCGACCGAGCTGACTCTGCCCACCTGAGGTCCGGACATTCTGCCCCCCCCTCCCCTGCCCCAACCAGGTGACCCGCAGCCAACCAATCAGAGAGCAGTTCTGTATCCGAAGCATGACGTCTGTCTCAATATTGACCAAACCCCTTTTCTTTCCTGCTTCCTGCTTGGCTCACTGTGACATCACACTACTTCCTGTTGTTTTTTCGTGCAGTTTTTCAGTTCTGACCGTCATTTTGTCTCCTGTTCTGACTCAATTTATCTCACAACAGGCACAACTTTATTTGTTTGTTGTTTGATGGTTGTTTATTTCCATGTTGATTTTTTTGCGGTTTATTTGTTGGCTGTGTTGCATGAGCTCTTGAAGCGTTTTTGTTTTTTTCTGAAACAGATTTATTTAGTTTCATCCAACCGATCTTTGGTGGCACACTGATACTACTGCAGTACACTGATATTACTGCGGTGCACGGGTAGTACTGCAGTAGACTGATAGTACCGCAGTTAACTGTGAGAGTACCGCGGTACACTGTTAGAGTACTGCAGTACACTGTGAGAGTACTGTTACAGGTAATGTAAAGACTGTAACTATGGAGACCTGTGATCAATGCATTGATAGATTGATTGTATTCACTCTCTTGAGTCATTAGCCACTAGCCTTTTGTTAGCTAACGTAGTGTAGCTGAGCTAAAGCACAAATCGACATAATCTTCCATTATAAATGACTGCGACCACTTTGACCCCAGCCTTTGACATTGCAGTTGCTGCCTTGCTTCCCTCTGTGCAGGTTTAAAGTTTGTTCCTTTTGTTTTTTTCCAACAGGGTCAACCCGCGATCAGCTCAGACGAGTCCATCAGGAACGCCGGATTGCAGTCGCAGAGGTCGCCAGCTGCCCATCATCCCTCCAAAAGGAGCTCCGGACAGAAGTACGTCTGTTAGTTACCTGTCAGGTGACCAACAAACCAACCAATAAGCTATTTGTTTTATACTTCTTGAAACCGGAGATTACAGAGTGTAGTTTGGATCACCAAAGTCACACAATAACACAAACTAAGTGATGGAGGCAGCAGTACACAAGAAACCGGTAAATTACTGTTTTTAAGAGTGGTTGGTGGCTTTGAAGAGGGACATTTTATGACTTTAGTTGAAAAAGTTTTTCAGTTGAAAATGTTTCCTTTTCATAACATCAGAATCAACATATGTTGTGATTTTCTCACTAATATGGTTTAAAGTAGCACAGCACAGACTTTCCTCCGTCTCATCATTCTGCTATCACTTGCTGTCCTCCAGCTTAATTTTACCTTACTGCAAATAAAACATTCTAAACGTGAGGAAACCTGTGATGGATTCAGCCATCGTGATCCCAGAAATCAATGAGTGATGAGGTTTTTGGCTCACATTGTTTGACAGGTTATTTGAAGTGAGGATTTTAGATCTGTATGCAGATATCAGGGACTGAATGAAGCTAGCACATCTAGTTTTAATATCTGGATAATATCTCAGACAGTCTGCTGTTGGATTTGTTGAGTCTTTACTGTGACATACAGCAGTGTATCGTCAGCATAAAGATTGATAGAAATACCTCTGAATCACATGAGCGCCTGGAACTAAAGTGGACACCGGGGGTGGTGGTGTAACAGTGGGTTTTGTCTTTCAGATGGAGGAGAACCCTTTGACACTGTGCAGACAGGTACAGACTGTAACACCTGAGTGGTTTACCTGCCAGCTTTTAACTAGAACAGTTCTTCCTTGTTGTAGTAGAAAGGGGAGAATGTTGTTATAGTTTGTCTTGTACATGTTTGATATCAAACAGGGATGTGTTAAAGAAATTAAAAACTTAAAAAAAGTTCATTCTTACTCTGTCTCAGAGAGACAACAATGTAGAAATGTCAGTAACTCCAGAATCCAACCTGCAGTAAGTACAGTTGCTGCGCTCTCCCTTGTCTCAGAGCTTCGGCTGCAGTTACTGCACTTTAGTGTTTGTAAATCCTGAATTCTAGACAGTTTCAGGACAATGTGGGAATTAAAAAAAAGGGAATCTGAAGGCCTGCCCTTTTGCAAACAGTTTCCAATAACGACTTCCCACATGGTTCTGTGTAACAAACCAAATTTCAGATGTTTTTGGACGATCAAAAGGAATTGACCTTCAGGTCCAGTCTAGTTCTTCCAGTTATCCTGGACACAGGCTTCCAGCTACCTGCTCTTGAACAGTTGCAAGAGGTCGTTCTGGAAGGTGACAGGAAGTGTTCAGAAATTCAGAGACGAGGCCTGAAACACGTTCCTTCTGATCCTTCAGGTTCCTCCTCTGAGACTTCATTCTTGTTATTTCTCGGAATTTCTGACGACAAACTGTTTAACCAGTAACAGTAGAAGTAGAAACTGGTCATGTGACCATTCATCATCTCATTGTCTGTTTTCATTCATCTGATCATCTGTTGTTTTTCATGTCATTTCTATCAGTTCTTACCACGCCCACAACAGGAGTGCCAACTATAGCCCCTCCAACTCTGCACCACCAGGCCCCTCCCACTGCACACAAACAAGCCCCTCCCCCTGTCAATAATCAACCGCCTCCTCTTATACGCATTCAAGGCCCACCTCCTACACCTGCACCAGCATCTGCACCAGCTCCTGTCCAAGCCCTGTACTCAGCACCTGCCCAAGCCCCACCCCCAGCACCTGTCCAACCCCCGCCCCCAGCTCCAGCACCTGTCCAACCCCCACCCCCAGCTCCAGCACCTGTCCAGCCTCCGCCCCCAGCTCCAGCACCTGTCCAAGCCCTATCCATAGCCCCTGTACCTGCCCCAACAGCTTCCCAAGCCCTGCCTCCTGCTCCAACTCCTGCTCAAGCTCCGCCCCCCACCCAGGCAACAGCTCCAGTCCTGCCCGCATTCCCTGTAGTCCAATCCCAGCCACCTCCTGAACCCATCCTTCCTCCTGCACCTGCACCGACTCCTGCCCCGATACCTATCCCTGCCCCCTCCCCTGCCCCGCCTCCACAGACTCCAGGTGTGTACACCACAGATTTGATTTATCTAAACCAGTCTAGACCAGTAGAACCAGTAGCTGGTAAATACTGTCTCTCCTCCAGTATGACTTCACTCATTCATTCATCCCTGTGTTGATCTTTGTTACATACGCTGATGTTATCACATCCCACCTGTCCGTGTCAGAGCCAGACCGACGCTCAGCGACACCTGGAGGGACCAGAAAAGGCAAGTTAGAGTCTCAAGTGGATCTGATGATGTTTAGCTTATCCTTGTTAAAGTGATCAGGTGTTGTCCAGGTTGATGGTTCAGGTGTTAATGGATCAGGTGTTGATGGATCAGGTGTAGGTGGATCAGGTGTAGATGGTTCAGGTGTTGAGGGATCAGGCGTAGATGGTTCAGGTGTGCTGGATCAGGTGTAGATGGTTCAGGTGTTGATGGATCAGGTGTAGGTGGATCAGGTGTAGATGGTTCAGGTGTTGATGGATCAGGTGTAGATGGTTCAGGTGTTGATATATCAGGTGTAGGTGGATCAGGTGTAGATGGTTCAGGTGTTGGTGAATCAGGTGTAGATGGTTCAGGTGTTGATGGATCAGGTGTAGATGGTTCAGGTGTTGATGGATCAGGTGTAGGTGGATCAGGTGTAGATGGTTCATGTGTAGATGAGTACTAGGATTTAACTGGTTTGATACCCGAAGGATCCTCACTGTAGTCTGACCAATCCTGTCTCTTGGCTGTGATGCAGAGGTCACATGGGAGGACCAGCAGAAGAAAACAGCCAATGGTACGGTACTACCTATTAGCCCAACCACACACTCCCCATGTCTCTGCCACTTTAGTTACCCGTCCATTATCCTGTTAATGATTGATGTAGATTAGTTTGTTCGCTTATTAGCTAGCATTCTGCTAACATTAGCTAACTAGCTTTTGTATGTAGCTATTATTGTAGGCTAAGGAAAGGTACATTTACATAGCAGCCTAAGCATAAGTTTTAACCTTATAGCTGTGACTACATTGGTATGCTGACCCCCGGATGGATCTAAATGTACCATGAACTGGTCGATAGTCCAGTTCTAAAGTTATGAATCTGTTGACTGAAGCTTTGCTGCTAACAGCGTCTCCACTTTCCTGAAAGGTCAAAGATCAACACCAGGGTCTCACCACAAGAGCGACAAGAGGAACGTTAGTGTACAACAATGCTGACACGATTTTTAGAGCACCATCAAATCTAAAATCTAAAGTTTTGAAAGTTGGACAAAAGTCTGTCCATCTGTAAGATCTGTCAGACAGTAAATACGTCCAGCGATAGCACGACAGATCGAAACTCTCACCTGGTGAGACAGCATTTGTCTTCCATTTTTGTCCCATAAAGACAAAAATAGATTCCTGGTATTTTATAAAATATATGTATTTGAAGGTAAGCAATGTCACTTTTGTAGAATTGTCTTATTTTAATTTTAAATGGAAAATACATGTTTTTTTAAAGTTATTTTTTGGGGCCTTTTGTTGGCTTTATTGATATAGACAGCTGTAGATAGACAGGAAAGGTGGGTGGAGAGAGAGGGGATGACACACAGCAAAGGGCCGCAGGTCGGATTCAAACTCAGGCCGCTGCAGCAACTCTGTATATGGGTTGCCAGCTCTACCGACTGAGCTAACCGGGCGCCCGGAAAATACATGTTTACATTAAACCAATGTTAAGAACTGTATCAGATTGAATCATATCCAATTTTTCCGTATTAAAATGCATCTTCACTCGATTGTATCATAGGCCATCTGGATACAGATCGGATCGTATTAGAAGAGAAAGGAGCATGCCCCTAATAGTTAGCTTTCCTAACTTCTCTTTCAGTGAGAATTGTCCTTATTGACTCAAATAAAATGTTGTATGTCAATACTCAATACAAATGATCAGTAAGGTCTAATCGACCAGTATATTTATCATCTTGAAATGGTTTGTGTGATTAGATTGTCGGGTTGATCTTTTGTTTTCCATTTGTCATCCATCATCCATCCACTGTGATCTGAAGGAGAGCTATTACCAGCGAGCAGAGAAGGTGGACATTATTTCTCTCTGTTTTCATCTCATCAGCACATATTAGTTGTTTGTTTCACAGTAAATAAACTGTGAACATTTCGACCTTCCTGTTACTGGTGGTGCCAAGCACGACCCTATGGTGATATCCCTCATCGGTCTGTGGAGCTCTGGAACCTCCAGTTGGGCTTCATGGTCGTCTCCATGTTTAGCAGCCAGCGGAGGTCACGTACTGCAAGTTGAGCTGCTCTCATTAGCTGCTTGCCTGCTCACACAGGATCTGGTATTCCAGATAAACAGTAAAATGTGTTTGTGAACAGATTTGAGGAGAGAAATAGTCAACAACAGAATCTGGATCCATATCTGATCAGCACTGTTTAACAGTTTGATCTGAGTTTGGTGCGTTGACCTGGATGGACTCACTGAGAATGAGCTGTCAATCACAAGGTAGCCCTGCCCTAAAGCATACCCTGCTTTATGGTCTGTTTTACTCTAAACCATCAGTTACTGTTACTAAATGAACATCATGCTGTATGGAAGAAGACTGAAACTAGAGACTGAGACCAGAAACTCATCAGGAAACTGTTTACTCATTAATCAACTTCTCCATAAGACTCAATACTATCAGAGTGGAGCTGCCCCCTGCTGGCTGTTAAAGACACTGCAGGTTTAACACACTTCTGCTTCGGCTTCACTTAACAGACCTGGAAGTTCTGTTCATTAAATAAATTGTCTATGGGTGGCGCTGAAAGTCCCTAACTAGTGATGAATATTACATTCCATTAATGTTACACACTGGACCTTTAATAAACAAAAATTATAACTAGAATATTTGTATTTCCTTAAGAAAATACACATCTGCTGCTGCCACCGCTAACACTGCTCACAGGCTCAGCTAACCCTAACCCTAACCCTAACCCTAATTGAATACTGTGTTCAAAAGGGATAACGGTAACTGTGTGATTCCTTGTAGGAATCAGTTACTGTCAAATTATTGGACTTCACTGAAACTAAATGAAGTATAATATTAATATTAATAATATCATTGTGGTTAATATTATATTAATCGATAGACAGAACAGACCTCTGACCTGTATCTACAGCACTGACTGGTCTCGGGTTTATAAATACTTTTGTTATGTTTGATCAAACATTTTCCAAAATAGAAAATATTGTGTGTACAGTACTAAAGACATTTAGGATCACTCATCATGTGACCGATCTGAATGCAGCTAGAAACGTGATGTCTCGTATCCAAAGAAGGATGGTAGGAATTTAGCATATTTTGAAGAATATAGAGCAGAATTACATCACGGCCCACCTGCTAAGAGCTCATTCATGCTTCCTACAGTCAACAGCCACAATCATCCATCAATTTGATTAAATCCCAACCTTCCAAAAACCCTGCACTGTGTGAACCCTACTCCAGGAAGTGTAGTAGGTGTGTCAGAGCTGCCAGCGGAGTTGGTCATTTGGGGAGAGATGCCTGCTTCATCTGCTTTACCTTCGACATCCGTTTCATTGTAAAGTCCAAGTGTTGTAGCAGAGTCGGAATAATCTCCCTGTCGGAGTGTCTTCGTTAAGGACGTCTGAATAGACTTGCAGTGGGGCAAACTTTGTCATTATTCAGTGGATGGGCTGAAAACATTTCAGCTCTGTAGGACAGGTGATGTATTCAGATTTTTTAAAGTTTTACAATTCAAAACATAACCAACCATGTGATGGCACTCTTGAATACATGCTTTAATATGTAATCTCCATGGGGTACCTGTGTACCAGGTTTGATAACTTTAGCATGTTGTGTATGTGACTCCCATTGACGGACCATTAAAAAACAATGACAGTAAAATATTAATATCCCAATAACTGGCTTTATTATATCAGATAACAATGAGATCAGCTGTCAGCTGTGATGTCACTTCTGTGTTACTGTGAGCTATGACATCAGAGCGTGGTAATAACCCTCCTCTTCTGTCTGCAGGTGTGATAAAGGACCCATCGAAGGTAAACATCATCATCATCATCATCATCATCATCATCATCATATGACACATTATATCACTAATTATGTCACACTGCTCACCCCTCCTCTGTCTGTCTCCAGATGAGAGACAGTCTGTCCTTTAAATCCTCAGACAGTGATGTCAGCGACGTGTTGGCCATGTCCAGTGACATCAGAGCTGTCCGCAGGATCAGGTGAGACCAGCAGCCAATCACAGGCCGAGGATTTACACTGTACTCCAGATAGTGTGACCTTCAGTATGTTGGTGGTTACATCAGATAGCATGATATTAGAATGTTTACATTAGCATGTTGTTTGTTAGCATGATCCAGTTTATGTTTGCAGTGTTTCCTCTAGGATTTTTTTTAGCAGTGGGGGCAGGCCTGTCTGAACTCCGCCCCCCGTCACGTCACGCCGGCAAACGTTTTATGTATGAAACAGAAGTGACACTTCAAGTTGAACGTTGTCCAATTAAAACGGACAGTATGTGGAGTTAAACTGGACCGCCCCAATAACCTCTGAATAGTTCTACTTGTTGTTAAATTGCACTGTGAGTGGCAGCCAGCGGGGGGGCATTATGTCGGCACGATCATTTAAAAGGCAACCGGGACTACATTGTGCGTCTGCCACATTTCTGATACCGTGGCAGCAGAAATTTAACAGCAGCGGGCCGCCGCTCCAAATCAACATAGAGGAAACACTGGTTTGCATGTGTTAGCATGTGTCACTATCCCATCTCTATGCATGCTGTTCTCTCATTGGCTCATCAGTCGGGGGGAGGCTGTGCAGGGCCAATCCATGGAGTTGGGCTCGGGGTCGGAGGGAACACAGGAAGTGGTGGCGCAGGGCGGAGCCTCTCTGCATAAGAGTGAATCAGTGGAGGAAGCAGAGGAGGAGCCTGAGCCTTCAAAGTAAGCTATTGACCAAAGAGGCGCTCCAGACCATTCATCATATCAACAGTAGTGACACTGCCCAATTCCTCCTGCCCCGTTATGCCCCTCCTCCTCCTCAGGAGACTGACAGGTCTCTCCCCTCACAGGGCGGCGCCGGCGGCGTCTGGAGCTCCTCTCACCAAGTCGTCAAGCGTCGGAGGAGAAATCTGTTCTCTGGGGAGAAACGACGACGACGACGATGACAAAAAGCGACGCTCGAGCTTCGGCGCCAAGATGATGGGAATGGTTGGACTTGGGAAGAAGAGTCAGAGCGCCTCGCAGCTTAACCCCGAGGGTCAGAACCAGAACCTGTGATACAGAGATCTCAGCTCTGATTGGTTGATTCAGCTCGTATTCACTCTGTCTGCCTGTGTGTGTGTGTGTGTGTATGTCTGTGTCTGTCTGTCTGTCTGTCTGTCTGTCTGTGTAGAGGAGGAGAAGAAGAAGAAGGTGGTGAGACTTCCTGTCCAGAGGAGTGTAGAAACCGGTTTGGCCATCGAGTTTAAATCTCGTTTCACCCGACAGCAGAGTCGCGACCCGGATGCCGAGGAACCTATACCGGGAGCGTACGGATGAGTTTCTGCTCTGTTAAATATTATTATTATTATTATTATTATTATTATTATTCAATATTTAAGGATATTTTCTCTCTGTGATTAGTTACATTTCTTTTATTTGTCTGTGTGGATTCAGTTTGATATTCCCGGGAGTGAAGTTGGCGTCGGACAAACAGTTCACTGGATTCCTGGAGGGATTAGGCCCCGCCCAGCTGGCTGGACGACAGACTCTGGCCACGCCCCCTATGGGTAACAACCAATCAGAACTTTATTTATATTTGAGAAACTATCTGACTGTAATCTATGGCATCATATAGACCAGTTAGGAGTGGACGCCATGGTTACGTCACTGCGTAAACAAGAGACAACCCTAACCATAACGTACTGCAGCTAATGTTAGCTAACGTTAGCCAGCTAACGTTAGCTTGCCTCCTCGCTAATGTTAACCTTTACATAGACAAACAAAGTTAATAATACAAGCTCCTCTGATTGGCTGTTTGGTGGTCAGGTGACATCCAGATCGGGATGGTGTACAGGAAGGAGCGTCTGGATGTAGAGGTGATCCGAGCCAGAGGGCTTGTGGGTAAACAAGGCAACAAGAACACACCAGGTACAAATACACACACTGATACACACACACTGATGCAGTATTGATGATGCAGTATTGACGAAGCAGTATTGATGATGCAGTATTGATACAGCAGTATTGACGAAGCAGTATTGATGATGCAGTATTAATGAAGCAGTATTGATACAGCAGGATTGATACAGCAGTATTGATGATGCAGTATTGATACGGCAGTATTAATGAAGCAGTATTGATACAGCAGTATTGATACAGCAGTATTGATGAAGCAGGATTGATACAGCAGTAAGTATTGATGATGCAGTATTGATAATGTGTGTGTCTGTAGCTCCCTATGTGAAGGTGTATCTGATGGATAACGGGAAGTGTGTGTTGAAGAGAAGAACTCGTCTGGCCAGAAAAACCCTCGATCCTCTTTATCAACAACAGCTGCAGTTCGAGGAAAACCCGGAAGGAAAAGTACTGCAGGTAATACACTGTCCGTCTGTCTGACTGTCTGTCTGTGTCTGTCTGTCTGTCTGACTGTCTGACTGTCTGTCTCCCTCTCTCTCTCTGTGTCTGTCTCTCTGTCTTTGTCTGTCTCTGTCTGTCTGTCTGTCTCTCTCTCTCTCTCTCTCTCTCTCTCTTTCTGTCTGTCTCTCTGTCTTTGTCTGTCTCTCTGTCTGTCTGTCTGTCTCTCTCTCTCTAACTCTGTCTGTCTCTCACTATGTGTCTGTCTCTCTGTCTGTCTGTCTCTCTGTAGATCATCGTGTGGGGTGACTATGGTCGGATGGATCATAAATCCTTCATGGGCGCCGCTCAGATACTATTGGACGATCTGGACCTGTCCAACATGGTGATTGGCTGGTTTAAACTGTTTCCTGCCACATCATTGGTGGACCCCGCTTTGGCCCCACTGACCAATAAAGAGACAGAGGGGAGCAAGTCATAGCGTCAGGGGGTGGGACCAACAGTATCGCCATAGCAACGGGCAAGGATGGGACAGGAGTGGATGTGCTGCTGCCCGGGCGGAGCCTAAAAAAGTCCCATGATCGTCCTCTGCTGCTGCATGCTGCATGATGTCACCTGTGAGGAAGAGGGAGGCTCCGTCCTCTGATGCTTAAACAGGAAATGACTTTCCCAGTGAGTGGCAGGGCAGCGCAGCAAAGGATACTGGGAAAAGACAGGAGAGGCCTGTGACCTCCAGCTACCAGCCAATCAGAGCAGCTCCTCAGGAGTCATGTGACTGTCAATGGAGACTTGTGTGTGTATATGGAAGTCTGGTTCTTTGTTTTTGCATGGAACATTAGAACATAAAAAACATCAACTGTAAAAAAAAGTTAAAGAACTTTAAAAACTGAAAAAATAAAAAGATTCTCAACGGTCATTAGTTCTCTCTGAAAATGTGTCTAAAGGAACAACTACGATTCTGAAAGGTTCTACTGGCATGATTGATATACGTTTCTGCTTGTATGTCTGAAATAAAGGTTCTGCAGGTATAACTGACAAGACTCTGGTTCCATAAAGGTTCTACAGGTATAAATGGTAATATTCTGGTTCCATAAAGGTTCTACAGGTGTAAATGGCAATATTCTGGTTCCATAAAGGTTCTACAGGTAACATAAATGGCAAGATTCCGGTTCCATAAAGGTTCTACAGGTATAAATGGCAATATTCTGGTTCCATAAAGATTCTACAGGTATAACTGACAAGATTCTGGTTCCATAAAGGTTCTACAGGTATAAATGGCAATGTTCTGGTTCCATAAAGGTTCTACAGGTAACATAAATGACAAGATTCTGGTTCCATAAAGGTTCTGCAGGTAACATAAATGGCAATATTCTGGTTCCATAAAGGTTCTACAGGTAACATAAATGGCAATATTCTGGTTCCATAAAGGTTCTACAGGTATAAATGGCAATATTCTGGTTCCATAAAGGCTCTACAGGTGTAAATGGCAATATTCTGGTTCCATAAAGGTTCTACAGGTAATATAACTGACAAGATTCTGGTTCCATAAAGGTTCTGCAGGTAACATAAATGGCAATATTCTGGTTCCATAAAGGTTCTGCAGGTAACATAAATGTCAATATTCTGGTTCCATAAAGGTTCTACAGGTAACATAAATGGCAATATTCTGGTTCCATAAAGGTTCTACAGGTGTAAATGGCAATATTCTGGTTCCATAAAGGTTCTACAGGTAATATAACTGACAAGATTCTGGTTCCATAAAGGTTCTGCAGGTAACATAAATGGCAATATTCTGGTTCCATAAAGGTTCTACAGGTATAAATGGCAATATTCTGGTTCCATAAAGGTTCTACAGGTGTAAATGGCAATATTCTGGTTCCATAAAGGTTCTACAGGTATAACTGACAAGATTCTGGTTCCATAAAGGTTCTACAGGTAAAATAAATGGCAATATTCTGGTTCAATAAAGGTTCTATAGGTATAGGTACAGTGCATTCCAGAAAGTATTCACAGCGCTTCACTTTTTCCACATTTCTTTATGTTACAGCCTTTTTCCAAATTGGATTAAATTAGTTTTTTCCCTCAAAATTCTACACACAATATCCTATAATTGCAACAGGAAAGTTTTGCGAATTAATTAAAAATAAAAAACGATAAAAATCACATAAGTACATAAGTATTCACAGGCTTTGCCATGAGCTCAGGGGCATCCTGTTTCCACTGATCATCCTTGAGATGAGATCCTAGACACTCCTCAGTAAAACCTGAAGGACTCTCAGACCACGAGAAACAAAATACTCTGGTCTGATGAACAGGCCCGGCCCTAACCAATTTGGTGCCCTAGGCAAGATTTTAGGTGGTGCCTATGGGCTGATTTTTGTGTCAGTAGAAACTGAATCTGAATTGCTCAACTTGAATAATTGCACTGAAATGCGGAATTTGAATTGCATAATTTGAATTTGAATTTATTAGTTTGAAACGCTGAGGAACCAACTCTGGTTATTGGCAGCTCCATAGTCAGAAACGTGAAGTTAGCGAAGCCAGCGGCCATAGTTAAATGTATCTCTGGGGCCAGAGCGGGCGACATTGAATCAAATTTAAAACTGCTGGCTAAAGATAAATGTAAATACAGTAAGATTGTTATCCACGTCGGAGGTCACTAAGATTAATGTGGAGTCGGTGTGTAATTATGCTAAGACAATGTCGGACTCCGTAGTTTTCTCTGGACCCCTGCCCAATGTGACCAGTGATGACATTGTAGCCACATGTCGTCGTTCCACCGCTGGCTGTCGAGGTGGTGTCCAGCAAACGATGTGGGCTTCATTGATAACTGGAAGCCTTTTTGGGGAAAACCTGGTCTGATTAGGAGAGACGGCATCCATCCCACTTTGGATGGAGCGGCTCTCTTATCTAGGAATATGGCGAAGTTTATCTCTAAAACCTGACAGTCCAGAGTTAGGACCAGGAAGCAGAGCTGCTGTCTTACACACTTCTCTGCTCTTTCTTTAGAACAGTCACCCACCCAAAACCCCATAGAGACTGTGTCTGTCCCCCGACCACCTAAATTATTTAAAGAAATAAAAACAAGAGGAGTTCAACATAAAAATCTAATAAAAATTAAAACCAACTCCTCAGTAGCACAAAATAAGAGAATGAAATGTGGACTGTTAAATATCAGGTCTCTGTCCTCTAAAGCTGTTTTAGTGAATGAATTAATATCAGATTATGATATTGATTTACTTTGTCTTACTGAGACCTGGTTGTCCCACGAGGAGTATGTTAGCCTAAATGAATCCACCCCCCCCAGTCATATTAATACTCACATTCCTCGAGGCACAGGCCAAGGAGGTGGAGTGGCAGCCATATATGATTCGAGCGTTTTAATGGACCCTAAACCTAAACTAAATTATAATTCATTACAATTAAAGCAAATAGCTAGGAAATCTGAAAGGAAATGGCGCTCTTCCAAATTATCAGAATATCGCTCAAATTGGCAAGATAATCTTAAAATTTATAGAAAGGCCCTCCGTAATGCCAGAGGAGCCTATTACTCAGCACTAATAGAAGAAAATAAGAATAACCCTAGGTTCCTCTTCAGCACTGTAGCCAGGCTGACAGAGAGTCACAGCTCTATTGAGCCACATATCCCCATAAACTTAAGTAGCAATGACTTCATGAGCTTCTTCTATAATAAAATTATTACTATTAGAGAAAAAATTAATCACCAACTGCCATCAACAGTTATCAGTGGCTCTCCAAGTTCAGGGACTTCTGTCAATGTAAACTTAGACATATATTTAGACTGTTTTTCTGCTATCGATCTTCATCAGTTAACTTCAATCATTTCTTCATCGAAGCCATCAACCTGTCTATTAGACCCGATCCCAACTAGGCTGCTTAAAGAAGTTGTTCCCTTAATTGGCACTTCTTTACTGGATATGATTAATCTTTCTTTATTATCAGGATGTGTACCACAGTCCTTTAAAGTAGCTGTAATTAAGCCCCTTCTTAAAAAGTCCACTCTTGACCCAGGGGTTTTAGCCAACTATAGACCGATTTCTAACCTCCCCTTCCTCTCTAAGATTCTGGAGAAAGTAGTCGCCAAAGAGTTGTGTGACTTTCTACATAACAATCTCACCCCAACTGGTCGAGACAGACGACCACCCACCTAGAGCCGAAGGATCTGTCCTAGGTTTCTGCCTTTTAACCCTTGTCTCCAAGGTCTTGCTCATGGTGGTACTGTTGGGTCTCTGTAAATAATGTTATAAGGAGTTCGGTCTAGACCTGCTCTATTTGAAAAGTGTCCTGAGATAACTTCTGTTATGAATTGGCGCTATACAAATAAAATGGAATTGAATTGAATAGTATTGCTGACAAGTTTCACTGAATCTTTTTGAATGTTTAAACTGAAGGTTCTTTCTTTGTTCTTTAATAAACAGCCAATTTATCAGAACTTGTCTGAGATGTTTCAGAATATATATTCTTACAGTTTTATGTTTTCTGCTCAGATATGATCCAGATTAATTATATTTATTATATTTTGTATCAATAGTTTATTTGAGGATTTTCAGTCAGGATTTAGAGTTCATCACAGCACAGAGACAGCTCTGGTTGAAGTTAATAATGACCTTCTGACTGCTTCTGACAATGGACTCTGTACTTGTATTATTAGATCTTAGTGCTGCATTTGACACCATTGACCATAATATTCTTTTAGAGACTTGAGCATCAAATTGGCATTAAAGGAACCACACTAAGCTGGTTTAAGTCATATTTATCAGATCGTTCGCAGTTTGTACATGTTAACGATGAATCTTCAATAAATACTACAGTTAGTCATGGAGTTCCACAAGGTTCTGTACTTGGACCAATACTATTTACTTTATATATGCTCCCTTTAGGCAACATTATTAGGAATCACTCCATTAACTTTCACTGTTATGCAGATGATACGCAGTTATATCTATCAATCAAGCCCAATGAAATTAATCAATTATCTAAATTACAAACATGTCTTAAGGACATAAAATCCTGGATGAGCTGCAATTTTCTGATGTTAAACTCAGAAAAAAACGAAATTCTTGTTCTTGGCCCCAAAAACCTTAGAGACTCACTGTCTAAAGATATAGTTACTCTAGACAGCATTAACTTGGCCTCTAGCACCACTGTCAGGAATCTTGGAGTCTTTGATCAGGATTTGTCATTTAACTCCCACATAAAGCAGACCTCTAGGACTGCCTTCTTTCATTTGCGTAATATTACAAAAATTAGACACATCCTATCACAGACAGATGCAGAAAAACTAATCCATACATTTGTTACTTCAAGGCTGGATTACTGCAACTCTCTATTATCAGGTTGCCCCAATAAGTCCATTAAAACGCTCCAATTAATTCAGAACGCTGCAGCACGAGTACTGACAGGAACTAGAAAAAGAGATCACATCTCTCCTGTACTAGCTTCTCTGCATTGGCTCCCTGTAAAATGTAGAATAGAATTTAAAATCCTCCTCCTAACCTATAAATCTCTTCATGGTCAGGCCCCTTCATATCTTAAAGAGCTCATAGTACCCTATTACCCCTCTAGAACACTACGTTCTCTGAATGCTGGGCTACTTGTGGTTCCTATAGTCTCTAAAAGTAGAACAGGAGCCAGAGCCTTCAGTTACCAAGCTCCTCTCCTGTGGAACCAGCTTCCATTTGTGGTTCGGGAGGCAGACACCCTCACCACATTCAAGAGTAGGCTTAAGACATTCCTCTTTGATAAAGCTTATAGTAAGGGCTGGATCAGGTGAGTCCTGAACCATCCCTTAGTTATGCTGCTATAGGCCTAGACTATCGGGGGATTTCCCATGGTGCACTGAGCTCCTCCCTTCCTCTCTCTTTCTGCACTCATTCATGTCCCATTAATGCATGTTACTAACTTCACTTCTTCCCCGGAGTTCTTGTGCTTTCTCGTCTCGCAGGTTCTTATCGATCCTGGTGGAGCCTCCTGCCATGGTCCTGCTAGATTGCCATTGCCAATACTGTTGTTGCTTTGCACCTGTCTGTCTCTGTCTGTCTGTCTGTCTCTCTCTCTCTCTCTCTCTCTCTCTCTCTCTCTCTCTCTCTCACCCCAACTGGTCGAGACAGACGACCACCCACCCAGAGCCGAAGGATCTGTCCTAGGTTTCTGCCTTTTAACCCTTGTTGCCAAGGTCTTGCTCATGGTGGTACTGTTGGGTCTCTGTAAATAATGTTATAAGGAGTTCGGTCTAGACCTGCTCTATTTGAAAAGTGTCCTGAGATAACTTCTCTTATGAATTGGCGCTATACAAATAAAATGGAATTGAATTGAATAGTATTGCTGACAAGTTTCACTGAATCTTTTTGAATGTTTAAACTGAAGGTTCTTTCTTTGTTCTTTAATAAACAGCCAATTTATCAGAACTTGTCGGAGATGTTTCAGAATATATATTCTTACAGTTTTATGTTTTCTGCTCAGATATGATCCAGATTAATTATATTTATTATATTTTGTATCAATATTTAAATATTTCAATCTAAAGCATTAAAGGGCCAGTGTGTACATTCATTGCCCTCTAGTGGTGAAGTTTCAGATCAAAACAAACTGAATACAGCTCAGCCAAAAGTTCCAATCTACAGTCAGTGTTTGGTTTGTCCGTTCTGGGCTACTGTAGAAACATGGCGGACTCCACCAGGACCCGCTCCCTCTGTAGATAAAAACGTCTCATTCTAAGGTAACAAACACACGTTCTTATAATCAGCTGATTAAACAATAATGAAAACACACCTGTAGATATGTTTCACACTGGAGGTTTTGAAGTTCATCAGTTGATTAAACTTTTCTTTCTGTGACTGTGAGAATATGTTGATAATGTTTTAAATGTGTGAAGAATAAAAATGAAGCAGTGTCCAATGTGACCAGCAGAGTGCGGCAGTGTTTATTATAATATATATATATATAATATTATATATTATACATTAGTGCTGTCAAACGATTAAAATATTTAATCGCGATTAATCGCATTAAAGTCATAATTAACTCGCAATTAATCGCACATATTTATCTATTCTAAATGTCCCTTGATTTCTTTTGTCCCATTACTTTTTCTCATTTTAATGCTCTTATCAACATGGAAAAGTGGATCGGCTTGCTTTGTGCAAATGTTGTTTTTATTGAAAACAACATTGGCATATACTGTAGTGTTCAATTTCACACTAACATTCACACTTGGAGCAAATAATCTCTCACACTGTAACACTGTCCATCAATAAAAGGGTGAAACAAATACTTTGTCACATAAACAGCCCCTTCAACAGCCCTTTCTAAGGGATCAAAAGAACGGATACGTTAATCTCTCAATAAAAAAATTGATGCCGTTAAAATGGGTTTGCGTTAACGCCGTTAATCATGCGTTTAACTGACAGCAGTATTATATATATATATATATATATAATATTTTTGAATTTCCCTTGGGATAAATAAAGTATCTATCTATCTATCTATCTATCTATCTATCTACCTACCTACCTACCTACCTAGATAATATAATAATATTACAATCAGAGAACAAGGACGGACTGAAACAGGAACTTTAATCTTTAGTGCAGTTAAACAGTTTCTTACTTTACAGACTCAAAGAAAAACTAACACCAAAGAACTTCATGCAGGTCAGAAAAACATCTACACAACAACAAATAACAACAACAATAATAATAATAACCACAATCATATTAATAATAATAATAATAATAATAACAATAACAATAATAATAAATATACACAGTCACACTCACACGAGGTCAGCTGAGATCTGAGTACCAAAAACAAAAATACAGACGGGTCAGTTTGAATGGCTTCAGTCTGAGGAGGAAGAGGAAGAGGAGGAGGAAGAGGAAGAAGAGGAGGAAATCAAAAGGAGTTGAATTGTTTACAATACAGAACTTTCTTTGTTCTGTTTGTACGGAACCTTCTGACTGGTTTTGTGGGTCTGGATCTGTGAGTCTGGTTCTGAGAGTCTGGTTCTGAGAGTCTGGTTCTGTGAGTCTGGTTCTGTGAGTCTGGTTCTGTGAGTCTGGTTCTGTGGGTCTGGTTCTGTGAGTCTGACTCTGTGGGTCTGGTTCTGTGAGTCTGGTTCTGAGAGTCTGGTTCTGAGAGTCTGGTTCTGTGAGTCTGGTTCTGTGAGTCTGGTTATGTGGGTCTGGTTCTGTGAGTCTGACTCTGTGGGTCTGGTTCTGAGAGTCTGGTTCTGTGAGTCTGACTCTGTGAGTCTGACTCTGTGGGTCTGGTTCTGAGAGTCTGACTCTGTGAGTCTGACTCTGTGAGTCTGGTTCTGTGAGTCTGGTTCTGAGAGTCTGGTTCTGAGAGTCTGGTTCTGAGAGTCTGACTCTGTGGGTCTGGTTCTGAGAGTCTGGTTCTGAGAGTCTGACTCTGTGAGTCTGACTCTGTGAGTCTGGTTCTGAGAGTCTGGTTCTGAGAGTCTGGTTCTGAGAGTCTGGTTCTGAGAGTCTGACTCTGTGGGTCTGGTTCTGAGAGTCTGGTTCTGAGAGTCTGACTCTGTGGGTCTGGTTCTGAGAGTCTGGTTCTGAGAGTCTGACTCTGTGAGTCTGACTCTGTGGGTCTGGTTCTGAGAGTCTGGTTCTGAGAGTCTGACTCTGTGGGTCTGGTCTCTGTGAGTCCTTTATGTTGGATATGAACAGACCGATGTAGAATCTGATCTAGAACCAGTCAAAGAACCAAACTAGACTCTACAGACTGCTATGACGAGCATGACCAGGGTCACATGACCCATGGAGGAAGGTGATCAATCAATTATTCCCTATTAGACCTTTGACCTTATTATCATCAGTATAATATATCATCTATAAATATTGATTGATCTGGTAGATAATCAATCAGTATGATCTGCTACTTATCAATACTGAGATTCAGACTAGCTAGCAGCTATCGTTAGCTACCTCCACTGGTCACATGACCCTCGTCATTCTGTACTCAGTCCCTGCAGGAAGTCGCCATGGCAACAATTAACACACATTCAACCCGTTAATTGATCAATCAATAGTTTCCTGATTTAAATAATAATAAGAATTATTTTCACTTTCGTAACCTCACAAACACACAGCCAGCGACATCCTGGAGGGAGCGACTTTAACCAGCGCACCGGGGGGACCGTTTGAGTGCGACACGTCCCGGTTCAGAGGCAGAGAAGGTTCCTAGTTTAATGTTCTCACCAACAGTTTGTTCTGTCAGGACTCCGTTTGCAGTCGTACCAACGAGGAGGAAGTTCATCAAGTCGTACCGAGTCCGCCCGCAGGGAGGAGGGGAGCGCTTTAACGGACGGAAACAACGGGAGGACATTTTCAGCCGTACCGACATTAGAATCCAATCAGTGACATCACATCCCCTGGTCTCCGATTGGCCCGTTCATCTCAGACATCACTAACCTTTGATCCAGCTAACATGCTAACACATGCTAACACGCATTTAGATCATCCCTTGTTAATTTCAGTTGAAGAGATAGCATTGTGGCTAGTTGTAGTCCAGTGTGAGATGGTAGCACGTTGGCTAGTTGTAGTCCAGTGTGAGATGGTAGCACGTTGGCTAGTTGTAGTCCAGTGTGAGATGGTAGCACGTTGGCTAGTTGTAGTCCAGTGTGAGATGGTAGCACGTTGGCTAGTTGTAGTCCAGTGTGAGATGGTAGCACGTTGGCTAGTTGTCTGAAGTGTTGAGTCAGGGTAGTATTAATAATCTTAGCCAGGCAGTTAGCATGTTAGCTAACCGTCAGAGTAGGGACAGGGTAGCATTAGCAGGTTACCCGCGTTAGTTAGCATGTTAGCTAACTGTAGGTGTAGCAGTATTAGCCAGTTAGCATGTTAGCCCGGCAGGTTAGCGTGTTAGCAGAGCAGCAGCAGCTCGTCATCGCTGCTCTCCGTTTTGCCTGTGGCCTCCAGACAGGCGTCGGGGATGTGAGCCGTGTGGACCATCCCGCAGTGTTCACAGGGCCCGTCCCGTCCTCCTCGACAACCGTTGCCACGGTGATGGCGGGAGGCGTGGCCCGTGGTAGAGGAGGGGTGTGGCTCCAGCAGCGGCTGTCGGACATCGCTGACCGAGGAGGCGGAGGAGGAGGAGTCAGAGTCGGAGACGGGGATCAGGAGCTCCACGTCTTCTTCTTCTTCTCTGCTTCCTCGCCGCTCGGCGGCCTCCATCCCGCCTCTTCCTGTCTCCAGCTGCCGAAGTGGACTGTGATTGGTCCAGGTCTGGTCCTGCTGGTTCTGGCTGGTTCTAGTCAGGTTCCTGGCAAGTCGGTGCAGGTTCCGGGCCAGTCGCTGCAGGGCGGAGGTGGGCGGAGCCTGGAGCTCTGAGGGGTCACTGCGACATTCAGGATCTGGACTGGAGGTTACCATGGCAACCGAGCTGGAAGGGGGAGGGGCCTCTCTGGGCCTGTCGCGGCTTCTGTCGCAGCCAGCGGTCGGGTTAAGGGAGGTCGCTGAAGTCGTCACGGATACCACAGCCTCCACGGCGGTGGAGGGCGGAGTCTTCTGGGGAAGGGGGGCGACGGGCCCGCCCACCGCGCCCACGCCGCGCTCCCTCCCTCGCTCGCCTTCCGTGTCTGTGTCGTCCGAGTCCGGAGACAGCAGGTCTGAACCAGAACTCCCAGTGCTCCCAGTGCCGGCGCTGTCCTCTAGGTCAGCAGAAACCAGAGCCAAAGAGCCCGATCGCCGGGACCGTGAGAAGGTGAACAGACGTCGCCACAGGTTGCTATGACGACCGGAGGAGGGGAGTCTCAGGGAGGTGAAGCCGAGCTGAGAGCGGACAGCTAGGCGAAGGTTTTCCAGGACGGAAGCCTGAGGACAGAGAGGGCGCAGTCAGAGACTAATAAAGTTTACTTCAGTTTCTCTTCAATACAATATAAACCACAATAATGTAATATAATATAATGTAATGTTATATAATATAATGTAATGTAATATAATATATAATAATTTAAAACAATATAATATAATGTAATATAATATAATGTAATGTTATATAATGTAATGTAATGTAATGTAATATAATATATAATAATTTAAAACAATATAATATAATGTAATATAATATAATGTAAAATAATATAATACAATGTAATATAATAATTTAAAACAATATAATATAAAATAATGTAATATAATATAATGTAATGTTATATAATATAATGTAATGTAATATAATATATAATAATTTAAAACAATATAATATAATGTAATATAATATAATATAATATAATATAATAATTTAAGACAATATAATATAAAATAATGTAATATAATATAACGTAATATAATATAATATAATGTAATATAATGTAATATAATGTAAAACAATGTAAAACAATGTAATATAATGTAATATATGTACCTGGCTCCCAGAGCACACTGGGAAATCCTCCACAGGTGGGATCAATCCCTGGGCAATCAGCTGTCCATAAGAAGGTGGAGCTTCCCTCCTCAGTAGTTCTGCCTCCACTCTGGACAGCTGGGTCTCAAATGACCTGCAACGACCAATCACAAAGCTACAATCACAGCTCACACTGAGAGCACTGACCAGTCAGAGGCTGTAGGCTTACAGGTGTACCTGCGTTCAAACATGCGCAGTGAGTAGAGTTTGCAGGTGCAGCCGAGGGCGATGACCAATAGGAGGCCACAGATGAGGCTGCCGATGACAGCGGCGGTGATGACTCTGGTGGGAACGATGACGGGACAACTCTCCTCATCGCTGCCGTCACCGCAGTCGTCCTGAGCGTCGCACACCCACGACTCAAAGACACAGCGGTTATTCTGTAGGAAGGTCAGAGGTCAGACACACTGTGGTTATTCTGCAGGAAGATACTGTCCTGACACTGGTTTGTGTTCTACACCCTGACCCTGGCTTGTGTTCTACTTCCTGACCCTGGTTTGTGTTCTACTTCCTGACACTGGTTTGTGTTCTACAGCCTGACCCTGGTTTGTGTTCTACTTCCTGACACTGGTTTGTGATCTACTTCCTGACACTGGTTTGTGTTCTACAGCCTGACACTGGTTTGTGTTCTACAGCCTGACACTGGTTTGTGTTCTACAGCCTGACCCTGGTTTGTGTTCTACTTCCTGACACTGGTTTGTGTTCTACTTCCTGACCCTGGCTTGTGTTCTACTTCCTGACCCTGGCTTGTGTTCTACAGCCTGACCCTGGCTTGTGTTCTACTTCCTGACCCTGGTTTGTGTTCTACAGCCTGACCCTGGCTTGTGTTCTACTTCCTGACCCTGGTTTGTGTTCTACTTCCTGACACTGGTTTGTGTTCTACTTCCTGACCCTGGCTTGTGTTCTACAGCCTGACCCTGGCTTGTGTTCTACTTCCTGACCCTGGTTTGTGTTCTACACCCTGACCCTGGCTTGTGTTCTACTTCCTGACCCTGGTTTGTGTTCTACACCCTGACCCTGGCTTGTGTTCTACTTCCTGACCCTGGTTTGTGTTCTACTTCCTGTGACTGGTTTGTGTTCTACAGCCTGACCCTGGCTTGTGTTCTACTTCCGGACCCTGGTTTGTGTTCTACAGCCTGACCCTGGTTTGTGTTCTACAGCCTGACACTGGTTTGTGTTCTACTTCCTGACACTGGTTTGTGTTCTACTTCCTGACCCTGGTTTGTGTTCTACTTCCTGACACTGGTTTGTGTTCTACTTCCTGACACTGGTTTGTGTTCTACTTCCTGACACTGGTTTGTGTTCTACTTCCTGACACTGGTTTGTGTTCTACTTCCTGACACTGGTTTGTGTTCTACTTCCTGACCCTGGTTTGTGTTCTACTTTCTGACACTGGTTTGTGATCTACTTCCTGACACTGGTTTGTGTTCTACAGCCTGACACTGGTTTGTGATCTACTTCCTGACACTGGTTTGTGTTCTACTTCCTGACACTGGTTTGTGTTCTACAGCCTGACACTGGTTTGTGTTCTACTTCCTGACACTGGTTCGTGTTCTACAGCCTGACACTGGTTCGTGTTCTACATCCTGACACTGGTTTGTGTTCTACTTCCTGACACTGGTTTGTGTTCTACTTCCTGACACTGGTTTGTGTTCTACAGCCTGACACTGGTTTGTGTTCTACAGCCTGACACTGGTTTGTGTTCTACAGCCTGACACTGGTTTGTGATCTACTTCCTGACACTGGTTTGTGTTCTACAGCCTGACACTGGTTTGTGATCTACTTCCTGACACTGGTTTGTGTTCTACAGCCTGACCCTGGCTTGTGTTCTACAGCCTGACACTGGTTTGTGTTCTACAGCCTGACCCTGGCTTGTGTTCTACTTCCTGACACTGGCTTGTGTTCTACAGCCTGACCGTGATTTGTGTTCTACATCCTGACACTGGTTCGTGTTCTACTTCCTGACACTGGCTTGTGTTCTACAGCCTGACCCTGGTTTGTGTTCTACATCCTGACACTGGTTTGTGTTCTACTTCCTGACACTGGTTTGTGTTCTACTTCCTGACACTGGTTTGTGTTCTACAGCCTGACACTGGTTTGTGTTCTACTTCCTGACACTGGTTCGTGTTCTACAGCCTGACACTGGTTCGTGTTCTACAGCCTGACACTGGTTTGTGATCTACTTCCTGACACTGGTTTGTGTTCTACAGCCTGACACTGGTTTGTGTTCTACAGCCTGACACTGGTTTGTGTTCTACAGCCTGACACTGGCTTGTGTTCTACAGCCTGACCGTGATTTGTGTTCAACATCCTGACACTGGTTTGTGTTCTACTTCCTGACACTGGTTTGTGTTCTACTTCCTGACACTGGTTCGTGTTCTACAGCCTGACACTGGTTCGTGTTCTACAGCCTGACACTGGTTCGTGTTCTACAGCCTGACACTGGTTCGTGTTCTACAGCCTGACACTGGTTCGTGTTCTACAGCCTGACACTGGTTTGTGTTCTACATCCTGACACTGGTTTGTGTTCTACAGCCTGACCCTGGTTTGTGTTCTACTTCCTGACACTGGTTTGTGTTCTACATCATGACAGTGCTTTCTGGTTCCATGTTGACCAGCAGCCCAGTTTTTGTTACCTTGCAGTGGAAGTTCCCCGGCTGGCAGAAGAAGCAGTTCTTCTCATCAGAACCGTTGGGGCAGCGGTTCTGGTAGTTGCAACGGTCTGAACGAGGATAACAGGCTCCGTTTCTGGAACAGGGAAACTCATCCTCCTGACACGAAGAACAGTTGAGCTCATCCCGACCGTTGGGACAGTGCCAGTACCCATCACAGCGCTGCTGCTCAGTGTAACAGCCCCAGTTCCCCCCACAGGGAACTTCCCATGGCAAGCAGAACCCGTCCACCTTAAGGAAACAGAGGGAGAGAGCCACAGAAAAAAGTTAAACACAACTTCTTAAAAAGTCCACTCTTGACCCAGGGGTTTTAGCCAACTATAGACGGATTTCTAACCTCCCCTTCCTCTCTAAGATTCTGGAGAAAGTAGTCGCCAAAGAGTTGTGTGAATTTCTACATAACAATAGTTTATTTGAGGATTTTCAGTCAGGATTTAGAGTTCATCATAGCACAGAGACAGCTCTGGTTAAAGTTAATAATGACCTTCTGACTGCTTCTGACAATGGACTTGTCTCTGTACTTGTATTATTAGATCTTAGTGCTGCATTTGACACCATTGACCATAATATTCTTTTGGAGAGACTTGAGCATCAAATTGGCATTAAAGGAACCGCACTAAGCTGGTTTAAGTCATATTTATCAGATCGTTCGCAGTTTGTACATGTTAACGATGAATCTTCAATAAGTACTACAGTTAGTCATGGAGTTCCACAAGGTTCTGTACTTGGACCAATACTATTTACTTTATATATGCTCCCTTTAGGCAATATTATTGGGAATCACTCCATTAACTTTCACTGTTATGCAGATGATACGCAGTTATATCTATCAATCAAGCCCAATGAAATTAATCAATTATCTAAATTACAAACATGTCTTAAGGACATAAAATCCTGGATGACCTGCAATTTTCTGATGTTAAACTCAGAAAAAAACGAAATTCTTGTTCTTGGGCCCCAAAAACCTTAGAGACTCACTGTCTAAAGATATAGTTACCCTAGATGGCATTAACTTGGCCTCTAGCACCACTGTCAGGAATCTTGGAGTTATCTTTGATCAGGATTTGTCATTTAACTCCCACATAAAGCAGACCGCTAGGACTGCCTTCTTTCATTTACGTAATATTAGAAAAATTAGACACATCCTATCACAGACAGATGCAGAAAAACTAATCCATGCATTTGTTACTTCAAGGCTGGATTACTGCAACTCTTTATTATCAGGTTGCCCCAATAAGTACATTAAAACGCTCCAATTAATTCAGAACGCTGCAGCATGAGTACTGACAGGAACTAGAAAAAGAGATCACATCTCTCCTGTACTAGCTTCTCTGCATTGGCTCCCTGTAAAATGTAGAATAGAATTTAAAATCCTCCTCCTCACCTATAAAGCTCTTCATGGTCAGGCTCCTTCATATCTTAAAGAGCTCATAGTACCCTATTACCCCTCTAGAACACTACGTTCTCTGAATGCTGGGCTACTTGTGGTTCCTATAGTCTCTAAAAGTAGAACAAGAGCCAGAGCCTTCAGTTACCAAGCTCCTCTCTTGTGGAACCAGCTTCCATTTGTGGTTCGGGAGGCAGACACCCTCACCACATTCAAGAGTAGGCTTAAGACATTCCTCTTTGATAAAGCTTATAGTTAGGGCTGGATCAGGTGAGTCCTGAACTATCCCTTAGGTATGCTGCTATAGGCCTAGACTATCGGGGGATTTCCCATGGTGCACTGAGCTCCTCCCTTCCTCTCTCTTTCTGCACTCATTCATGTCCCATTAATGCATGTTACTAACTTCACTTCTTCCCCGGAGTTCTTGTGCTTTCTCGTCTCGCAGGTTCTTGTCGATCCTGGTGGAGCCTCCTGCCATGGTCCTGCTAGATTGCCATTGCTAATACTGTTGTTGCTGTGCACCTGTCTGTCTGTCTGTCTGTCTGTCTGTCTCTCGCTCTCTCTCTCTCTCTCTCTCTCTCACCCCAACTGGTCGAGACAGACGACCACCCACCTAGAGCCGGAGGATCTGTCCTAGGTTTCTGCCTTTTAACAGGCAGTTTTTCCTTGCCCTTGTCGCCAAGTGCTTGCTCATGGTGGTACTGTTGGGTCTCTGTAATTAATGTTTTAAAGAGTTCGGTCTAGACCTGCTCTATTTGAAAAGTGTCCTGAGATAACTTCTGTTATGAATTGGCGCTATACAAATAAAATTGAATTGAATTGAACCACCTTAACAACACAGAGTCAGAACCACATTAAAGGGTTTAACAGGTTCAATCAAACACACCTGGTAGGTAACGTTAAACCCTCTGGCAGCGTTGATCTTGTCAGCATAGAAGTGAACCCGGAGCTGACCGGAGGACGAAACCACAGCGACTGGCGCTCTGGAATCGAAGGCGGTCAGCACCCTGAGGAGACGGCGAGGGTTCTCCTCCAGGCCGTCATAGACCTTCACATAGTCGCCATATCCCGTCCCATCGAGTTTAAAGTCTGTGAACCTCAGGATGACCTGCACGAAGAACATGAGAAAATTCTTTACATTGAGTTCAGGGAGGAACTGGCGGGACATGTCTTTGTGGAGAGGATTGTGGTTACCTTTCTGTGGTCTCCGGTGTCTATCAGCCAGGTGCAGTTACTTCCTGGAGGGTAAAAGTCAGGGTAATTTGGAGAGCTGAAGGAGCCGTAGAAGTTCCTCAACCATTCTCCACAAGTGGGAACGTCACAGTCGATCTCGTCACCAAGGTCCTGAACAAATCATACATTTAGAACGTGTTGTTAGAGCTGTTTCAGGGTTCCTGCGTGCACAGAGCGCCGTTCACTGCTTTATTAAAGAGTAACTGACCCACAGCCACCTGGTTGGTTTGTTACCTGTGAGTGAACTGGTTTGTTACCTGGCAGTCGATGCTGCCGTCGCAGCGCAGGCTGTGTGGCAGGCAGGTGTAGATCCGGGTGTAGCGGGACAGGCAGGGGAACTGGTTCAGGCTGCAGGGCTGGAAGGAGAACGGCGAGTCCACACACAGTTCCTCATCTGAATTGTCTCCGCACTCATCCATGGAGTTGCAGCGCCACCAGTCTGGGATGCACTTCCCATTAGAACAGTGGAACTGGTCTACATCACAGCTGGATGCCTCTGGCTTACCTGTAACGATGACAGTGTATTATTGCTTACTGATTGATCAGTAACAAATAATACACTCATAACCTGGCACTTTAATCGGCGATTCTCTTACACATCGGAGGCTACCGACCCGGCTACCCTGACCGAAAGTGCTCGCCGGCGGCGCCGAGGTCATAAACAAAGGCAGGGGAGGAGAGGAGGGCTACAAGCTAAGCTAAAGCTAAATCCTCATCGGCTATCTCTACCCAGCATTTTCCTCGCCAATGTTCGGTATCTGGTGAACAAAATGGATGAACTGCGGCTGCGGATCATCTCACACAGTTGGATTAAGGACTGTAACATCATTATCTTCACTGAAACATGGCTCAACAGCGGCGTCCCCGATAGTGCAATTCAGCTAATGGGGCGCCGTGTCCTCCGGGCAGACAGAACGCTTGGTGCACGGACACTACTACAATCCGGAGTCACTGCTAACCTACAGTTTCTCATGGTGAAGTGTAGTCCTTTCTGTCTGCCCAGAGAGTTTACATCTACTGTTGTGACTGCAGCCTATATCCTCCTGTATGCTAATGCTAAACTTGCCATGAAAGAACTGCATGTTGCTATTAGCAAACATCAAACTTCACATCCTGAGGCAGCCTTTATTGTTGGGGGTGATTTCAACCACACCAACCTGAAGACTGTACTCTCCAAATTCCACCAGCATGTCTCCTGCCCCAGCAGAGGAGACAAGACCTTGGACAATACACATCACTCATCAAACGTGTGAAACCTGCTGTAAGAACTGTTAAAGTGTGGCCAGAAGGAGCTGACTCTACACTACAGCACAGGGTTTGAAAACACAGACTGGAGTGTGTTTGCCACTCAGGCCACCCTGGACTCACACATTGACATTGATACATATGCCTCCTCTGTTCTGGACAACATAAACACCAACATCGACAGTGTCACCACCCACAAGCAATCAGAAGCCATGGATGAACTGGGAGGTCGGCCTCCTGCTGAAGGCACGTGACACCGCTTTCAGATCTGGCGATGCACAAGCTTACAGCACATCCAGGGCTAACCCTAAGAGGGTCATCAGGAAGGCCAAGCACAGCCACAAGCTAAGGATAGAGGAGCATTTCAACAATAACTCCGACCCCCCGGCGCATGTGGCAAGGCATCCAGGCCATCACAGACTACAAGCCGACCAACACAACCACACCAGCCTGCGACACCTCCTTGTCAGACAAGCTCAATAACTTCTATGCTCGCTTTGAAAGGGAGAAACAGGAGGCGGGACCAAGGCTGCGCTCCCTGCAGACCACCAACTTCTCACACTTTCCACCATCGCCTCGTGTGCTGCTCTGAGCAGGACTAATGCATGTAAGGCTGCTGGTCTTGATGGCATCCCTGGACGTGTGCTCAGGGCCTGTGTTGGACAGCTAACTGACATCTTTAACCTGTCACTGGCCCAAGCAGTTGTCCCTACGTGCTTCAAAACCACATCCATCGTGCCGGTGCCCAAACACTCAACTGCAGGGAGCCTCAATAACTTCCACCCTGTTGCACTCACCCCTACCATCATGAAGTGCTTTGAGAGGCTGGTCCTGGTTCACCTCAAAACCAGCCTACCACCCATACTGGACCCTCTCCATTTCGCCTACTGCCAAAACAGGAGTACAGAAGACGCCATCTCTACAGCGCTACACTCTGCCCTTTCCCACCTGGACCACAGTAACACCTATGTGAGAATGCTGTTGATTGACTTCAGTTCAGCATTCAACACCATCCTCTCCTCTGGTCTGATCACCAAACTCAGCAACCTTGGCATCAGCACCCAATGTGTTCGGTTAGACAACCACACCTCCTCAACCCTAAACCTGAACACCAGTGTCCCACAGGGCTGTGTGCTGAGCCCCCTCCTCTACTCCCTCTTCACACACGTCTGAACACCTGTACATGGTTCCAACACCATCATCAAGTTTGCGGACGACACAACGGTGATTGGCCTCATCACTGACAACGACGAGTCGGATTACAGGGTGGAGGTCTGGCACCTGGTGACTTGGTGCGCCAACAACAACCTGGCCATCAACTCCAAGAAGACCAAAGACCAAATAGATCATTGTGGACTTCAGAAAAAATGGCGGCACACACACCCCCATCCGTATTAACGGAACCGAGGTTGAGCGTGTCCCCAACTTCGAGTCTGAGTGTCCACATCTCTGAGGACCTCTCTTGGACCCTGAATACCTCAACACTGATCAAGAAGGCTCACCAGTGTCTCTTCTTCTTGAGCAAGAAGGCCCATCTGTCTTCTCACATCCTGGTGAACTTTTACCGCTGCACCATCGAGAGGATTCTTACCATACTGCATCACAGTCTGTATGGAAACTGCTCGGCCTCAGACTGGAAACTCTGCAGAGGGTGGTGAAAACTGCCCAGCGTATCACTGGTTCACCTCTACCCAGCATTGAAGCTGTCCACAGCAAGTGATGTCTGCGGAAGGCGCACAGCATTGCGAGGGTCACCTCCCACCCAGGTCACAAACTGTTTGCCCTCCTCCCCTCTGGGAGGTGCTACAGGACTCTCCGTTCACGAACTAGCAAGTTCAGGAACAGCTTTTTTCCGGTCAATGAGACCCCCCACCCCCCTGAACTCCCACTGAACTCATACTGTAAATATATTAACTTATTGCTGTATATATTTATTCTGTTAATACTGTTCATAATGTAAATATCTTGCCAGCATATTCATATTTCTATAATGTTATTATTACTTTTTCTTCACATATTTCCGTACATTTGTAAATTACTTTGCACTTCTGGTTGATGCTAACTGCTTTGCGTTGTTTTGTACCTGTACTTACAATGACAATAAAGTTGAATCAAATCTGACCATGCAGCAACAATAAAACTGATCCTTCACAAATCCTCCAGTTCAGGTCCTTCAGGGATCAGCTGAGAGGATTTACCTCGGCTTCTGATCCAGGATTACGTTAGTCTGTAAACAGCTGTTATATCACACAATCCTCAGTCCTGAGTCTTTACCAGTAGGGATGGGAATCAGGCACCGGTTCTTCTTCAGAACCGGTGCCCAGTGAATCGATTCCTTGGAACCGTTAGCATGCCTGCTTAACGATTCCGCTTATCGGTTCCGCTCATTGCAAATGCGTCATGACGTCACACACGCGCTGCATTGTTTTGGTTCAGAACGCAGCAAACATGGCATCGAGGCAGAAGCGCTCTAAAGTTTTCACACGAAAAGACGGCAATACGGTCACTTGCAACACTTGTAAAGTTTCCATTCCGTCAAAGGGGGGAACTACCTCCAATATGCAGAAACATTTGGCCACACAGCATGCAATTCATTTGCATGACTGTCACGTCTTTGATGCACTACAACTTAGCGACAAGTGAGTCAAGCAGCAGCGGAGCTAACGGGACGCCATCTGTTATTAATGCCGAAGGTAACTTTAAACTCTCCAGGCAGGACAGCCCCTGTCTACTTAGTTAATGTGAGCGCCATTTCATTGTGTAAACTTTTACTATACGAATAATCTCCATTGTCATTGTCCATCAAATTTAGATGATAATGACAGCCAGAGTCTGGCTGGCTCAAAGGCTGGCTCTCACACTGGCTCAGAGGCTGCAGCAACTAGCTCTTGTGTACCTCTAGCTACTCCGTTCACAGAGGCAGGGAAGAATAAAATGACCGAGGCGAGGATAAACGAATGTCACCGAGCAGTGACTAAGTTTGTGGTAAAGGTTTGCACCCGTTTGCCACAGTAGATGCCTCTGAATTTCGGTAGATTAATTTGCTGTATTTTGTCCAGCATGTTTTTTCAAATGAAAATAACAAATGCATGCACACAAGTTGCATGTTTTTATGTCAGTATAGTTCTGTTTTATTAATTCCTAGTCCTACCATATATTTTCTGTAGGGAGATGATAAAGACTCTCAACCAAAAATACCCCAAACCGAGACAGTTTAACAAATCATCTGATTCCTGCTTGGTATGGGGTTGAAAAGAGAAATCTGATCACAGACCTGAAACATGTCACAAGCTCACCTACTTTTAGGTTTGTTCTGAGGTTGCTACACATAATTTGTGTATACTCTATGCTGTGTCTTCTGATCAGATATTAAAGCGAGTTAATACAAACAAACAAATAAATTTGTACTTATTCCCTCACCCAATGAGAATCAATAAGAGAATCGTTAAGAGAATCGATAAGGAATCGGATCGATAAGTAATATCGATAATGGAATCGGATCGATAAGTAATATCGATAATGGAATCGGAATCGTTAAATTCTTATCAATTCCCATCACTACTTACCAGTGATGTAGGACAGTCTGAACCCTTTCCCCGTCAGACTGTCATCAGAGTGGAAGTGGATCCAGACGTGGTCCTGGGAAGAGATGTAGGGGGGCGGCAGGGAAGAACCACAGACCCGCAGTCCGTCCAGGCTTCTGTAGCTGCTGATGGACATCCAGTCTGAGGAGCACCGATGGGAACCCTGGAGGTCAAAGTCCTGGAAACTACGGGACAAGGAAGAGGACGTTCAACACTGACTACTTACTAAAGTTAGCATTGATCAGGGTGTGACAAATATTGATTATCTTCAACATTTTCAAATGATAGTGGCTCTGATTATAGATTAGATATTTTTAATTGATTAAACATGTTATATGTTATGTGTTGATTTCTTAATATATGTATATTAACAAATGTGGTGTGAAGAAAATCAGAGATTTATTTTTACAATAAATATTTTGATATTTACTGTGACCGATGTAACCATGGAAACAGAGTTACCTGATGGTGACGGTGTCTCCCGGTCGCGCTCTAATGTTCCAGCTGCAGTTAAGTCGGGCCGGATACTGAAAGGGCCACCCAGGACTGGTGATGACCCCACTGGACGCCCGCAGGAGCTCCGCCACCTCGCCACAGGCTGAAAGACAGACAGGACGGGGACAGACAGACAGTTAGTCACACTGCAGATGTTCTTCATCGTGGCGACTGTGTTTGAGGACGTAAGCGTGACCTCACCATTAGAAATTCCTGACACGTAGACGTTGTCGTTCCTCTGAGACGCAGCAATGCATCCTGGGAAACACACAGACACAGTTAATAGGAAGACAACAGACTGGAAATGTGATAACACCACTGATTGATCATATTGTAGTAATTAATGAGAGCAGCTCGTTGATGCAACCATCTGCACTGACAGTAAAGTTACTGCTAGCACTAGTATTAGCAGCTAATGTTACAGAAGCTGTGTTTTATATATATGTGCATATATATATATGTGTGTGTACATACACACACACACACCGTGTTCCAAATTATTATGCAAATATGATTTCAATTAAACAAACACTTGATTTATGGTTTTTCAATGAAGGTTTTAATTGTTTGCTTCCTGTCTGTTTACATCACTGACATCAATCTCAGACAGGTCTGTCTTTATTAGTTTGCCAGGTGAGCCTAATTAATGGGAAACTAAAGGATGTTGTTCCACATTATTAAGCAAGTCACAGGTTTCATTCAATATGGGGGGAAGATCTTCCTGCAGATGAAATAGTGCAGTATCTTTCAATAGGTATGAAACCACTGGATATTTTACGAAATATTAAAAGAGATCATCGTCCTATGAAAAAATTTGTGTCTGATTCAGAGCGCAGAGGCTTTGTTCAGATAAAGGCGTGTTAAGGAAAGTTTCTGTAAGGCTAATTCATCGTATTCAGAGAGCAGTTGTAAAAAAGCCACTGATTATGGCGAACACTGGAGTCCCAAGATCCTCTTGATGCAGGATCCTCCAGAGGCTTGCTGATGTGCATAAAGCTGTATTTCAGCCGCCCTTAAACAATGAGACATGATTGCAGTGGGCTCAGAAATACATGAAGACTAATTGTTGAACAGTTTTATTCACGGATGTATGCCGTTCTACACTGGATGGTCCAGATGGATGGAGTTCTACACTGGATGGTCCAGATGGATGGAGTTCTACACTGGATGGTCCAGATGGATGGAGTTCTACACTGGATGGTCCAGATGGATGGAGTTCTACACTGGATGGTCCAGATGGATGGAGTTCTGAATGGCTACCCTGTCCAAACAAGGCTGCGATGTCAGCAAGGAGGTGGTGGAGGATGTTTTGGGCTGGAATCATGGGAAGTGAGTTGGTAGGCCCCTTTAAGGTGCCTGAAGGTGTCAAAATGACCTCTGCAAAATATGTGAAGTTCCTAACTGCCCATGGTATAAAAAGAAGAACCGTGCCCTCCGGAGTAAAATCATTTTCATGTAAGACAACGCACCATATCATGCTGCAACAAATACAAATGAGGCCTAGGCTGCTATGGGCATTAAGGGAGAAAGAATCACAGTGGGGATACCATCATCTCCTGACCTCAACCCTACTGAGAACCTGTGGAGCATCCTTAAAAGGAAGCTCTATGGGGGGGTAGAAACTGTACATGGACTTACAGGTTCAATGGTTGAGAGCGTTGTTAATGTGATATCAAAGAAGGGCTCCTATGTTAATATATAACTCCATCTTTAAAGATGTTTTTGATTTTTATAGCTTTGATTTGAGAAAAATGATCTTCTAATGCAAAAAACAGATTTCTGTTTTCAATCCTTTACAAACTATTGAGTGTTTAATCATTTGGAAAACTGCATTTTGAGTCATCATCAGTAACTGTGTTTAATACAATCCAGATTACGTTAGAATTGTTGAGGAATAAAAATCCTATTGTATATCTATAAATAGACAATAATCAATAATCAATAGGTTTGGACTGGGCAGCACACTGAATGTTTCACATCCAGATGTTCAAACAGGAAGTGATGTCAGAGAGGAATAAAGAGTCATTGGCAGATTGATCCTATTGATCGTATTGATTAGTGGTGATCAGACTCACCTGACAGGAGGAGCAGGTAGAGCACAGCCATAACGAGCCCGAGGCCTCCAGCTGATGATGATGATGATGAAGGTCAGCTAACGGCTGCTAATAAAACACTGAGCTCAGCTCTACTAGCTTAGCATCTGCTGCTACACTCACAAACAACAGTGTCCACTCTAATCTAGCTGCTAGCTAAGCTAACAGAGCTAGCCTGCTCTCCCATCATACACCGCCTGCTGCTGATGGAACAAAGACAGCAGCTAACAGCAGCTAACAGCAGCTAACAGCTGTTAGCATTACACACTCAACCACAGTGACGACCTCGATAGAGACAACCCTCATAAACACAATATATAACAACTATAACGTATAATACCCAGATATATATTTATATATGGATAGAAAGTGCTAACAGGCTAAACGGCTGCTTCTACACTAACACACAAGCTAACGGGCTAACATTAACAACACTGGCCGATTAGCTGCAACATGCTAACTGAGCTAAGCGGCTAGCTAGCCCGTCCTCCCCCACAGCCCGGAGCAGGACAGCTAACCCGGGTTAAAGGGAGATGACCCGGGTTAAAGGGAGATGACCCGGGTTAAAGGGAGATGACATAACCAGCTGACAGGTTAACAGCACGAGCGTCCCTCCGACATCCTCACAGTCTGTTAGCTGTTAGCTGTTAGCTTCAGTAACGAACAACAACAGTCCGCAGCGGAGAGAGAGAGAGTGTGTGTGTGTGTGTGTGTGTGTGTGTGTGTGTGTGAGTGTGTTACTGTGTGTGTGTGTGTGTGTGTGTGAGTGAGCTCCGCCCCTTAGCTTGTGACGTAATGAAGCATCAGTCATAACCTCTGACATCATCAGAACAAATTATTTAAACAATAACATTTTATTTTATTCACTTTTCAGAATCAGTTTGATTAACAGATTTTTATATTGTTCAATATTGTCAGTATAAATGTAAACAAATATACACAAACACATAAACAATATATACAAACAATATAAACAATATATACAAACATACAAACAATATAAACAAATATATACAAAAATATAAACAATATATACAACCAATATAAACAAATATACAAACAATATAAACAATATATACAACCAATATAAACAAATATATACAAACAATATAAACAATATATAAAAACATATAAACAATATATACAAACAATATAAAGAATATATATAAAATATATAAACAATATATACAAACAATATAAAGAATACATACAAAATATAAACAATATATACAACCAATATAAACAAATATACAAACAATATATACAAACAATATAAACAAATATATACAAACATATAAACAATACATACAAACAATATAAACAATATATACTAACTTTATTTTTTATTTCATCTCATTAATAGACTCAATTGGCTTCTGTCAGAGTGTAAATAAACCCACTCATTGTCTTAATCACACTCTTGACCTTGTTCTATAAGATGGCATTGATATTGAACATTTAAAAGTCTTCCCACATAATCCCTTTCTACGGAGCCCACATTGGATAAAAAAATAATAATGATAGTAAGAGAGATAGTAAAAATAGTAAAAATAATGCGTGGGCACGCGTTACTATCTCGTGGCCACGCGTTATTTTTTTTTTATCCAATGTCACCAGGTGGGCTCTGTACTTTTCTATCTGACCATTATTTAATAACTTTTGAATTCATACTATTAGATTATAAGCCATTAGGCAAAACGTCCTACAGCAGATGTCTATCTCACAGTGCTGTAGCTAAATTTAAGGAGGAGATTCCTTCAGTGTTTAATTCAATGTCTGAATATAACAAAGTTAGACAGACTACAGATCAGCATTCAACACAGTCAATCCATTCATTCCCTCTGAAAAGCTCCTCACCCTTGTACTGACACCCTCCCTCTGTAACTGGATGCTGAACTTCCTCACAGACAGACAGACAGACAGACAGATAGAAAGACCCCAGTCAGTCAGAGTTGGAGACCGGACATCAGGCATAAGAGCTGTGAGCACAGGGACCCCCCAGGGCTGCGTGCTGAGTCTCTACACCCTCTTCACCTACGACTGTGTGACCTCCCAGACCAACACCTGCATTATAAAGTTTGCAGACGACACCACGGTCATTGGACTGATCAGTTGTGGGGAGGAGACGGCATAAAGAAGAGAGGCAGCAGGAAAATAATCTCTCCTTAAACACAAACAAGACAAAAAAATAAAAAATAATCTTGTTGATAGTGCTGCAGGCTCACTACGAAGAACATTAGACTCTATCGCTCCTATAAATAGGAAATTATTAAAACATAGGAGACTAGCACCGTGGTACAACCACCAAACCCGCCAATTAAAGCAAAAAGCTAGGAAATCTGAAAGGAAATGGCGCTCTTCCAAATTATCAGAATATCGCACAATTTGGCAAAATAATCTTAAAACCTAAAGAAAGGCCCTCCGTAATGCCAGAGGAGCCTATTATTCAGCACTAATAGAAGAAAATAAGAACAACCCTAGGTTCCTCTTCAGCACTGTAGCCAGGCTGACAGAGAGTCACAGCTCTATTGAGCCACATATCCCCATAAACTTAAGCAGCAATGACTTCATGAGCTTCTTTTCTAATAAAATTATTACTATTAGAGAGAAAATTAATCACCAACTGCCATCAACAGTTATCAGTGGCTCTCCAAGTTCAGGAACTTTAACTAATATAACAGATATATATTTAGACTGTTTTTCTGCTATCGATCTTCATCAGTTAATTTCAATCATTTCTTCATCGAAGCCATCAACCTGTCTATTAGACCCGATCCCAACTAGGCTGCATAAAGAAGTCATACCCTTAATTGGCACTTCTTTACTGGATATGATTAATCTTTCTTAATTATCAGGATATGGACCACAGTCCTTTAAAGTAGCTGTAATTAAACCCCTTCTTAAAAAGCCCACTCTTGACCCAGGGGCTTTAGCCAATTATAGACCGATCTCTAACCTCCCCTTCCTCTCTAAGATTCTGGAGAAAGTAGTCGCCAAAGAGTTGTGTGACTTTCTACATAACAATAGTTTATTTGAGGATTTTCAGTCAGGATTTAGAGTTCATCACAGCACAGAGACAGCTCTGGTTAAAGTTAATAATGACATTATTATGCATTTGACACCATTGACCATGATATTCTTTTACAGAGACTTGAGCATCAAATTGGCATTAAAGGAACCGCACTAAGCTGGTTTAAGTCATATTTATCAGATCGCTCGCAGTTTGTACATGTTAACGATGAATCTTCAATAAATACTACAGTTAGTCATGGAGTTCCACAAGGTTCTGTACTTGGACCTATACTATTTACTTTATATTTGCTCCCTTTAGGCAAAATTATTAGGAATCACTCCATTAACTTTCACTGTTATGCAGATGATACACAGTTATATCTATCGATCAAGCCCGATGAAATTAATCAATTATCTAAATTACAAACATGTCTTAAGGACATAAAATCCTGGATGACCTGCAATTTTCTGATGTTAAACTCAGAAAAAAACGAAATTCTTGTACTTGGCCCCAAAAACCTTAGAGACTCACTGTCTAAAGATATAGTTACTCTAGATGGCATTACCTTGGCCTCTAGCAGCACTGTCAGGAATCTTGGAGTTATCTTTGATCAGGATTTGTCATTTAATTCCCACATAAAGCAGACCTCTAGGACTGCCTTCTTTCATTTACGTAATATTACAAAAATTAGACACATCCTATCACAGACAGATGCAGAAAAACTAATCCATGCATTTGTTACTTCAAGGCTGGATTACTGCAACTCTTTATTATCAGGTTGCCCAAATAAGTCCATTAAAATGCTCCAATTAATTCAAAACGCTGCAGCATGAGTACTGACAGGAACTAGAAAAAGAGATCATATCTCTCCTGTACTAGCTTCTCTGCACTGGCTCCCTGTAAAATGTGGAATAGAATTTACAATCCTCCGCCTCACCTACAAAGCTCTTCATGGTCAGGCCCCTTCATATCTTAAAGAGCTCATAGTACCCTATTACCCCACTAGAACACTACGTTCTCTGAATGCTGGGCTACTTGTGGTTCCTATAGTCTCTAAAAGTAGAACAGGAGCCAGAGCCTTCAGTTACCAAGCTCCTCTCCTGTGGAACCAGCTTCCATTTGTGGTTCGAGAGGCAGACACCCTCACCACATTCAAGAGTAGGCTTAAGACATTCCTCTTTGATAAAGCTTATAGTTAGGGCTGGATCAGGTGAGTCCTGAACCATCCCTTAGTTATGCTGCTATAGGCCTAGACTATCGGGGGATTTCCCATGGTGCACTGAGCTCCTCCCTTCCTCTCTCTCTCTGCACTCATTCATGTTCCATTAATGCATGTTACTAACTTCACTTCTTCCCCGGAGTTCTTGTGCTTTCTCGTCTCGCAGGTTCTCATGGATCCTGGTGGAGCCTCCTGCCATGGTCCTGCTTGACTACACTTGCCAATATCACTGATATGAGTGTCATTATTATTATAAAGTATTATTATAGCTACGGTTACTGTTGTTGCTGTTGTCACTGCTCATTGTCCCCCATCGTTGCTGTTCAATTCAGTTCAACTTAATTTTATTTGTATAGCACCAATTCATAACAGAAGTTATCTCAGGACACTTTTCAAATAGAGCAGGTCTAGACTGAACTCTTTATAACATTATTTACAGAGACCCAACAGTACCACCATGAGCAAGCACTTGGCGACAAGGACAAGGAAAAACTGCCTGTTAAAAGGCAGAAACCTAAGACAGATCCTTCGGCTCTAGGTAAAAGAGAGAGAGAGAGAGACAGAGACAGAGAGAGACAGAGAGACAGACAGTTGTCATGTTCATCATCATCAGTCACTACTATTAGTGTAGTTGTTGCTACTGTTGTTGCTGTGCACCTGTCTGTCTGTCTGTCTGTCTGTCTGTCTCTCTCTTTCACCCCAACTGGTCGAGACAGACGACCACCCACCTAGAGCCGAAGGATCTGTCCTAGGTTTCTGCCTTTTAACAGGCAGTTTTTCCTTGCCCTTGTTGCCAAGTGCTTGCTCATGGTGGTACTGTTGGCTCTCTGTAAATAATGTTATATGGAGTTATGTCTAACCTGCTCTATTTGGAAAGTGTCCTGAGATAACTTCTGTTATGAATTCGCGCTATACAAATAAAATTGAATTGAATTGAATTGGCGTGGCGGTGTCACAGCGCCACATACAGGCCTGGCATATGTACTACAGCGTTTTGGGTCGTTTCAGTGAATCCTGGTGGACGCAGATATTTCTGGAAACAACGCCGTGTGTACTAATGATTAAAGTGTATTCTATATAGGATCAATGTGACCTTACAAAATCAAAAAAGTTTTTTATCATCTAAATGGACTTTAGTAATCCTTCAGTCTAATGTTTATGAATAGTCTTATTATTACAGTTTATAACATTTTTACTAAATATAACCTAACAATAAAATAATATTTCTGTAATGGATTATAGTCACTTTTATCTATATTAATAATATTAATAAAATATATGATTAATTCAATTCAATTCAATTCAATTTTATTTGTATAGCGCCAATTCATAACAGAAGTTATCTCAGGACACTTTTCAAATAGAGCAGGTCTAGACCGAACTCTTTAAAACATTAATTACAGAGACCCAACAGTACCACCATGAGCAAGCACTTGGCGACAAGGGCAAGGAAACACTGCCTGTTAAAAGGCAGAAACCTAGGACAGATCCTCCGGCTCTAGGTGGGTGGTCGTCTGTCTCGACCAGTTGGGGTGAGAGAGAGAGAGAGAGAGAGAGAGAGCGAGAGACAGACAGACAGGTGCACAGCAACAACAGTATTGGCAATGGCAATCTAGCAGGACCATGGCAGGAGGCTCCATCAGGATCGACAAGAACCTGCGAGACGAGAAAGCACAAGAACTCCGGGGAAGAAGTGAAGTTAGTAACATGCATTAATGGGACATGAATGAGTGCAGAAAGAGAGAGGAAGGGAGGAGCTCAGTGCACCATGGGAAATCCCCCGATAGTCTAGGCCTATAGCAGCATAACTAAGGGATGGTTCAGGACTCACCTGATCCAGCCCTAACTATAAGCTTTATCAAAGAGGAATGTCTTAAGCCTACTCTTGAATGTGGTGAGGGTGTCTGCCTCCCGACATGTTTGTAATTTAGATAATTGATTTATTTCATTGGGCTTGTTTGATAGATATAACTGCGTATCATCTGCATAACAGTGAAAGTTAATGGAGTGATTCCCAATAATATTGCCTAAAGGGAGCATATATAAAGTAAATAGTATTGGTCCAAGTACAGAACCTTGTGGAACTCCATGAATAACTGTAGTATTTATTGAAGATTCATCGTTAACATGTACAAACTGCGAGCGATCTGATAAATATGACTTAAACCAGCTTAGTGCGGTTCCTTTAATGCCAATTTGATGCTCAAGTCTCTGTAAAAGAATATTATGGTCAATGGTGTCAAATGCAGCACTAAGATCTAATAATACAAGTACAGAGACAAGTCCATTGTCAGAAGCAGTCAGAAGGTCATTATTAACTTTAACCAGAGCTGTCTCTGTGCTATGATGAACTCTAAATCCTGACTGAAAATCCTCAAATAAACTATTGTTATGTAGAAAGTCACACAACTCTTTGGCGACTACTTTCTCCAGAATCTTAGAGAGGAAGGGGAGGTTAGAAATCGGTCTATAGTTGGCTAAAACCCCTGGGTCAAGAGTGGACTTTTTAAGAAGGGGTTTAATTACAGCTACTTTAAAGGACAGTGGTACATATCCTGATAATAAAGAAAGATTAATCATATCCAGTAAAGAAGTGCCAATTAAGGGAACAACTTCTTTAAGCAGCCTAGTTGGGATCGGGTCTAATAGACAGGTTGATGGCTTCGATGAAGAAATGATTGAAGTTAACTGATGAAGATCGATAGCAGAAAAACAGTCTAAATATATATCTAAGTTTACATTGACAGAAGTCCCTGAACTTGGAGAGCCACTGATAACTGTTGATGGCAGTTGGTGATTAATTTTCTCTCTAATAGTAATAATTTTATTATAGAAGAAGCTCATGAAGTCATTGCTACTTAAGTTTATGGGGATATGTGGCTCAATAGAGCTGTGACTCTCTGTCAGCCTGGCTACAGTGCTGAAGAGTGCTAATATTGTTCTAGCCTTTAAACAAAGCGCTATATGGATTGTCATTTATTTTATCTGGATTTAATACTGAATTATTTCTTTAATTGACTGGTTCAACTATTATTAATACTGATTGTAAAATATTGATTACCTAATCCACACAAACAGAAATCACTTTATTGAAACATTCAACAGTAGAAATCATAAATATTTTATTGTATTTGTGTTGGATTATAGTTTTATATCTACACTGTTTTAAGATAAACAACACAAATAACACTGGTTGTCACGGCAACATCGACTCTACAGTGGACCACAGACTGAGCACCAGGAGGCGCTCTGATCCAACGCTACGGCGACGCTGCTGCGACGTTGCTGACACTGCTGCTAACGCTATGGCGACGCTGCTGCTGATGCTGCTGCTGCCGACACTGAAGAGTTTCCCAGGTATCTCTGCAGGAAGTGGTCCAGACTGAAGACCGCCCCCCAGCCCACGGTAGGGTCCATACTGATGAAGTCATTCAGGTTCATCTGACACTCTGAGGAGGAAACACATCAAAGTGATGTCATCACAAGGTCACAGGCATTACATCATCAGACATGCTGACATCATGTGAACAATGTCATGATACAGGAGGCATCATGTGACCTGCGGTGTGTATAGGGGGGTAGAGTGGGGGGGGCGTCTTCCAGGTTCCATCAGGGTTCCTCATGTGAGAGCGATCAGACGCAAAGTTTAACAGGAAGCTGTCAGCAGGGACCACACGCAACTTCCTGTCAGAGACACAGAGACACAGAGACACTGTGATGTCACCTCCCCCACAGAGACCTAGACACCGCAAGCAACACACCTGTACAGGTAACACTCACCTGAACAGGTAACTCACACCTGTACAGGTAACACACACCTGAACAGGTAACACACCGGAACAGGTAACACACACCGGAACAGGTATATACTGAACACTGTATATATATGTGTATATATATATACACAGACTATATACTGAACACTGCATCGCTGCTTTAGGGAGCAGATTTTAATTCAGTCTGATTACAGGGAGAGAGCAGTTTTACATTAATATACGTTTCCTCTGGAAAACCTTTCACACTTTCTTTCTGTAATCTGTTAAAGGGGAACTTCGGCAGATTTTTAGCCTAGTCTTGATCACTAGAGGTCACTGAGTACTGTTGATAGAAAAAAGAACGACCAGAATTGGTTCTAGCAAACTGAAGATCCTGCAGCTAATGGCCAGAGCTCCCACTTAGTTATAATACACTTCTTGGGGGCATATCCTAAAGAGTGCCTTTTGCTCCTCTTAACAGACACAAAATGCAATTAAAATGTCTGTGCAACATGATCAGGGCCCTTACGTGACAACAACATGCCTTTTCAACTCATACGTTGTGCAGAAACCGTACAAAACAGTACTGTCGCCTACCTGTTTTTCCACCCCTCGCTTCACCGAAAGCCCAGAATAATCGATCACGGAGATAATGCCTTCGCAACGAAATTTTCGATTATGTCGATTATTTTGGGCTTTCGGTGAAGCAAGGGGTGGAAAAACTGGTCGTTCTTTTTCCTATCGACAGTACTCGGTGACCTCTAGTGATCAAGACTAGGGTAAAAATCTGCCGAAGTTCCCCTTTAATGAATTGCCGGGTCAATTTCTGAGATATTTTATTCGTTAATTTACCACTTTAATCTGTAAGAGAACAACAGAGATGCTCCGACATGAGCTCTGTCACGTAACTGATGAATGTACTAAGAGGACAATGAGCTTCCAACAACTCTGTGAGGGGGTGTGTTATCTGTACAGGTGGATGTTACCTGTGGTAGGCAGGTCTGATGTTGCGGTCTGAGCGGAGGGCCTGGTCAGCGTACAGCTGCAGGCTGCAGGGGAACGGCAGCTCAGAGTCCAGATCATAGACCAGAGAGTCCGACTGTAGACCGACCTGCAGCAGAACCACGTGGTAGTCCTGAAACAAATGATGACATCATTAATGACATCATTATTGTAGGATAGTAATTGCCAGAGGGTCAAATAGGAGGTGGTCTCAAGAGTCTTTGTTGGCGGTCCCATTAATGGACATTTATTTACAGGTGCTTGCAGGAAAAGTGCAAAACAAGAGAACTAGAAAATGATATTTATATAAGAAACTGAGACTAAATCAGCAAAAGAAAAACATTTTACAGTACAAGCCCTGGTGTCTGCTGAATATATCCCCACATACCTGCCTGTATGATGTACTATGGCCTCACCATCCTCCTCCGCAACTCGGGGAGTGCTGTGGCCACGTCGCGTGCCGTCGTAACACGTGCGGACCACAACATGAAAATCTCACGTAAATTAGCTCAAAATCGCCACGCAGCGCTTACTTCCTGTTGCCAGTAGGTGGCGCTATCACTATGTCGGAATGTTGTCATGTAGACATGTTCAAGGCGAGAGTGTTATCAAACACATGAAGTTTCATCGAGACTGGACCACGTACGCTGAAGTTATGAGGATGTGTTCACGGCAAAACTGTTTCAGAATATATGAAGTTTACTGGAGATTGGACATTGCACACTGAAGTTATGAGCAGTATTTTATGGCGAATCTGCTGAAATCGACAAGTTGTCACTGGCACGCGGTTTGATGTACAGTCACAAATAGCTCAACTTTTTAATCAGTTTGTATGACCACAGAATTCAAAATGGCCAACTTTGACCTCACGCCACAGACACGCCGTTCAACGTACAGTCTTAAATAGCACAACTTTTAATCAGCACCATTTTTTGACTGTACTGACCAATTTTGAAGTAGATCCGATAAATTCCCTAGAAGGAGTTCGTTCAAATACAACGCGAAAAGTTCGCTGAAAGTGAAAATGAAAATCAAAATGGCCGACTTCCTGTGGGGTTTTGGGTATGGGTCCATGAGGCTTTTTTGTACGTCCCGGCATGTTACACGTGCCTGCAGAGTTTCGTACATATCGGTGAAACGTGGCGCTGGGGCTGCTTTTTTTTCCTGTAGGGGGCGCTACAAACACGACAAACATGATTTTTGGTATGTGTGCTTCAGGCACCACTCTACACATGCCCTGTGAATTTCATATTCATAACTATTACGGTCTCCGCACAGTGATTTACCATGCCACCAGAGCGCCACCCAGTGGCGGATTGTTGACACATTTTTTAGTGAGCCTCAGGAAGCCATGGGGAAGCATCGTACCAAGTTTCATCTTAATCACACATACCGTTGTAAAGATATAAACTTCTTCTTTTAAAGAGTGCCACCTTGTGGTGATGGCCTGAAATTGAGCACGATGCTTAAGGAAGACGTGGAGAACTATGGACCCAAGTTTGGTGTCAATTGGACATACCAATGTGGAGAAATGCTCCACTTCCTGTTTTGACCATAATCTACAGGAAGTGCTAATTTTATAACGTGCTTATTTTTTGAAACATCAAAATACTTACATTTTTTTGCCAGGACGGTCTCCAGATGCTACGTGACAAGTTTCATTCAAAACGGACAAAAGTGCATGGATGGAACACGAAAACGTAGTTTATGGAATTTGAATTGAATTTGAGACAAACGATGCGGGAGTTATTAGCCTAAACCTACTTTTTAATTGCAGCGCCACCTAGTGGCCGAACAGAAAGCAACGCATAGAATATCTAAGTTTCACCAGGCCTGACCACTTTGCCAAATAAAATTACACTTTCATATATGTGACCTGCTCCATCATTTTGAGTCACTTTGACCCAGAAACACATTTTGAGTTTTCTTCATGGCTGTAAAGAGGAAAGTCTCAGCTTTATGGTGATACCAAAATTATTTTTCTACTCCAAAAATTGTATGAGACACGCTCTTCCAAAGGTCGATTGTCACCAAACCTTGTTTTTGAGAAAAAGGGCTCTAAAGATAGCAATCAACATTCCGCCATATTCCAAATGAATTGAAAGACATTTATACAGTTTATATTCAAATAAATAAACTTTACTGCTTTACTGCTTTACATCATTATAATCAGAGACATTGTATGCTACCATCGGGTCAGCCACGAGTGGAATATCTTCCTCCTGGCCTCCGTCACACTCACTTTCTTCGCCATCACGATCGGAGCCGGCCGGTGTCGGTAGCGCGAAATACCGGAGGTCGAGCCGCCGCTGTCACTCTCACTCTCAGCTGCCGGTGCGGTGAAAAAGTCCGTAATAAGGTCGATCCAGTTGTCGTCTGAAGTAGCATGTCTTACAGGAATTGAATTTAAAAGTTGAGCAATTTCGTCGTCGCGAAAATTAATTTTGTCTAGGCTGTCAATCTGTCAATCTGTCTCTGTGTCCGTGTCGATCTAAACTGACAGTTGACAGATGACGCAGATGACACAAACATGCTAGCCGGTGTTTTGAACTCTGACACCTGTTTCGTTTTATTTATGCTAGCTATGTTTATCCTTTGTATTTTACATTAATTTTGACATGGTATGAAAGCTGAGACTTTATTTAATTAGAAACATGTAAAAACTGAAAATAGCCCAAAATTGTATTTTCTTGTAAAAACGTGTTTCTACACAAACGGGCCGCTGCGACATCCGACTCATTTTGATGGAACGCGTCACATATGTTCAGGGGGGCAAATTAGCAGTCAAAGTTTACTACAAATAATAATAACTTTTGCAATATCAATAGGGACCTCCAGCAGTCGCTGGCTCGGTCCCTAACAAGTGGCATTCACTGCGTCACTACGGCAACACGGTTTAATAAAAATTCATAAGATTCATTAGATGTCATTGTCAACAGTCTAAGGGTCTTCCGACCAAATATCAGCTGGATGTGGTCAATCTGCTGGGAGAAATACATAAAAGTGTAATAAATTATATTTCTGGTTACCACCAGGTGGCGCTACCGCTTCTACTGTATATCATTGCATAGATGTGATTTCATACTCATAGGTGAAAGGTAGGGGGCTCAATAGGGGGCGCCGTTGATCCGTTTTTCCAAGAATATGTCCGAGACCCATAAAATTCGCCAAGTTTTGCCAAGCGTGGCCTGGGCGCAGATTTTCAGGACTTTTCGAATATGATAAAGCCTCAGAAAAGGCATTAGAAATGTCTGAATAATAATAATTCCTACAATTACAATAGGCCCTTTGCACGATTTGTGCACGGGCCCTAATAAAATAAAAAATAAATGATATAGGCAGATGTAACTGAAATGTTTCTCTGTCATTACTGCGTTAAATTTAAGGATGATGGATAGACCAGATATAATCCTAAACACAAACCCAGGATAGTAATGTGTATTGGCGCTATCAGGTGGAACAGTTAACAAAACAGGTAATATAACAAGACAAACAAAGGTGTGATAATGAAATGGCTAGAAATGAACACAAGTGACAAATGACTTGGATTAATCCACAGAGACATCACAGACCCAAATTACTGGCTGGTCTCTACGTCCGGACTTCTGCTTCCACAGAGGAACCTGACGGAGAACAGAGAACATCTGAACGTCAGCTGAAGAACAAAACAGACGTTATAGAACGTGACAAATGTTTTATAGAATCTGACAGACGTTATATAGAACCTTACGGATGTTATAGAACCTGACAGACGTTATATAGAACCTGAAAGACGTTATATGGAACCTGACAGATGTTTTATAGAACCTGATAGATGTTTTATAGAACTTGACAAATGTTTTATAGAATGATTTTATAGAGAATCTGGAAAATGTTTTACAGAATCTTGCAGAGATGTTCTAGCAGCTTCATGTTCTCCTGTGTGTTCTCACCATTCTGTTCTCATTAGAGATGAAAACTACAAACAGTTCGTCCAGCGATGCAGTTTGCTCCGTTCTGACAAACTCACAGAGTTTCCAAACATTTTCTTCACTGCAGAACAAGAACAGAACAGAACCAGTGAGACACCAGTAGAACAAGTTAGTAGAGAACTGCTTAACCGGTCATTTGTGGTTCTACACTGATAGAAACTGGATGTGTTGTTATTGACTAATATGATCAGCAGCCAATCAGACGTTAGGTCACTCTTTAACCTGAGGGTCTAGCTGCCAGCTGCTGTTACAACTCAATACATTACCTGTGTGTACAATACAAACAGTTTGGCCTTTCTGAATGGTTTCCTCTGGGTTCTCTAGTTTCCCCACAATTAATTAACTTCAGTCAGTGCCATTGAGCAAGGCACTGGCTCAGACCTGGAGTTGGTCACTGCTCCTAGTGCTTACTCTGAGTGTATAACACAAACCATCTTTACCACGAATGTTCATGTTATATATTACAGTAGCAGTATATATTGCAGTATCAGTATATGTTGCAGTAACAGTATATATTGTAGTAACAGTATATGTTGCATTAGCAGTATATGTTGCAGTAACAGTATATATTGAGTTCCACAAGGTTCTGTACTTGGACCAATACTATTTACTTTATATATGCTCCCTTTAGGCAACATTATTAGGAATCACTCCATTAACTTTCACTGTTATGCAGATGATACGCAGTTATATCTATCAATCAAACCCAATGAAATTAATCAATTATCTAAATTACAAACATGTCTTAAGGACATAAAATCCTGGATGACCTGCAATTTTCTGATGTTAAACTCAGAAAAAAACGAAATTCTTGTTCTTGGCCCCAAAAACCTTAGAGACTCACTGTCTAAAGATATAGTTACTCTAGATGGCATTAACTTGGCCTCTAGCACCACTGTCAGGAATCTTGGAGTTATCTTTGATCAGGATTTGTCATTTAACTCCCACATAAAGCAGACCTCTAGGACTGCCTTCTTTCATTTACGTAATATTAGAAAAATTAGACACATACTATCACAGACAGATGCAGAAAAACTAATCCATGCATTTGTTACTTCAAGGCTGGATTACTGCAACTCTTTATTATCAGGTTGCCCCAATAAGTCCATTAAAACGCTCCAATTAATTCAGAACGCTGCAGCACGAGTACTGACAGGAACTAGAAAAAGAGATCACATCTCTCCTGTACTAGCTACTCTGCATTGGCTCCCTATAAAATGTAGAATTGAATTTAAAATCCTCCTCCTCACCTATAAAGCTCTTCATGGTCAGGCCCCTTCATATCTTAAAGAGCTCATAGTACCCTATTACCCGACTAGAACACTACGTTCTCTGAATGCTGGGCTACTTGTGGTTCCTATAGTCTCTAAAAGTAGAACAGGAGCCAGAGCCTTCAGTTACCAAGTAACAGTATATGTTGCAGTTGCAGTATATATTGTAGTAACAGTATATGTTGCAGTAACAGTATATGTTGCAGTAACAGTATATGTTGCAGTAACAGTATATATTGCAGTAACAGTATATGTTGTAGTAACAGTATATATTGCAGTAACAGTATATGTTGCAGTTGCAGTATATATTGTAGTAACAGTATATGTTGCAGTAACAGTATATGTTGTAGTTGCAGTATATATTGTAGTTGCAGTATATGTTGCAGTAACAGTATATGTTGCAGTTGCAGTATATATTGCAGTAACAGTATATGTTGCAGTAACAGTATATGTTGTAGTTGCAGTATATATTGTAGTAACAGTATATGTTGCTGTAACAGTATATATTGCAGTAACAGTATATGTTGCAGTAACAGTATATATTGCAGTAGCAGTATATGTTGTAGTAACAGTATATGTTGCAGTAACAGTATATGTTGCGGTAACAGTATATATTGCGGTAACAGTATATATTGCGGTAGCAGTATATGTTGCAGTAACAGTATATGTTGCAGTAACAGTATATGTTGCAGTAACAGTATATATTGCAGTAACAGTATATGTTGCAGTAACAGTATATATTGCAGTAGCAGTATATGTTGTAGTAACAGTATATGTTGCAGTAACAGTATATGTTGCAGTAACAGTATATATTGCAGTAACAGTATATGTTGCAGTAACAGTATATATTGCAGTAGCAGTATATGTTGTAGTAACAGTATATGTTGCAGTAGCAGTATATGTTGCAGTAGCAGTATATGTTGCAGTAACAGTATATATTGCAGTAGCAGTATATGTTGCAGTAACAGTATATGTTGCAGTAACAGTATATATTGCAGTAGCAGTATATGTTGTAGTAACAGTATATGTTGCAGTAGCAGTATATGTTGCAGTAGCAGTATATGTTGCAGTAACAGTATATATTGCAGTAGCAGTATATGTTGCAGTAACAGTATATGTTGCAGTAACAGTATATGTTGCAGTAACAGTATATGTTGCAGTAACAGTATATATTGCAGTAGCAGTATATGTTGTAGTAACAGTATATGTTGCAGTAACAGTATATGTTGCAGTAACAGTATATATTGCAGTAACAGTATATGTTGCAGTAACAGTATATATTGCAGTAGCAGTATATGTTGTAGTAACAGTATATGTTGCAGTAGCAGTATATGTTGCAGTAGCAGTATATGTTGCAGTAACAGTATATATTGCAGTAGCAGTATATGTTGCAGTAACAGTATATGTTGCAGTAGCAGTATATGTTGTAGTAACAGTATATATTGCAGTAACAGTATATGTTGCAGTTGCAGTATATATTGTAGTAACAGTATATGTTGCAGTAACAGTATATATTGCAGTAGCAGTATATGTTGTAGTAACAGTATATGTTGCAGTAACAGTATATGTTGCGGTAACAGTATATATTGCGGTAACAGTATATATTGCGGTAGCAGTATATGTTGCAGTAACAGTATATGTTGCAGTAACAGTATATGTTGCAGTAACAGTATATATTGCAGTAACAGTATATGTTGCAGTAACAGTATATATTGCAGTAGCAGTATATGTTGCAGTAACAGTATATGTTGCAGTAACAGTATATGTTGCAGTAACAGTATATGTTGTAGTAACAGTATATATTGCAGTAGCAGTATATATTGCAGTAACAGTATATATTGTAGTAACAGTATATATTGCAGTAACAGTATATATTGCAGTAGCAGTATATGTTGCAGTATATTTTGCAGTATTTACCAGTAACAGCTGGTATAAACGCAGTTTTCGCGGCTCTGTGTGATTCTGACCTCACTCTTCATTTCGGTGTCACACTGAAGACGCTCCGCCGGAACAGATATATGACGTGACATCCGGTAGAGTAGCTCTCTGTATATACTTCATATAACAGTCAGTGATTTATAGGGAGGACAGAGTTTAAAGCCGACCATGTTTCCCGCCCTTCCATGTTATATACGTTCGTTAATATTTGTTGATATCGCTGCCAGCTGACACAAACACTGCAGCTACCGGACGCTGTGTGCGCCTGCGCACTATGGCCGGCGGACCTGCAGTAAACTGTATTCATCAATAATGACTTCTACTGTATTCCTTACGACTGTACTTATACTCTCTAGCACACTCAATCAGGGATCAATTCTCTGCATTAGTACTCATTCATTACCAGTGATGGGAATAACGGCGTTACTTTTTTCAGTAACGAGTAATCTAATTGATTACTCTTCCCATCTTAATAGCGCTGTTACCGTTACTGCCAAACAATGCGGCGCGTTACTATAATTGAAGGTGTTTTTTCCATCAGACCAAAGAGATCTCTGAGCCGAGAGACAAACACCTTTTACTGTCCTCAGTTAGTGGGCAGTGCACGAGACAAGCGCATAAATGCTGCTGATTGGCTGAGGCTGAGGAAAATTCCACGGTCAGCCAATCAGAGGTAGAGTTGGGCGGGTGTTCGAAAGCACGGACACACAACGAACAACACAAGAGTCAGTGAGCGAGAGACAGGTATGGCCAGTTGTGTTGCTTCTTATTACATCTGCACTGAAGAGTGTATATATTGTCTGAATACATGTTTGGTACATTGCTTAAAGAGCATCATTTCATTTAGATTTATTTGTTGGCTGGCTGCAGCCTCTCAATGGCCAGAGAAAGATTTATTTTTATGGAGATGTATTTTTTATTTTGTATGTATTACCTGTTTATATTCGGATTCCTTAGTTTTGGTATACATTGTACTTTTCAGTTAGATTGAAAGCACCTCATATTGGCACACTGTTCTACTTTTTCGTGGAAGAAAATACTTGAAGTACAGTATATCTATCAATTGTCTGAAGTTTTTTTTTGTTTTATTTGCACTACAAAGAGTGTATATATTTGTTATTTATTTTTGGTATAGTGCTTAACAAGCATAATTGAATTTTGCCCAGTTGTGGCCTGTTGAGGGGCAATAAATATCAAAAGTTCTAAAACATCTATTGTGTTATTGTATGGATCCACTATATAAACATAATATCTACATACATGGCATTTGATTGGAGGCTAGTCTCACTTTGTCCCAACATTAAAATAGTTTAGATTTGTGTCCATTGTTTCTGTTAATAATGTATTAAGTGTCCATCTCATTATAATATTCAGATTTATCATAAATAATTGAACATGTATTTTAAGTTCAGTTAAAGAGGGGTGGAGGTGGGCTCACATTGCAGCATTTAAAAATTTACTTGAAAGTAACGCAATAGTTACTATCTGAAGTAACTAGTTACTTTTATAATTTGTAACTGAGTAACTAATTTAGTTACTTTTTGGAAGAAGTAACAGTAACTAATTACTTTTAAAAAGTAACTTGCCCAACACTGGTCATTACACACTGTTATATACTGTAACATCTTTTAACATCCTTATTATTGCTTTCTGTAGCAACTGTAACAGTAAGTGTTTCTGATATAGATCAAACCTTTCAAATTAAAACCCTCCATTGGCTGCAGGAGCACTCGGGAGTGATTGATTGACATATTGATATATTGATCTCAAACACTAACAGCAGGGGGTCCACACGCTCCACAATCACCAACAAACCAACAAACAGATTGAAAGTTTCACTTTAATTAAAAACAAACACTAAGAAAGAGGGTTACAAGGTCAAAGGTCAAACATGACAACTGCAGAGTACCCAGAGGTCATGGTCCTGGGTTAGGGTGGTATCCAAGCAGCCACCGTGGTGTTGGTTGCTAGGATACCAAAGGTATGTTGATATGACCACCTTCACCCATGTACAGAGGTGTTGAGCTGGTGGCCGGGCTGGTCGGTTGCCGGGCTGGTCGTTAGGTGAAGAGGCGGATGGTGGCGTCAGATCCAGAGGAAAAGATCCAGGGCTGCGTGGGGTGAAAGGTCACATCCAGGACGCCAAGGTCATGAGTGATCACATGACCTCTGAGAACTTTCACTGGAACAATCAACGGGTTCTGCAGCAGGTCGCTGTGGGGGGGGGGACAGGAAGTCAGGGGTACTGTAGTACAGTGTGTGTGTGTGTGTGTGTGTGTGTGTGTGTGTGTGTGTGTGTCTTTGAGTGTGTGTGTGTCTTTGAGTGTGTGTGGTGTCTTTGAGTGTGTGTGTGTGTGTGTCTTTGAGTGTGTGTGTGTGTGTAGTACAGTGTGTGTGTGTGTGTGTGTAGTACAGTGTGTAATACAGTGTGTGTGTGTGTGTAGTACAGTGTGTAGTACAGTGTGTGTGTGTGTGTGTGTAGTACAGTGTGTGTGTGTGTAGTACAGTGTGTGTGTGTGTGTGTAGTAGTGTGTGTGTGTGTGTGTGTAGTACAGTGTGTGTGTGTGTAGTACAGTGTGTGTGTGTGTGTGTGTGTGTGTGTAGTACAGTGTGTAGTACAGTGTGTGTGTGTGTAGTACAGCGTGCTACGGTAAGCGTACTGACTCATTCCCGGTTCACTTCCTGCTCTGTGTACACTGTTTGGTGCTGTAGCTCTGTCAGTGAACGCTAAATATAAATTTGTTTTACTCATTACAGCGGTTATTTACCCGCTTAACATTTAAACGTAGACTAGTTCTACCTAAACACTCAGAGTTACTCCTTCTTTTAGCGACTTTTCACTACTTTCAAAAATTTTTCATATACGCTAGTTTCATTAGCATTAGCAGTTAGCTATGGCTTCTTCCTCTCCCTCTCCTCTGTCCTGCTCAGTGTGTCAGATGTTCAGTTATTCCTCTGCCTCCTTTAATGATAATGGTTCTTGTATTAAGTGTAGTTTATTTACTGCGCTGGAGGCGAGGCTTAGTGAGTTAGAGGAACGGCACCGCACCACTGAGACATCTTTAGCCGCTATAGTTAGCCAGCCCCCAGTAGCCGGTGCGGTCCGACCGAAGGTAGCTTCTGCTAGCTCTGTAGATCCCCCGGTAGTTCCTCCGGTAGTTCCCCCGGTAGTTCCCGAGCAGCCGGGAAGACAGGGAGGCTGGGTGACTGAGCGAAGGAAGACTAAAACGCCGAAGCCCACAGTTCACCACCAACCCATTCACGTTTCTAATACATTTTCCCCACTCAGCGATACACCCGCTGAGGAACCAACTCTGGTTATTGGCAGCTCCATAGTCAGAAACGTGAAGTTAGTGAAGCCAGCGGCCATAGTTAAATGTATCCCTGGGGCCAGAGCTGCTGGCGAAAGGTAAACGTAAATACAGTAAGATTGTTATCCACGTCGGCGGTAATGACACCAGATTACGCCAATCGGAGTTCACTAAGATTAATGTGGAGTCGGTGTGTAACTATGCTAAGACAATGTCGGACTCCGTAGTTTTCTCTGGACCCCTCCCCAATGTGACCAGTGATGACATTGTAGCCACATGCGCTCGGGGGCGGGGTAAGGCCTTTTGGGCCTTTGGGAGAGGCCCCCCCGGAAAATATATGGAAAATTTTTTCTAAAAACCCAAACCCCCAAAGGGGAAACACGGAACAGCACCCCCCCCTCCCCCCCCCCCCCCTCTCTTTCCCTCCCCCCCCCCCCCCCCCCCAAACCCCCCTGTCCCCCCCCCCCCCCCCAACTATTTAAAAAAAAAAAAAAAAAAAAAAAAAAAAAAAAAAAAAAAAAAAAAAAAAAAAAAAAAAAAACAACACAAAAAAAAAAAAAAAAAAAAAAAAAAAATATAAAATTTTAAATCCCCCCTCTCAACTCTTTTTAAAAAAAAAAAAAAAAAAAAAAATAAAAATAAAATTTTATTTTTTTTTTACCTTCTCCCCCCCCCACCAAAAAAAAAAAAAAAAAAAAAACAACCCCCCCCCCCCCCCCCCCCTCAAACCCCCCCCCCCCCGGCCCCAGGGCCGGAGGGGGGGAGAAAAAAAAAAAAAAATTATATAAAACTAAAAAAAAAAAAAAAAAAAAAAAAAAAAATTAAAAATTATTAATTTTCTTCCTTCCCCCTCCCCCCCCCCCCAAAAAACCCAAAAAAAAATTTTTTTTTATAATTTCCCCCCCCCCCCCCCACCCATCCCCTTATTTTTTAAATTTTTTTATAAATTTTTAAATTATTTAATAAAAAAAAAAAAAAAAATAATTTATTTAATTTTATTTTTATATTTAAAATAAAAAAAAAAAAATCATTAAAAAAAAATTTAAAAAAAAAAAAAAAAAAAAAAAATTAAAAAAAAAAAAAAAAAAACAAAAAAAAAAATAAAAAAAACCTTTAACCCCCTTTTTTTATTTTTAAATATTAAATTAAAATTTAAAAAAATAAAAAAATAAACATAAATATTTTAAAAATATTTAAAAAATTTTAAAAAAAATTTAAAAAAAAAATAAAAAAATATTTAAAATTTTTTTATTTTTGAAAAAAAAATCGCTCCTATAAAAAGGAAATTATTAAAACATAGGAGACTAGCACCGTGGTACAACCACCAAACCCGCCAGTTAAAACAAATAGCTAGGAAATCTGAAAGGAAATGGCGCTCTTCCAAATTATCAGAATATCGCTATTTCAATTTGGCAAGATAATCTTAAAACTTATAGAAAGGCCCTCCGTAATGCCAGAGGAGCCTATTACTCAGCACTAATAGAAGAAAATAAGAATAACCCTAGGTTCCTCTTCAGCACTGTAGCCAGGCTGACAGAGAGTCACAGCTCTATTGAGCCACATATCCCCATAAACTTAAGTAGCAATGACTTCATGAGCTTCTTCTATAATAAAATTATTACTATTAGAGAAAAAATTAATCACCAACTACCATCAACAGTTATCAGTGGCTCTCCAAGTTCAGGGACTTCTGTCAATGTAAACTTAGATATATATTTAGACTGTTTTTCTGCTATCGATCTTCATCAGTTAACTTCAATCATTTCTTCATCAAAGCCATCAACCTGTCTGTTAGACCCGATCCCAACTAGGCTGCTTAAAGAAGTTGTTCCCTTAATTGGCACTTCTTTACTGGATATGATTAATCTTTCTTTATTATCAGGATATGTACCACAGTCCTTTAAAGTAGCTGTAATTAAACCCCTTCTTAAAAAGCCCACTCTTGACCCAGGGGTTTTAGCCAATTATAGACCGATTTCTAACCTCCCCTTCCTCTCTAAGATTCTGGAGAAAGTAGTCGCCAAAGAGTTGTGTGAATTTCTACATAACAATAGTTTATTTGAGGATTTTCAGTCAGGATTTAGAGTTCATCACAGCACAGAGACAGCTCTGGTCAAAGTTAATAATGACCTTCTGACTGCTTCAGACAATGGACTTGTCTCTGTACTTGTATTATTAGATCTTAGTGCTGCATTTGACACCATTGACCATAATATTCTTTTACAGAGACTTGAGCATCAAATTGGCATTAAAGGAACCGCACTAAGCTGGTTTAAGTCATATTTATCAGATCGTTCGCAGTTTGTACATGTTAACGATGAATCTTCAATAAATACTACAGTTAGTCATGGAGTTCCACAAGGTTCTGTACTTGGACCAATACTATTTACTTTATATATGCTCCCTTTAGGCAACATTATTAGGAATCACTCCATTAACTTTCACTGTTATGCAGATGATACGCAGTTATATCTATCAATCAAGCCCAATGAAATTAATCAATTATCTAAATTACAAACATGTCTTAAGGACTTAAAATCCTGGATGACCTGCAATTTTCTGATGTTAAACTCAGAAAAAAACGAAATTCTTGTTCTTGGCCCCAAAAACCTTAGAGACTGACTGTCTAAAGATATAGTTACTCTAGATGGCATTAACTTGGCCTCTAGCACCACTGTCAGGAATCTTGGAGTTATCTTTGATCAGGATTTGTCATTTAACTCCCACATAAAGCCGACCTCTAGGACTGCCTTCTTTCATTTACGTAATATTAGAAAAATTAGACACATACTATCACAGACAGATGCAGAAAAACTAATCCATGCATTTGTTACTTCAAGGCTGGATTACTGCAACTCTTTATTATCAGGTTGCCCCAATAAGTCCATTAAAACGCTCCAATTAATTCAGAACGCTGCAGCACGAGTACTGACAGGAACTAGAAAAAGAGATCACATCTCTCCTGTACTAGCTTCTCTGCATTGGCTCCCTGTAAAATGTAGAATAGATTTTAAAATCCTCCTCCTCACCTATAAAGCTCTTCATGGTCAGGCCCCTTCATATCTTAAAGAGCTCATAGTACCCTATTACCCCACTAGAACACTACGTTCTCTGAATGCTGGGCTACTTGTGGTTCCTATAGTCTCTAAAAGTAGAACAGGAGCCAGAGCCTTCAGTTACCAAGCACCTCTCTTGTGGAACCAGCTCCCATTTGTGGTTCGGGAGGCAGACACCCTCACCACATTCAAGAGTAGGCTTAAGACATTCCTCTTTGATAAAGCTTATAGTAAGGGCTGGATCAGGTGAGTCCTGAACCATCCCTTAGTTATGCTGCTATAGGCCTAGACTATCGGGGGATTTCCCATGGTGCACTGAGCTCCTCTCTTCCTCTCTCTTTCTGCACTCATTCATGTCCCATTAATGCATGTTACTAACTTCACTTCTTCCCCGGAGTTCTTGTGCTTTCTCGTCGAGCAGGTTCTTATCGATCCTGGTGGAGCCTCCTGTCATGGTCCTGCTAGATCTCTCTCTCTCTCTCTCTCTCTCTCTCTCTCACCCCAACTGGTCGAGACAGACGACCACCCACCTAGAGCCGGAGGATCTGTCCTAGGTTTCTGCCTTTTAACAGGCAGTTTTTCCTTGCCCTTGTCTCCAAGGTCTTGCTCATGGTGGTACTGTTGGGTCTCTGTAATTAATGTTATAAAGAGTTCGGTCTAGACCTGGTCTATTTGAAAAGTGTCCTGAGATAACTTCTGTTATGAATTGGCGCTATACAAATAAAACTGAATTTAATTGAATAGTACAGTGTGTGTGTGTGTGTGTGTGTGTGTGTGTGTGTGTAGTACAGTGTGTGTGTGTGTGTGTGTAGTACAGTGTGTAGTACAGTGTGTATATTACTTGTAAACGGTCCCGTGACAGACGATGACCGATCCGTCGTCAGACGCCGAGGCGAACAGCGGGTACAGTCTGTGATAGGCCACGCCCCTCACAGCCTTCTTATGGTGTCTGCAGAAAGTGATCACACCATCAATATGATCAAGACAACATCAATATGACCAATACATCATCAATACAACATCAATATGACCAATACAACATCAATTTGATCAATACAACATAACATCAATATGATCAATATAAGTCTGAACAATGCATAAGAGATCAATAATCTAATACGTTGCCTCTAAGCGATTGACAGGTGTGTGTTTAATTGACAGGTACGTACCGTAACATCTTATAAGGTTTGGTTGAGAGGTCGAGGTCGAACCAGCTCAACCTGCAGTCGTAACTCCCACAGACCACATGATCACCTGTAGACAGGGTCAGGTGTTAATATGGATCAGGTGTTAATATGGATCAGGTGTTAATATGGATCGTGGTGGATTTGGTTACCTCCGGGGTGGACAGCCATGCTGGAGATCCACTTGGAGTTGGCCTGTAGTTTTTTGGTCATTTCCTGCTTGACCAGGTTGTAGATCCTGACGGAGCGCTGCGTCGCCACGAAGAAGTAGGGCCTGACAGGGTGGAAGGATACACACTGAACCAGACCTTTGTTCTTTCTGAAGGGGTTCTGGCTCCGCCTCCGGCTCACCTGGTGGATGAACACCTGCAGGTGGCTCGAGTGATCTGGCATCACTGACGCCAGGTAGTCTCCTTTAGCGTGCCATGCCACCTGGTGGACGGCCTGCAGAAATCAATACTGATCAGTTAGTTCAGTGCAGGTTTTGATCAGGAATCTATAATCAATCAGGTGTACCCTCTCACCTTGGGATGTTGTATTTTGAGCCGGATCCCCTGGTTAAGCTCCTCCCCCTCCCCCTCACTCCAGGTAACAGGCCCCACCCCCTCCGCAGGCTCCTCCTCCTGCTGACCAGACAACAGTCTCTCTGACGACGAGACAACCTGTCTGTCTGCCAGAGAGGGAGACAGGATCAGCACGACAGAGTCCCTGAAACAGAGAGAGACAGACAGGTCGTCAGAGAGAGACAGACAGGTTGTCGGAGAGACAGACAGATCATCAGGGTCCTTACAGGGCGACAGCCAGCAGGCAGACAGACGGGTTTGGGTTCCAGGCGACACTCCTCACAGCTCCGCCCACCTGAACCGTCTTCATACAGCGAGACGAACGCACCTCCCAGAACCTCACAGAGCCGTCATCACTTCCTGTACACAATCAGTAAACAGTCAGTACACAGTCAGTAAACAATCAGAAAACAGTCAGTACACAGTCAGTACACAATCAGTACACAGTCAGTACACAATCACTAAACAGTCAGTACACAGTCAGAAAACAGTCAGTACACAGTCAGAAAACAGTCAGTACACAATCAGTACACAGTCAGTACACAATCACTAAACAGTCAGTACACAATCACTAAACAGTCAGTACACAGTCAGTACACAGTCAGTACACAATCAGTAAACAGTCAGTACACAAGTCAGTAAACAGTCAGTACACAATCAGTAAACAGTCAGTACACAATCAGTAAACAGTCACTACAACATAAAGTCAGTACACAATCAGTACACAGTCAGTACACAATCAGTAAACAGTCAGTACACAATCAGTAAACAGTCACTACACAATCAGTACACAATCAGTACACAGTCAGTACACAATCAGTAAACAGTCAGTACACAATCAGTAAACAGTCAGTACACAGTCAGAAAACAGTCAGTACACAATCAGTAAACAGTCAGTACACAATCACTAAACAGTCAGTAAACAATCAGTAAACAGTCAGTACACAATCAGTAAACAGTCAGTACACAGTCAGTACACAATCACTAAACAGTCAGTACTGTTACCTGAGGCCAGCCACTGTCCTGATGGAGAAACACTGATGGAACGAACCAAACCACTGTGACCCCGATACACCTGAACACACACACACACACACACACACACACACACACACACACACACACACACACACACACACACACACACACACACACACACACACACACACACACACACACACACACACACACACACACACACACACACAGCATTAGGGAGGGAGTGAGATATAGAGAGACAGAGAGAGAGAGAGTAAGACAGAGAGAGAGAGACAGAGAGAGAGAGAGAGAGACAGAGAGAGATACTGGAAAGAAACGACCAAAACACAAAGTAAATTACAATGTTATCTGACCCTAAAAAGAGAATTCACACTGGCAAATTACCTGATCACAATAAAATGTCCTAAACTAAACAAAATGTTGACAATGTACAGACTGAGTGAACACAGCCTGGCCATAGAAACGGGTCGCCACAGACAGAACTGGCTACCAGAAGAGGAGAGACTCTATAAAACCTTAACCTTAAAACAATTTGCAAACATTTTCCCAAATATACCCCAAATTCAAATTATTATCAGACACACAGAAACTCCCCTATTTACTGGGAGAAATGCCAAAAAGTCAAATTATTGCAGCAAAATATGTCTCCTCATGCCACGAACTGAGGACAACCAGTGGAAACTCTGTAAATGTATAAAATAATTGATTGTTTGTTGTTTTGTTTTGTATGTATATACATACATACACACACACACACACGTTTACAGTTTTATCTATCTATTTTCAATTATCAATTTTAATGTATTTTTATATATATATATATATATATATATATACATACACATTAAATAAAGGCAATACAGGCATTCTATTCTATTATATATTATATTTAATAATTTGTTATTACTGTTACTTGTTTTAACTGTAGTTACTTTACTATTGTTTTAATGACATTTATAGTTGACACAAACTGATTGATTGATTAATTGTAATTAATTACTTACTGACTGAGATTGATTGATTGTGACTGTGATTGAGTCAATCATAGTTACAGTATTACCAACAGTATAGATTATAATTTTATTACTTTATTGTTATTATTATTTTTATTTCCAAACGCTTGCTTTAGCAATATGTACAGTGTTACGTCATGCAGAGAGAGAGAGAGAGAGAGACAGAGAGAGAGAGAGAGAGAGAGAGAGACAGAGAGAGTGAGAGAGAGACAGAGAGAGTGAGAGAGAGTGAGAGAGAGACAGAGAGAGACAGAGAGAGACAGAGAGAGACAGAGAGAGTGAGTGTACCAAAGACTGTGTTGTTGGGAAGGGCTGCAGGTCTTTGGGTTTTGGAAGTTTGGGAATCAGATCTTCTGGATTCACGTTCACCTGGAGACAGACAGGTAGAGAGACAGTCAGTGAGTGCTGTGTCCTGATTGGCTGTCCCACTGTACTCAGACGTGTTAGTTACCCTCATCTTCCTCTGGCGTGGGCACAGGTAAAGGTCGAGACAGCGCTCGAACCTCTCATGAATGAACCGAGGAAACGCTGGAACCTGACGGAGGCTGGAGAACCTCTGCGGAACAAATGGGAACTTCCTGTCTGACAGATCCTGCTGCTCCCACAGAGCCCTCTGCAGACAGACAGGTACAGAGACAGACAGCTGTTATCTACCACCTCGACTCCCCTGACTTCCTGAGCCAGCTTTGTATGATACACCAGAGATTGTACTGATCAATACACCAGACTGTACTGATCAATACACCAGAGACTGTACTGATCAATACACCAGAGACTGTACTGATCAATACACCAGACTGTACTGATCAATACACCAGAGATTGTACTGATCAATACACCAGAGATTGTACTGATCAATACACCAGACTGTACTGATCAATACACCAGACTGTACTGATCAATACACCAGAGATTGTACTGATCAATACACCAGACTGTACTGATCAATACACCAGATGTACTGACAAATATGTACTGATCAATACACCAGAGATTGTACTGATCAATACACCAGACTGTACTGATCAATACACCAGAGACTGTACTGATCAATACACCAGAGACTGTACTGATCAATACACCAGAGACTGTACTGATCAATACACCAGACTGTACTGATCAATACACCAGACTGTACTGATCAATACACCAGAGATTGTACTGATCAATACACCAGAGATTGTACTGATCAATACACCAGAGATTGTACTGATCAATACACCAGACTGTACTGATCAATAACTGTACTGATCAATACACCAGACTGTACTGATCAATACACCAGAGACTGTACTGATCAATACACCAGAGATTGTACTGATCAATACACCAGAGATTGTACTGATCAATACACCAGAGATTGTACTGATCAATACACCAGACTGTACTGATCAATACACCAGAGACTGTACTGATCAATACACCAGAGACTGTACTGATCAATACACAGGGATTATTAGTATTGTTGTTATTGTTATTGTTACTACAGACAGGTACACAGACAGACAGGTACCTCCTCGTCAGTGAACAGGTACTCAGGTGGGGGGTTGTAGGACTCGTGGTGACCGGGTAGGGGGATTTTTGGGGCGGGCAGATGCATCCTGTGTTTGGCGAGGATGGAAGAGTCCTCATTGGTCCAGAGGTCGTAGTACCGCCCCCTGCTGTCGTCATCCTGCCGCCGCGGTTTGATCCAGCCCATCTTTATAGCGTGGACCAGTTTGGAGACCTTCTCCTTCTCAATGAGGGATGGGATGAAACTGCGCTTGTCTGCCGGTCTGTTGGAGACCGGGTGGACCATCAGGTCTCCACTGAAGAACTCCACCTGGGGCTGAGGAGAACCAGAACATTACATCTCAGAACCTGAGACACCCGAGGATCCCCCCTGAGGATCCCCCCGTGGGTCCCCTTGAGGAACCCTTGAGGATCCCCCCTGAGGATCCCCCCGAGGAACCCTTGAGGATCCCCCCGAGGGTCCCCTTGAGGAACCCTTGAGGATCCCCCCTGAGGATCCCCCCGAGGAACCCTTGAGGATCCCCCCTGAGGATCCCCCCGAGGAACCCTTGAGGATCCCCCCGAGGATCCCCTTGAGGAACCCTTGAGGATCCCCCCGAGGGTCCCCTTGAGGAACCCTTGAGGATCCCCCCTGAGGATCCCCCCGTGGGTCCCCTTGAGGAACCCTTGAGGATCCCCCTGAGGATCCCCCGAGGAACCCTTGAGGATCCCCCTGAGGATCCCCCGAGGGTCCCCTTGAGGATCCCCCTGAGGATCCCCCTGAGGATCCCGGAACCTGAGGATCCCCCTGAGGTCCCCTTGAGGATCCCCCCTGAGGATCCCCCCGAGGGTCCCCTTGAGGAACCCTTGAACTTACCTGGTACTCGTTGAAGTTGACGTCTCCGAACTGTCCTCTCTGCAGACGGTTCACCAGCTCCACCTGCTCATCCGACAGCACAATGTCACTTCCTGTCTGCTTATCGTGGACCGTTCTCCTGCAGACAAACAGAACGCTGTTAGCATATTTAGCATTCCCCATGTAAACTAATGGGGGAGCTAGCATTATGCTAGTAGGCTGACCAGTAGTCTGGGTTCTCCATTTTGTCCAGGAACTCGTCAAGCTCGTCCTTGTTCCTGATTGGTTTGTAGATCTTCTTCCCGTCCAGGTCGTAGCCAATGTGAGGGAAGTCTCTGTACCACTCCATGGGAATGTTCCCCACTGTGTTCCTTATGTCCTGCACAGGAACCACAACATCAGAGAACAGCTGAACCCTGAAGACCCTGGCTTAATATTGATTACTAACTGAACGTCATTAAGAGCCCTGAAGAACATTTAAGAACCTGACAGAACATTTAAGAACCTGACAGAACATTTAAGAACCTGACAGAACATTTAAGAACCTGATGAACGTCAGAGAACCAGACAGAAGTCTCACCTCTTCATCTGAAGAGTCACGTTCGTATTCGTCTTCTTGCTTTTTGTGGGTCACTCCTCCCTTCTCTTCCTCTATCTGCATGTAGAACCGAACACAGGTGAGGTTCTAGAGGAGAACACGGACAACACTGCTGGACATGTGTCACACACACACACACACACACACACACACACACACACGTAAAACTCTACCTGCTCACTCTCCTCTGGCCCCGTCTTCAGACCTTCATCATCGCCATCTTCTTTGTCATTAGATCCTTCCTCTTCTTCATCCTCACTGTCACTCCCAGAATCCTCCAGTCCTGAAAAGACGCTGTCCTCACTGTCTGACAGATCTTCATCCTCCTCCTCCTCCTCCTCCTCAGCAGGTTTCTTGTTGAAGTTGAAGATCTGAGGAAAAGTCAAACTTCTAAACACCGCACCAAACTCCATACAAAAAACATGGGATTTAAGCAGTGCTTTCCTGATCAAATATGAACATTTTTAATTAAGGTTGGGAACCAAAAGTAAAATCAGCATAAAGATATTTTATTGTGTAAATCTATAAAAGTACAGATATCTTTGAGGGTGGAATTAACTTTCTCTTCTCTCGGTCGGAAACTAAATGAATCTAATTGAAGTAAAATAAGGGGGAATTTGGTGTGTTGCATTGATCATCACACCAACCTGGTCCTGAACGGGTTTATTACAACCCAACATATTAAACTGCCAGATTCTGAATGGAGTTTGGTGTGTGTGACTCTGGAAGATAATGTCCTGAATTAATCAGCAGAGCTAACATGCTAACAGGCAATGCTCCACTGAAAACAACACTGTTGTTAGCTTGCTGCTAGCTGTCTGTTAACAGCTAATAGCACTGTTGATTCCAGTGCAATATCAGCCCGCTTTAGATAACATATAAGTTTATTTCCAGGTAATAATCACAACACCCTGATCCCGAGCAGCCCAACAGGGGTCTACCCCCGTTCACTGTGGTCTCCTGAAGAGGCCAGAGTCTTAAAATGGTCACTTTCTGAATGGAGTTTGGTGTGAGTCTATGTCCCACCACACAGAAGACAACCTACCTCCGTTTATTAACAGATAGCACGGTGTCTCCATTCAGAAGTCCTTTTAGAAAGTGGCCACTTTAAGCTGCAGTCTGAGCTGTCACCAACGGAGCATTATTGATATCACAATTATTGGTACACAGTATTGTTAGCATGCTAACCGCTAGCCGCCAGGCTCTCCCCAGTCCACCCAGTGCTCATCCTGTCTGTCTGTCTGTCTGTCTGTCTGTCTGTCTCACCTCATCCTGCTCCTCTTCCTCCTCCTCTGTGCTCCTCTTCTTTACAGTTTTCTGTCGGACTTTCTTCGCCTCCTCTCTCCTCATGTTTCTGCTGCTGCTCTCCTCCATCACACAGCACGTGGGGAGCCTGCAGGGTCAAAGGTCACACGTCACTGCCGGTCCGGCCTATCAGCCAATGGGAGGCGAGATGGTGAGTTCCGGAGGGTTTACTGAGGGCGCCATCTTGTGGGCATCATCATCATCATCATCATCATTTATTTAATGAAACTTATTCTAATTGAAATATTGATGTTCTGTGAGTGAGTGATAATAATAATAATAAACATATCGATTCTATTAATCATTAAATAGATTTGGTATTAATTTAATATAATATAATACAATAGTAGGAGGGAAAACTTCATTAATCTACGTTACATGAATGTAACTTGAATGGATTTAATTATTAATACTTCATAATAAAATATATTACATATAATCAGCAATCGATTATGTGTGATCTCAAACATAATACAATTATTCCCTAACCAGTGCTGTCCTGTTGTACACCATATTTATCTATTTGGATTGTTTTTATTTATTTATTTGGATTATTATTATTTATTTATTTGGATTATTTTATATTTATTTGGATTATTTTAATCTATTAATTTGGATTCTTATTGTTTATCTATTTGGATTGTTTTTATTTATTTATTTGGATTCTTATTGTTTATTTACTTGGATTGTTTTTATATATTTATTTGGATTCTTATTGTTTATTTATTTTATTTTTTTTTTTTTTTTTTTTTTTTTTGTTTTTTATTTGGATTGTTTTTAATTATTTATTTGGATTGTTTTTATATAATTATTTGGATTCCTATTATTTATTTATTTTGATTGTTTTTATTTATTTATTTTGATTCTTATTGTTTATTTATTTTGATTGTTTTTATTTATTTATTTTGATTCTTATTGTTTATTTACTTGGATTGTTTTTATTCATTTATTTGGATTATTATTATTTATTTATTTGGATTATTTTATATTTATTTGGATTATTTTATGTATTTATTTGGATTCTTATTGTTTATTTATTTGGATTGTTTTTATTTATTTATTTTGATTCTTATTGTTTATTTATTTGGATTGTTTTTATTTATTTATTTTTATTATTTTTATTTATTTATTTTTATTGTTTTTAATGTATTTATTTGGATTCTTATTGTTTATTTATTCGGATTGTTTTTAGGTATTTTTGTTTCATTGTAATCTTAAATCCAAGTAGAATAAAGAAATCCAGGATAATTGAGCAAGCGCGGCTTGACTTAGCCTGCTCGGCTAGCTGCAGAGGAGAAATCACCATAGTAACCTGGCCGGGTTAAGTTTGACCTGCTTTCATGCAACCGACTTGAAGCTAAATTCAGCCAGAGGGGTATTGCACAAAACCAGGATAAGGGATTAAGCCGCGATATATTGGTTATCCTGGCTGAATTTAGCCTCAAGTCGGTTGCATGAAAGCAGGTCAAACTTATCCCGGCCAGGTTACTATGGTGATTTATTCTCTGCAGTTAGCCTGCTCCAGACCAGGCTAACAGCCGGGCTAAGATTAATCCTAGTGATTCACCTGTATTTCCACCGTCAATCCTGTGAGGAATTAATGTGTTTTACAGCATGTCCATGGTCTTTCTAAGTATGTTGTATCATTTTAATTATCCTGCATTAAAATATTACATATATATTGTCATTTCTTATTTCATTTAAATCTGTTGGCTGTTTGTAATTGCAACAGTCCTTTTATATTGATTCAAGTGGTAGTATTATTACTCAGGACAAGTGTTATATTGCTATGCTAATGAAGACTGCTTGTCAAATTGCATAAATATGTGTTTATTGCAGTAATTGAGATTACAAAACACAGCTGATGAAGTTGCAAAGATGTTTTCAATGAAATCTGTGACAAGGGCAATATAGTATATATATTATGGCATGCTGTTTAGGAAATTAATCTTTGAATATATAGAATGAATCTTTGAATATATAGAATGAAACTTTGAATATATAAAATGAATCTTTGAATATATGGAATGAAACTTGACCTGTCATCAAGGCACTGCTGCCATCTTGTAGAAGTGAGAATGAGTCAGTCAGGAACCTTGTGGCAGCAATACTGAGCAATGAGGACATTATTAACTCATTGGTAAGTGCTTGTACGGGCCAAAATCCTTCCCATAGTACCCGTGCCCAATACCGTTCTCCTGACGAAGAAGTTCTTTTTAATGGTGGCAGGCCGACTACAACAGGCCTCAGGCTAAATCCTGACAGAAAAAGCAAAAAAGTTTTCCAGTTTAAGAAAGTATTGTAATATTTCAACTGATGCCATTTTGTAAAACCAGCTAATTCAGAAGGCTATCACTTTGATGAAAAGGATACAACTAGGTTTTCAATTTCATTTATATTATTTACATTTTTATCAGTATATTCAAAGATTCATTCCATATATTCAAAGATTCATTTCCTAAACGGCATGCCATAATTATATAATATATATATATATATATATATATACATATATATATATATATATATTATTCACACCTGTTCCTTCTTCATAATGGCTTGCCCTTTCTTGGAGGATGTACTGGATGAGGAAGCCCTAATCCTCAGACGAGCATTTAGTCCTGAAAGAGTCTTCTGGGACAGGTCAGACCCATTGGCTGTTGGAGAGGACTATCTCAGTGAGAGATACAGATTCTCAGGTGATGGACTAAGATATTTATGTAGGCTGCTGGGTCCAAAAATACAGCACCAGACGGCAGGAAGCCATGCTCTCACTGTACCACAGATGGTCTGTGTTACATTGAGATGTTCTGCAAGTGGGAGCTTCCTTTATTCTGTTGGGGATGCAGAGAACCTCAATAAAGGAACCATTTACAGCACATATCCTGGCTTGGTGGGCCGCCCCCCTGTGCCAGTTCTATGGGCTTTTTTTAACTGCTACAATCATACAGACATTCAACATGTCAGCAGACACCTAATCTATTCACCTCATTTATTCACTGTTATCTACTTTAGAGTCACTGACCAGCCTGCAAAATGTTCTTGTATTTAACTTTAACTTGCTGCCAGGTCCTTTTATGGCCAGACAAGTTTGTTCTTTATGAAGGATAGAAAGATAAAATAGATAAAAATAGATTAAATGACACACATTGTGGATAATTGTTTGCACTTAATCATACTCTACATTTAAGTAACATGAACCTCTACTTGCCACATTTAAAGCAAAGTGTACAACAGTTGATTAGTGGACTTACAGTAACTCCTTTAGTCCTTTAATTGGAGCCTAATGATGACAGTTCCAGTGGAGCACTGTTTATTCATTGTACAGTTTTGGACTACTTAAGCATTAAGCCGGTCTGCTATTGTCTGCCAGGCTTTCTCTCTTTCTTTAATTATGGCATTGGTATTGCCTTTGTTTCTTCTATCTTCCACCTCTTCATAGAACTCCATCAGGAGCTGTTGTTCAGCGACTCTTATCCATGTTCCCATCGGTGATTCTGTGAGCGATCGCGAGGTCTATTTCAGTATGCCGTGAACACGCACTTATCCCGACTATCTACACCTGGCTTAACATAGCCGCACCTTTTCATCCTGGCTCGGCAAACGTGCAACCGATGAGCCCCGGATGTACCGAGCAGGCTAGGTCAAACTGCGCTTGCTGAATTATCCTGGATGTCTTTATTCTACTTTTGTGTAATACCCCTCAGGATAACCAACATATCCCGGGTTAATCCCTTATCCTGGTTTTGTGCGATACCCCTCAGATTATAAAACATGACGTCACAAGGCGACCAAACGTTCACGTTACGTTGCTATCGTGACGTAATCAAGCCGCGACAGGCAGCTAGCTACGCAGTTGTTTGTTGGATCGGATTTGTTGGAATTTTCCACTGCGGACTTTAAGAGACTCGGACCCGAACCCTGACCCAGCGGAGACCGCCACAGACCGCCACAGACCAGAGCCAGGACCCACTTGTGTGTGATCCGGGTCCGAGCGCGTTCCGGTTCCGTGTGGACCGTCAGCCCGTCCGGAGGCTCACTGGTAGCATCGGTAGCATCGGTAGCATCGGTAGCTCAATGTGCGTTTGATCCTGATGGAGTGTCCCGGAGGAGGAGCGGGAGGGGCGGTGCTGTCCGGAGGGAACGTCCCGGCCTTTCTCACCAAACTGTGGACCCTGGTGGAGGACCCGGACACCGACCCGCTCATCTGCTGGAGCCCGGTAGGCACATTAGCTTAGCTTAGCATAGCAGAGAGCTAACGACAGTTAGCAGTCCTTCAGTGAACTTTGATCAGAGCTGTTAGCTGTTAGCTGTTAGCTTCACACAGGGAGCTAACAGCTAACAGCTAACAGCTGATTGTTACTGTCGGTGAGTTGTTCTGTATAATGCCCTGGTCCGCTAGCAGCCCGGTGGTGGTGGTGGTGGTGTTGTTGTTGTTGTTGTTGTTGTTGGTGTTGTTGTTGTTGTTGCTGCTGTTGCTGTGGTGATATCACTGTATTGATTATTACCTGTTCAACAGCAGTAATGATTGTGAATCAGACTAAAGAACAAATAAAAACAAATAAAAAGCAGTTTACTCAGAATACCTGAATAAACCTCTTTAGTGTGAATTATTCACAATCAGAACCAGAATCGGGTTTATTGCCAAGTACGTTTTTACACATACCAGGAATTTGTGTTGGTGCATAAAAGTCCCACATCAATAAAGTACTTTATTAAAATATAAATAAAGATAGACAGAAAGATCTAAACTGTACAGGAGAGACATTTACAATGTGCAGAACAACAGGAGAGCATTAATATATATATACAGGGTTTAAGAGTCGGTGTCAGTGGGGGTTCTGGTGGGTTTAAGAGTCAGTGTCAGTGGGGGATCTGGTGGGTTTAAGAGTCGGTGTCAGTGGGGGATCTGGTGGGTTTAAGAGTCAGTGTCAGTGGGGGATCTGGTGGGTTTAAGAGTCAGTGTCAGTGGGGGTTCTGGTGGGTTTAAGAGTCAGTGTCAGTGGGGGATCTGGTGGGTTTAAGAGTCAGTGTCAGTGGGGGATCTGGTGGGTTTAAGAGTCGGTGTCAGTGGGGGATCTGGTGGGTTTAAGAGTCAGTGTCAGTGGGGGATCTGGTGGGTTTAAGAGTCAGTGTCAGTGGGGGTTCTGGTGGGTTTAAGAGTCAGTGTCAGTGGGGGATCTGGTGGGTTTAAGAGTCGGTGTCAGTGGGGGTTCTGGTGGGTTTAAGAGTCGGTGTCAGTGGGGGATCTGGTGGGTTTAAGAGTCGGTGTCAGTGGGGGATCTGGTGGGTTTAAGAGTCGGTGTCAATGGGGGTTCTGGTGGGTTTAAGAGTCAGTGTCAGTCGGGGTTCTGGTGGGTTTAAGAGTCGGTGTCAGTGGGGGATCTGGTGGGTTTAAGAGTCAGTGTCAGTGGGGGATCTGGTGGGTTTAAGAGTCGGTGTCAGTGGGGGTTCTGGTGGGTTTAAGAGTCAGTGTCAGTGGGGGATCTGGTGGGTTTAAGAGTCGGTGTCAGTGGGGGTTCTGGTGGGTTTAAGAGTCGGTGTCAGTGGGGTTCTGGTGGGTTTAAGAGTGGTGTCAGTGGGGTTCTGGTGGGTTTAAGAGTCAGTGTCAGTGGGGGTTCTGGTGGGTTTAAGAGTCGGTGTCAGTGGGGGTTCTGGTGGGTTTAAGAGTCGTTGTCAGTGGGGGATCTGGTGGGTTTAAGAGTCGGTGTCAGTGGGGGTTCTGGTGGGTTTAAGAGTCGGTGTCAGTGGGGGGTTCTGGTGGGTTTAAGAGTCGGTGTCAGTGGGGGTTCTGGTGGGTTTAAGAGTCAGTGTCAGTGGGGGATCTGGTGGGTTTAAGAGTCAGTGTCAGTGGGGGTTCTGGTGGGTTTAAGAGTCGGTGTCAGTGGGGGTTCTGGTGGGTTTAAGAGTCGGTGTCAGTGGGGGGTTCTGGTGGGTTTAAGAGTCGGTGTCAGTGGGGGTTCTGGTGGGTTTAAGAGTCAGTGTCAGTGGGGGGATCTGGTGGGTTTAAGAGTCAGTGTCAGTGGGGGGTTCTGGTGGGTTTAAGAGTCAGTGTCAGTGGGGGTTCTGGTGGGTTTAAGAGTCGGTGTCAGTGGGGGTTCTGGTGGGTTTAAGAGTCGGTGTCAGTGGGGGTTCTGGTGGGTTTAAGAGTCGGTGTCAGTGGGGGTTCTGGTGGGTTTAAGAGTCGGTGTCAGTGGGGGATCTGGTGGGTTTAAGAGTCAGTGTCAGTGGGGGTTCTGGTGGGTTTAAGAGTCAGTGTCAGTGGGGGTTCTGGTGGGTTTAAGAGTCGGTGTCAGTGGGGGTTCTGGTGGGTTTAAGAGTCGGTGTCAGTGGGGGTTCTGGTGGGTTTAAGAGTCGGTGTCAGTGGGGGTTCTGGTGGGTTTAAGAGTCGGTGTCAGTGGGGTTCTGGTGGGTTTAAGAGTCAGTGTCAGTGGGGGTTCTGGTGGGTTTAAGAGTCAGTGTCAGTGGGGGTTCTGGTGGGTTTAAGAGTCAGTGTCAGTGGGGGTTCTGGTGGGTTTAAGAGTCGGTGTCAGTGGGGGTTCTGGTGGGTTTAAGAGTCGGTGTCAGTGGGGGGATCTGGTGGGTTTAAGAGTCGGTGTCAGTGGGGGGTTCTGGTGGGTTTAAGAGTCGGTGTCAGTGGGGGTTCTGGTGGGTTTAAGAGTCGGTGTCAGTGGGGGTTCTGGTGGGTTTAAGAGTCAGTGTCAGTGGGGGTTCTGGTGGGTTTAAGAGTCGGTGTCAGTGGGGGGTTCTGGTGGGTTTAAGAGTCGGTGTCAGTGGGGGTTCTGGTGGGTTTAAGAGTCGTTGTCAGTGGGGGGATCTGGTGGGTTTAAGAGTCGGTGTCAGTGGGGGGTTCTGGTGGGTTTAAGAGTCGGTGTCAGTGGGGGTTCTGGTGGGTTTAAGAGTCGGTGTCAGTGGGGGTTCTGGTGGGTTTAAGAGTCAGTGTCAGTGGGGGTTCTGGTGGGTTTAGTCAGTGGGGGTTCTGGTGGGTTTAAGAGTCGTTGTCAGTGGGGGGATCTGGTGGGTTTAAGAGTCGGTGTCAGTGGGGGTTCTGGTGGGTTTAAGAGTCGGTGTCAGTGGGGGTTCTGGTGGGTTTAAGAGTCGGTGTCAGTGGGGGTTCTGGTGGGTTTAAGAGTCAGTGTCAGTGGGGGGATCTGGTGGGTTTAAGAGTCGGTGTCAGTGGGGGTTCTGGTGGGTTTAAGAGTCGGTGTCAGTGGGGGTTCTGGTGGGTTTAAGAGTCGGTGTCAGTGGGGGTTCTGGTGGGTTTAAGAGTCAGTGTCAGTGGGGGTTCTGGTGGGTTTAAGAGTCGGTGTCAGTGGGGGTTCTGGTGGGTTTAAGAGTCGTTGTCAGTGGGGGTTCTGGTGGGTTTAAGAGTCGGTGTGTCAGTGGGGGTTCTGGTGGGTTTAAGAGTCGGTGTCAGTGGGGGTTCTGGTGGGTTTAAGAGTGTTGTCAGTGGGGGTCTGGTGGGTTTAAGAGTCAGTGTCAGTGGGGGTTCTGGTGGGTTTAAGAGTCAGTGTCAGTGGGGGTTCTGGTGGGTTTAAGAGTCAGTGTCAGTGGGGGTTCTGGTGGGTTTAAGAGTCGGTGTCAGTGGGGGTTCTGGTGGGTTTAAGAGTCGGTGTCAGTGGGGGTTCTGGTGGGTTTAAGAGTCGGTGTCAGTGGGGGTTCTGGTGGGTTTAAGAGTCGGTGTCAGTGGGGGTTCTGGTGGGTTTAAGAGTCAGTGTCAGTGGGGGGTTCTGGTGGGTTTAAGAGTCGTGTGTCAGTGGGGGTTCTGGTGGGTTTAAGAGTCGGTGTCAGTGGGGGGTTCTGGTGGGTTTAAGAGTCAGTGTCAGTGGGGGTTCTGGTGGGTTTAAGAGTCGGTGTCAGTGGGGGGTTCTGGTGGGTTTAAGAGTCGGTGTCAGTGGGGGTTCTGGTGGGTTTAAGAGTCGGTGTCAGTGGGGGGTTCTGGTGGGTTTAAGAGTCAGTGTCAGTGGGGGTTCTGGTGGGTTTAAGAGTAGTGTCAGTGTCAGTGGGGGTTCTGGTGGGTTTAAGAGTCGTTGTCAGTGGGGGTTCTGGTGGGTTTAAGAGTCGGTGTCAGTGGGGGTTCTGGTGGGTTTAAGAGTCAGTGTCAGTGAGAGAGTGCACCATCATCGTCTTCGGCAGGTTGAACTTCCCCAGCTGCTGCAGGAAGTACATCCTCTGCTGGGCTGTCTTGGCTCCTCTGGTGTTGCTACCGATTCCCTTCTGAGTCCCGCTCATGTATTGAGCTACGTGCTGCGTAGGGGCCTTCCATGTTGGGAGAGACATGGTTATTGGCCGGTAGTTCAGGATTAGGACCGTCCTGCCCTGGGTCCCAGCTGGTTCATCTGTGCTGCTAGGCATTCATGGAGTGCTGTTAGCTTCTTCAGCCAGTAGGCATGGATCATATCAGGGCCTGGTGCTGTCCAGCTCTTCATCTTTGACACTCTTTCTTGGATGTCTGCCATTGAGATGGTTACTGGTTTTTGCACAGGCGTCTCCCAGAAGATAATAAGACGATGTACAAGAGGCATCATTGTGGGGAAAATTGAACAAAAAGTGGCATGTCCAAAATTATTCATACCCTTTGCAAACTGTTACAGTGGGAAAATCCAAATAGTCCAAACCAACTGCAGCTCTCTGCAGTTGGTTTGTGGACAGTCATGGCTAAGACAAAGGAGCTCACTGAGGACCTGCGGCTGCACATTGTGGCTTCTCACAAGTCAGGAAAGGGCTATAAGGCCATATCTAAATGTTTTCAAGTTCCAGTGGCTACAGTGCAAAGTATCATTAAAAAATACAAGACGTTCCGCACTGTGGGAAATCTCAGGGGATGTGGTTGGAAGCCAAAAGTGACACCTGTGCTGGCCAGGAGGATAATGAGGGAGGTGAAAAAGAATCCAAAGATCACCACCAAGGCCATCCTGGTGAATCTGGGCTCTGCTGGTGGCAACGTCTCAAGGCAGACAGTCCAACGGACACTGCACACTGCTGGGTTCCACAGACGCAGACCAAGGAGGACGCCAGACTTCTGGTCTTCTGTTTCATGGTCAAATGAAACAAAAATTGAATTGTTTGGCCACAGTGATGTATCCTTCATTTGACGTAAAAAAGGAGAAGCCTTCAACCCTAAGAACACCATCCCCACATGGTGGTGGGAACCTAATGCTTTGGGGGTGTTTTTCAGCCAATAGACCAGGGAACCTAATCACAGTAAACGGCACCATGAAAAAAGAGCCATACATCAAGATTCTCAACAACAACATCATCAGGCAGTCTGCAGAGAAACTTGGCCTTGGGCACCAGTGGACATTTCAGCACGACAACGACCCAAAACACACAGCAACAGTGGTGAAGAAATGGTTAGCGGACACAAACATTAACGTTTTGCAGTGGCCCAGCCAGAGTCCTGACTCGAATCCAATTGAGAATCTGTGGAGGGAGCTAAAAGATCAGGGTGATGGCAAGGAGACCCCCCAACCTGAAAGAGTTGGAGCTCATCACTAAAGATGAATGGGCAAAAATACAAGTGGAGACTGAAGCTGGTCAGCGATTCTAGGAAGCGTTTGATTGCTGTAATAGCTTGTAATAATGGCTTTTCTATTGCTTCTTGAGAAGGTATGAATAATTTTGGACATGCCACTTTTTGTTCAAATGTAAATAAAAGCTAAGAAATAATTTTCCCCACAATGATGCCTCTTGTACATCGTCTTATTAGCTTCTGGGAGACGCCTGTGTCATTTCCAATCAAGAAAAAACTTTAAGTTTAAGTAATTTTAAGTCATAATTTGCCAGGGGTATGAATAATTTCGGGCTTGACTGTATAATACACAGTATATCCATTAATACAAAGTATATACAATAATACACAGTATATACAATAATACACAGTATATACATACATAATACACAGTATACACATATATACAGTATATACATACATAATACACAGTATATACATACATAATACACAGTATATACATACATAATACACAGTATACACAATAATACACAGTATATACATACATAATACACAGTATACACATATATACAGTATATACATACATAATACACAGTATATACATACATAATACACAGTATACACAATAATACACAGTATATACATACATAATACACAGTATACACATATATACAGTATATACATATATAATACACAGTATATACATATATAATACACAGTATATACATATATAATACACAGTATATACATACATAATACACAGTATATACATACATAATACACAGTATATACATATATAATACACAGTATATACATATATAATACACAGTATATACATATATAATACACAGTATATACAATAATACACAGTATATACATATATAATACACAGTATATACATATATAATACACAGTATATACATACATAATACACAGTATATACATACATAATACACAGTATACACATATATACAGTATATACAATAATACACAGTATATACATATATAATACACAGTATATACATATATAATACACACTATATACAATAATACACAGTATATACATATATAATACACAGTATATACATATATAATACACAGTATATACATATATAATACACAGTATATACATACATAATACACAGTATATACATACATAATACACAGTATATACATACATAATACGCACTATATACCATAATACACACTATATACCATAATACACAGTATATACATATATAATACACAGTATATACATACATAATACACACTATATACCATAATACACAGTATATACATATATAATACACAGTATATACAATAATACACAGTATATAATACACAGTATATACATACATAATACACAGTATATACATACATAATACACAGTATATACAATAATACACAGTATACACATATATACAGTATATACAATAATACACAGTATATACATATATAATACACAGTATATACATATATAATACACAGTATATACATACATAATACACAGTATATACATACATAATACACAGTATATACATACATAATACACAGTATATACAATAATACACAGTATACACATATATACAGTATATACAATAATACACAGTATATACATATATACAGTATATACAATAATACACAGTATATACATATATAATACACAGTATATACAATAATGCACAGTATAATACACAGTATATACAATAATACACAGTATATACATATATAATACACAGTATATACATATATAATACACACTATATACAATAATACACAGTATATACATATATACAGTATATACAATAATACACAGTATATACATATATAATACACAGTATATACAATAATGCACAGTATAATACACAGTATATACAATAATACACAGTATATACATATATAATACACAGTATATACATATATAATACACACTATATACAATAATACACAGTATATACATATATACAGTATATACAATAATACACAGTATATACAATAATACACAGTATATACATATATAATACACAGTATATACAATAATGCACAGTATAATACACAGTATATACATATATAATACAGTATATACAATAATACACAGTATATACAATAATACACAGTAAGTGAACCAGTTTATACTAACTCTAACCCACACACACACAGACACACACAGACACACACACACACACACACACACACACACACACACACACATGTGTATATATAGGCGGGAACAGAATTAGCGGCAGCAACATGTAGCTGCAGTATCCAGTTGCTTGTCCCTGTCTATTGATCGACTGTAAACACTGATATTTAATACAATCAATAACCGATCAATCTCAGTACAGAACACTTTAAATTAATAGTTTGATATGATTTCTCATTATGGCGGCACAATGTAGTAAAAACAATACATTACAAATATTCACAATTAGTGGGAATTAACTTTTTTATAGAAATTAAACTTTTACTGAAAAAATCAATAATAAAAAATAAATAAATAAATGAGTTACTGTTGTTTGAGTCTGAACCAAACAAATAAACATATATTGCAGAACACTAATTATTCAATTCAATTCAATTTTATTAACTTGTATAGCGCCAATTCATAACAGAAGTTATCTCAGGACACTTTTCAAATAGAGCAGGTCTAGACCGAACTCTTTAAAACATTAATTACAGAGACCCAACAGTACCACCATGAGCAAGCACTTGGCGACAAGGGCAAGGAAACACTGCCTGTTAAAAGGCAGAAACCTAGGACAGATCCTTCGGCTCTAGGTGGGTGGTCATCTGTCTCGACAACAACAACACACTGGGTTAGCATACAGCAGCTGAAGGAACAAAAACAACAACAACACACTGGGTTAGCATGCAGAACAACAATGTATGTTCACTGGGCATTCTGTATGTTATCTGTATGTTCTGTATGTTCTCTGTATGTTCACTGAATGTTATGTATGTTCTCTGTACGTTCTGTATGTTTTCTGTATGTTCTGTATGTTCTCTGTATGTCACTGTATGTATGTTCTCTGTATGTTCTCTCTATGTTCACTGTATATTCACTGTATCTTCTGTATGTTCTCTGTATGTTCTCTGTATGTTCTCTGTATGTTCTCTGTATGTTCACTGTATGTTCACTGTATGTTCTCTGTATGTTCTCTGTATGTTCACTGTATGTTTTCTGTATGTTTTCTGTATGTTCACTGTATGTTCTCTGTATGTTCACTGTATGTTCTCTGTATGTTCTCTGTATGTTCACTGTACATGTTTTCTGTATGTCACTGTATGTTCTCTGTATATTCTCTGTATGTTCTCTGTATATTCACTGTATATTCACTGTATCTTCTGTATGTTCTCTGTATGTTCTCTGTATGTTTTCTGTATGTCACTGTATGTTCTCTGTATGTTCTCTGTATGTTCTCTGTATATTCTCTGTATGTTCTCTGTATGTTCACTGTATGTTCTCTGTATGTTCACTGTATGTTTTCTGTATGTTCACTGTATGTTCTCTGTATGTTCACTGTATGTTCTCTGTATGTTCACTGTATGTTTTCTGTATGTTCTGTATGTTCACTGTATGTTCTCTGTATGTTCACTGTATGTTCATTGTATGTTCTCTGTATGTTCACTGTACATGTTCTCTGTGTGTTCTCTGTGTCAGAGCGGAACCAGCTTCCATGTGTTCGATCAGGGTCGGTTCTCTAAGGAGGTTCTACCAAAGTTCTTCAAACACAACAACATGGCCAGTTTCATCAGACAGCTGAACATGTGTGAGTATTGATGGGCCAGGATCAATGTGTTTTCATAAAAAAAGTCTCATGTGGACAGTTAGAGTAATATCTCTATACAGGTCAGAGGTCAGCAGGGGGTCACACACGATGTAAATACAGGCTGAATTATAAACCACACACTGTACTATCAGTGTATTGATTAGACCAAAAACAAACTGACAGCAGAGAAGTTGTTTCTTCTACCATTAAAACCAGTGTTTAAATAAAGTGTATGATGGTTACTGTACGGCAGCAGTTAGCCGTTAGCTGTTAGATACTACACGCTACATAGTACATTGTAGATATACTACACATATTACATAGTACATACTATCAAGCCAGGCTTAGCTGGTGCACCTATGAATCAGAATCAGAAATACTTTATTGATCCATTGATTGATTTGTTTATTACAGTTGTTCTATTCACACAATGTTAAAGAATACAAATAATACTTATATTACAATATCTAACACAATATATATAGAATAGAAATGTATGTATAGGTTTATACATATAAGTAAAAAAATAAAAATGGAAATAGAAATATAATAAAAGCCTATGTACCTTTATTGTAATAAAATATATACACTATATGCTAATGTATACAAAGTAAATGTAAATGTATTCCACAGTATGTGCAGACAGAAATTAAAAAGTAATGAGTTTTGGTGTTGCAGAAGAATGATTGCACATTGTATTGCACATTGACCCGGGTATTGCACCTTAATCAATATTCGGCACCAGTTTAATGACAATGACTCTGAGTTTTGCCACTCTGAGGGAGGAGTTAAAGATTGTATGAAACTTGGACAGCATACTCCTCTCTGACACCGCCAGTAAAGATGTGTATTAACTGCGTGTACCTGTGTGTACTCAGATGGGTTTCGTAAAGTGGTTCACATCGAGCAGGGCGGTCTGGTGAAACCAGAGAGAGATGACACAGAGTTCCAACATCCGTTCTTCATCCGAGGACAAGAACATCTGCTGGAGAACATCAAACGCAAAGTCACCAACGTACGTACCTGAGAACATCTGTATATTATTTATAGTGAACTTTAGTTTTATGATCAATATGATAGAAATTATCAGTATGGTGTTGTCATTAGAAGGAAGACACCATATCTGTTCTTGACTCAACCCACTGCGTACTACTAACATGTACCACATACTTACCAAGGTCTTGCTCATGGTGGTACTGTTGGGTCTCTGTAATTAATGTTTTAAAGAGTTCGGTCTAGACCTGCTCTATTTGAAAAGTGTCCTGAGATAACTTCTGTTATGAATTGGCGCTATACAAATAAAATTGAATTGAATTAAATTGAATTGAATTGAACTGAAAACCTGTGCTCTATATATCTATCTCTATCTCCATGGTAACGGTGTCCGTGTGCTGTAATTGGCTCAGGTGTCGTCTGTGCGCCAGGAGGAAGTGAAGATGTCGACAGATGAAGTGAACAAGATCCTAAACGACGTCCAGCTGATGAAGGGGAAACAGGAAACTATAGACTCCAGGATCATCGCCATGAGACAGTGAGAACTGATCCTAGATCAGGAACCTGCAGTCAGTCCAGCATTCAGCGAGTCGATCAATAAACCTGATCCTGTTTGTGTTTTAGTGAGAATGAGGCTCTGTGGAGAGAAGTGGCCAGTCTGAGACAGAAGCACGTTCAGCAGCAGAAAGTTGTCAACAAGGTAATCAATACAGCATTACATCAATATATCAATACCTGTACATCTACACTGAAGCTGAAGTTCACAATGCTAACAATGCTAACATCATCTATATCAGTATATTAGCATTAGCTTCTACCTCAACCACAGGTGAGCCTATCTTGACGCCAGGATCATAATTACGTACATTATATATACTGTACATTATATATACACAGTAATTATACATACTGTCATTATATATACACAGTCATTATATATACTGTACATTATATACACTGTCATTATATATACTGTACATTATATACACTGTCATTATATATACTGTACATTATATATACTGTCATTATATACACTGTCATGATATACACTGTCATTATATATATACACTGTCATTATATACACTGTACATTATATACACAGTCATTATATATACTGTCATTATATATTCTGTACATTATATATACTGTCCTTATATACACAGTCATTATATATACTGTCCTTATATACACAGTCATTATATATACTGTCATTATATATACTGTACATTATATATACTGTACATTAAATATACTGTCATATATACTGTACATTATATATACTGTACATTATATACACTGTCATTATATATACTGTACATTAAATATACTGTCATATATACTGTACATTATATATACTGTACATTATATACACTGTCATTATATATACTGTACATTAAATATACTGTCATATATACTGTACATTATATATACTGTACATTATATACACTGTCATTATATATACTGTACATTAAATATACTGTCATATATACTGTACATTATATACACTGTCATTATATGATGAGATATTGTAGCCAGCCTGTCTAGTATCAAGCCCAACTCGGCTCCGGGGCCAGATGGCCTGAGAGGTAGAGTTTTAAAAGAAAATGTTCATGAACTTAAAGGTATTGTGTTGGAGTTATTTCAGTATTTGCTAAATTCTCTAACAATGCCCAAATAATGGAAAATGTCTTATATCATGCCTCTCCCCAAAAAGCCTGGAGCTACCGAATTAAAAGATTTCAGGCCCATTGCTCTTACTTCTATCTTGGGAAAATGTTTTGAGAGAGTTATAAGCAGACAAATTACAGCGTCGGTTTCTAACAGCTTAGATCGTCTCCAGTTTGCTTATAAATGTCAGAGGGGAACTGATGACGCAACTGTCAGTATGTTCCACACCCTGTCAAAGCACCTTCAAGTCCCCTCCCACCTTGCTAGGGCCCTGTTTATCGATTTCACTTCTGCTTTTAATCGCTTGCAAATTCACATCCTGCTGCAGAGACTTATTGATATAGGAGTAAATGGTGGTATTATCCAGCTTGTTAGGGACTTCCTCTCTGACCGCCCTCAACAGGTTCTGGTCAATAATACTCGGTCCAACATCATTGTGCTTAATACTGGTGCCCCGCAGGGGACTATTTTATCCCCATTACTTTCTCGATATACACAAACGAATTCCAATTAGATCTGGAAAAGTTTCGTTTGTTTAAGCATGCGGATGATATGGCCCTGGTTGCCTTATTGAAGAAGGGGGACATAGTGGGAGAGGAAGTATACAGAGCATATGTGTCATCTCTCCTGAAGTGGTGTGATGAAAGCTTCTTAGAGATCAATGTAACAAAAACACAGGAACTTGTCTTTCATGAAAAGGACCCTGTGCAGCCCCTTATAATTAAGGGACAAATTGTAGAGGTAGTAAACAAGTTGAAATATTTAGGTACATATATTGATTGCAACCTAAATTTCAGTGAAAACACTGACTATATTTTTAAAACCTGTAATCAGCGACTCCACTTACTACGCAAGCTCAACTCCTTTAGAGTGAGCAAGCATATTAAGGAAACAGTTTATAAGAACCTGATAGAGGGCATCCTAACTTTTAACATGGCAATGTGGTACAGTAATCTAAACATAAAAGGAAGAAGCAAGCTGCAGAGAATAGTAAACATAGCCTCAAAAATCATAGGTATAAGACAGAAACAATTAAGTTGTGTGTATGAGGATGTGCTTAGGAAAAAAGCTGTCAAAATAGCAAACGATCCCTCTCATCCACTTAATAAGGAGTTTGAACTTCTTCCCTCTGGTAGACGATACAAAGTACCAAGGGCAAATCGTAATATCTTTAAAAATTCCTTCATCCCAAGTGCCATTGGAGAACTGAACACCATGTCCTGTTGATGCGTTTTTAATGTAACTGCCATTGCTGTCCTGCTTTTTGCCCTGAAGATGTTTGAGTGTAAGTGTTGTTGTTGTTGCCGTCCTGCTTGTTGTTTTTATGAGACCAAAGACAAATTTCCACATTGTGGACAATAAATGAAACAAATAAACAAACAAATATATACTGTACATTATATATACTGTACATTATATACACTGTCAATGATCTTAACCAAAACTCTCTTTCCCTGCAGTTGATCCAGTTCCTGGTGTCTCTCGTCCAGTCCAACCGGGTCCTGGGAGTCAAGAGGAAGATGCAAGTTTACTAAACAATATACTACATTGTATAGTACACAACTGTGTTTAGTACTGTGTAATATGTGTATTTACTGTGTGATATGTGTATTTATGTGCAGTCCTCTGATGCTGAATGACTCTAGCTCCACCCACTCTGTGCCTAAATACAGTCGGCCGTTCTCATTGGAGCACATGCAGGTAACTTGTCAATGACTCACCTGTCAGAGGTCACATGACTCATTGTTAATGTTCTCTTAAAGATACGTTTGGTTTGATGATGGTTTATAATGTTACAGAAGGCCTCTCTGATGTTATTGACTGTTTGGATTGGTAGGTGAGCTGATTTGATTTTTATTGATTGTTAAAAGTTGATTCCTGACTGATTAGTCCTGACTGTTTGTGTTTTCAGGCTGCAGCCAGTCTGTTCTCAGCTGACTCCCCAGTGAATTCTGGACCAATAATCTCTGACATCACAGAGGTTGCCACGCCCACAGCTGAGGATGTGGTCAGTGATTGGACGGATGCAGGGTGAGAAGCAATGAAATAATTTCTACTGTGGTCAGTTAATTTCATATAGCCTGAAAGGTCGAGTTCAAAACATGGGCAGCAGAAGCAGCAGAAAAATACGCAGATCAAAATTAAGACACCAAAGACTCCTCAGAGGGCACCAGAGAGCTGAAGACTCCTCTTCAGCTCTCTTTGGGCTCTTAATTTTGATCTGCGGTGCATGTTACTCCTTATGTTGTATTTTTCTTTCTTATTAATTCTCCTTTGTTGTATTTTTCTGCTGATCATGTTTTGAACTTGACCTTTCAGGCTATATGAAAGATATTGCAGGAGGTGAATTAGAGTCAAATGATACACACATTGATATGATTCAGTGTGGCTTAAATTTCCTGAGGATTTCATTATCTCTGATGCCAATCAACAATAAACCTCCATGAATCCCCCAAAAGACAATCATCATGTTTCATCTTTGTTTTTTTTAGTATCAAAGAAATCCAGTGATAACTGCCTGTACATGCATGATACACTGGTAACAGGAGCTGCTAACAGCTAATTCAGCTCACTGTTAATGGAGACAATCGGACCCAATGTATGGAAAGAACTGGAGTACTGACCTGTAGCTGACATTACAACTGCACATTTGATGAGCTTTTATAGGGTCTTGCTCTCCTGATGGATTTGTGTCAGTGCTTTAGATATAGGGCAGAGGTCATAGCATTTTCTAACAGACAATCCTCTGCCTGTTTGACCTGCAGAGAGAGCCAATCAGTCAACGTCAAACAGGAACCATCCAGTCCTGATGTGGAAGTGTGTTCTTCTCTGGAGGGCGGAGCTTTACCTGTAGACACGCCGCTCTCACCCACCACCTTCATAAACTCCATCCTACAGGACAGCGAGACGCAGCTGACCCCAAATACCTCCACCACCAATCCTACAACAGGTAACAACTTATAAACACCTCCACCAGTGGTTACTAACGGTTTGTGGTGTATTTTCACTGACTCTGGTCTGTATTGATTTTCAGTTTTAGCAGTATTGATGATTGTATTGATGATTGTCAGTAGCAAAGTATCTTCTCTCAGTTTGATCCTTGACTCTCTGTTTCGAATCTCTCTAGCCAGTCCAATTGTTTTGGTGAGCCCTGCTTCCACTGGGCCCCTCCCACCAACCCCAGCCAGCCAATCACCTGCTTCCGTTCCCATCCCAGATACTGCCCCCAGCCCCTCCAAAACTCAGCAGAAATGTCAGACCATCGCCTGTATTGACAGGTAAGTCTTTTACACCTGCTTTACAATCAGGTTGACTGCAGGTAGAGTTACCTGCTAGTGTTATCTGCTCTTAGCTACCTGTGTTGCTAACAAATGCCCCAAAACCTTCAAACAACTCCTAACCGATCACTTTAACTGCCATGAATCATTGCTCCCCTCCTACTGTCCCCTCTTGGTATCCCCTCCTTACCCCCTCCCTGACCCTCTATGGGAACATGTTACCCAGAATGCGCTGTTGTCTATATAAGAAGGTAATAAATGTCTGATTAAGGGTAGGGTACCTGCTTAGTAATCTGCAGTATGTTCTATATGTGTTCTCCTCAGATGGTAGTTTCTTTTTGTCATTAAAACCCCTGTGCTTCCCTCAGACCCCGCCCCCCTCCCTCTGCAGGTGGAGTCTCACCTGACGTTTGGCGCTTCTTATCAACACGATCTGACAAGTGAATCAATGAATCAAATAATCTTTAAGATTTTAAATATTAGTTTGTTTCAAAGGATCAGTCTGGTGATGTTCTATATGTTTCTTTTTGTCTCAACAGTGAATATTGCGAACATGTTGTTCAACGTGAGATTTCATGACAAGAAGAAAATATAGAATAACACCAGACTGATGATCTAACTTAACATCCTGTCTGTCTCTCTGCCTGTCTGTCTGTCTGTTGCAGGTCAGAACTGTCTGATCATGTGGACAGTATTGACAACAGTCTAGAAAACCTGCAGAGCATCCTGAACACGCAAACCTTCACCTTCGACACTTCCCCACTCATGGAGGTCAGTCAGTTCATTAACAGTGACCAATAACAGTGACCAATAACAGTGACCATTAACAGTGACCATTAACAGTGACCATTAACAGTGACCAATAACAGTGACCAATAACAGTGATCAATAACAGTGACCAATAACAGTGACCAATAACAGTGATCAATAACAGTGACCAATAACAGTGATCAATAACAGTGACCAATAACAGTGACCAATAACAGTGACCAATAACAGTGACCAATAACAGGGACCAATAACAGTGACCAATAACAGTGACCATTAACAGTGACCATTAACAGTGACCATTAACAGTGACCAATAACAGTGACCAATAACAGTGACCAATAACAGTGACCATTAACAGTGACCATTAACAGTGACCATTAACAGTGACCAATAACAGTGACCAATAACAGTGATCAATAACAGTGACCATTAACAGTGACCATTAACAGGGACCAATAACAGTGACCAATAACAGTGACCAATAACAGTGATCAATAACAGTGACCAATAACAGTGACCAATAACAGTGATCAATAACAGTGATCAATAACAGTGATCAATAACAGTGACCAATAACAGTGATCAATAACAGTGACCAATAACAGTGACCAATAACAGTGAGCAATAACAGTGACCATTAACAGGCGGCTGTGGCTCACAAGTAGAGCGGGTCGCCTACTAATCAGAAGGTTGTTGGTTCAATCCCCGGCTCCTCTTGCTGCATGTCGAAGTGCCCTTGACCAAGACACTGAACCCTAAACTGCTCCCAATGCTGCATCAGTGTGTGAATGTGTGTGAGTGGCTGTAGTGACTATAAGTACAGTCCATTTACCATTTACCATAACAGTGATCAAAGATCAATAACAGTGATCAGTAACAGTCTGTCTGTGTGTGTTCAGTTCTTCAGTTCGTCCTGTCCATCTGGAGACTTTGACCTCGACAGTTTGGATACTGTGAGTTCAACAACACTCTTATTTTCTTTCTGTACTTCCTGTCCTGAATATTTTCACAGTAAGAGCAGCTCTCTGCTCACATTTGAATAAAAACAACCATTTGATCGTGATGTCACGGCTGTCTGACTGTGATGTCACTATTTCCTCTCAGCTACTTTCTGAAGAAGTCCCTAAAGGAAGTGATGAAAGCACCGCCAACCACACAGGTAACAACGCACTGACTCAGGTAACACAGGAAACACTGACACAGGAAACAGGAAACACAGACACAGGAAACACAGGAAACACTGACACAGGAAACACTGACACAGGTAACACAGGAAACACTGACACAGGAAACACAGGAAACACTGACACAGGAAACACAGGAAACACTGACACAGGAAACACAGGAAACACTGACACAGGAAACAGGAAACACTGACACAGGAAACAGGAAACACTGACACAGGTAACAGGAAACAGGAAACACTGACACAGGAAACACAGGAAACACAGGAAACACTGACACAGGAAACACAGGAAACACTGACACAGGAAACAGGAAACACTGACACAGGTAACAGGAAACAGGAAACACTGACACAGGTAACACAGGAAACACTGACACAGGAAACACAGGAAACACTGACACAGGAAACACTGACTCAGGAAACACAGGAAACACTGACTCAGGAAACACAGGAAACACAGACTCAGGAAACACAGGAAACACTGAGACAGGTAACAGGAAACAGGAAACACTGACACAGGAAACAGGAAACACTGACACAGGAAACACAGGAAACACTGACACAGGAAACACAGGAAACAGTGACTCAGGAAACACAGGAAACACTGACTCAGGAAACAGGAAACACTGACACAGGAAACAGGAAACACTGACACAGGAAACAGGAAACACTGACACAGGAAACAGGAAACACTGAGACAGGTAACAGGAAACAGGAAACACTGACACAGGAAACAGGAAACACTGACACAGGAAACAGGAAACACTGACACAGGAAACACAGGAAACACTGACACAGGAAACACAGGAAACACTGACTCAGGAAACACAGGAAACACTGACACAGGAAACAGGAAACACTGACACAGGAAACACTGACACAGGAAACAGGAAACACTGACACAGGAAACAGGAAACACTGACACAGGAAACAGGAAACACTGACACAGGTAACAGGAAACACTGACACAGGTAACAGGAAACAGGAAACAGGAAACACTGACACAGGAAACAGGGAAACACAGGAAACAGGAAACACTGACACAGGAAACAGGAAACACTGACACAGGAAACACAGGAAACACAAGAAACACTGACACAGGAAACACAGGAAACACAGGAAACACTGACTCAGGAAACACAGGAAACACTGACTCAGGAAACAGGAAACACTGACACAGGAAACACAGGAAACACAGGAAACACAGACACAGGAAACAGGAAACACTGACACAGGAAACACAGGAAACACAGGAAACACTGACGGACAGGAAACACTGACACAGGAAGCAGGAAACACTGACACAGGAAACAGGAAACACTGACACAGGAAACAGGAAACACTGACTCAGGAAACAGGAAACACAGACTCAGGTAACAGGAAACACTGACACAGGAAACAGGAAACACTGACACAGGAAACAGGAAACACTGACACAGGAAACACAGGAAACACTGACTCAGGAAACACAGGAAACACTGACACAGGAAACACAGGAAACACTGACACAGGAAACACTGACTCAGGAAACACAGGAAACACTGACACAGGAAACAGGAAACACTGACACAGGTAACAGGAAACACTCACACAGGTAACAGGAAACAGGAAACACTGATGACACAGGAAACACTGACACAGGAAACAGGAAAGACTGACACAGGAAACAGGAAACACTGACACAGGAAACACTGACACAGGAAACACTGACACAGGAAACAGGAAACACTGACACAGGAAACACAGGAAACACTGACACAGGAAACACAGGAAACACTGACACAGGAAACAGGAAACACTGACACAGGTAACAGGAAACAGGAAACACTGACACAGGTAACAGGAAACAGGAAACACTGACACAGGAAACACAGGAAACACTGACACAGGTAACAGGAAACAGGAAACACTGACACAGGAAACAGGAAACACTGACACAGGAAACACTGACACAGGAAACAGGAAACACTGACACAGGAAACACTGACACAGGAAACACTGACGGAACGGAACCACAGGAAACAGGAAACACTGACACAGGAAACAGGAAACACTGACACAGGAATGTTGTTGAATGTTATAAAGAGTTCGGTCTAGACCTGCTCTATTTGAAAAGTGTCCTGAGATAACTTCTGTTATGAATTGGCGCTATACAAATAAAACTGAATTGAATTGAATTGACTCAGGTCACACAGGAAACACTGACACTGATTTTATTGAATGCCTGTTGTCATGGTGACTCTGTGCTGCTTTCTGATTGGTCCAGGGAAGCAGCTGGTGCATTACACGGCCACACCTGTCCTGATGTCTGAACCAATCAGCTTGGGGGAGGGCGGAGTTGACCTGCCCTCCCTGCTGGAGATGGAGGCGGAGCCTTTCTTCAGCACTGACCCACCCACCGATGACCCGGCTGCCCTGCTTAGCCACGCCCACCTGGACTCTGACCTCTGACCTCTTCAGAGGGGGCAGGGACGTAGAATGTGATTTATCAGTCACCATAGCAACGGGACAGTCTGAGCGCTGACTCAGCAGCAGCAATAGATGATGAAATCAATCGATCAGCTGTAGATCAATCAGTAGGTCAAAGGTCATGTTTTTATTATGCAGTCGATATTAACAGTTTATATACCTGTGTCTTCTTCTACTCTTTTTATTTTAGCTGTCTTTGCTGCTTTAATGAAACGTTCTCAGAGAACAGAGTCAACCTGCTCTCAGGTGTGACAGGATCATGTGACCCAGCTGTTCTCTGTGTTCTGCATGTTGATTGGTTGTTTAAAATGTAGAAGATGAACAGAATCTTATCTAAATATTTTTGGAAGAGTTTATTATGAATGAAAAGTGTTAATTGTCGCCCAATGACCCTTGTTACCATGGAGATGCATTTATTTGACCTGTTGGATCAATATCAGTTCTGGTTAATCAGATCAGGTATCAGCCACGATGTCATTGATCTGCATTAAGTGATGAGAGAGACAGACAGACAGACAGACAATGCACAGTGTTGATTTGAGTTCCTCTTTTAAAATGACGGACAGAAGATCAATATTTAAACATCACATCTGGCTGTTGATTGGTTGATCAGAACTGATCCACAAACAGGAAGTTGCCCTTCAGTATAAAGCGTTTGTCATTACCATGTTTACTTTGGTAATGTTTAAATTTAAACGTGAATGAAATGTGTTTGACCCACCTGACAGCGCTCCAGCTGCCGGGGGGAGAGGGATTGTGGGAAATAAAGACGAGGGTCAAAGGTCAGATAAAATGTTGAAAACACTTCAGTTGAATAAAACCTTTTAAACCAACACAGTGTATATTTATATTTTCACTATTGAACACCTCATGATGGTGATGTCATTAGGTTGTTGATAAAGAACTGATCAGTTTGGACAGAAGACAAATTCTCAGTTTGATGTTCAAAATAGAAAAAAAACATTTATTGTAGATGTTTAAAACCACATTTTACAGTCTGACAGTGAAGGTGATGTCACATCCTGTATGATGTCATCAGCTTAAAACAGCGTGTCAGTGGCGATCCAGCTGAAACTTTATTCTGATTGGTTTCCACTCACTGATTCTCTAAAACCAACATCTATAAACAAACTTTAAATATTTCATAAACACCACGGAGCTGCTGCTGTTCAGTGGGCGGGGCCTACAGCTAGTGGGAGGGGTCTGATTTCCTGGGCCAAGCTGATTGGTCAGTACACTGGAATCGGTAGCGCAGGAATCGAACTCGCGGCTTGATGTGGAAGTCAGCAGGTATCCTCCAGTTCCACATTTTCTGCACCTGAAACAGAAAAACCTTTTAATCTTTATCTTTAAAGTTTGATGTTAAAACATTTGGAACATCAACAGTTTTGACTTCATCTCTCTGTTACAGCAACTGTTTACATAATCAATCAATCAATCAATCAATCAATCCATTCTGTTGATTTTCAAACCAAACTTCATGTTCTGCACTGTTTTCTGACATTTTATAACAATACATACAATAATAATAAAACTATACATATGTATAATTTTAGATAATTATACTTTTATAATGATAAAACTATATATGATACATATAATTATATAATATATATGTTATATATAGAGTAACATTTAGCAATCCTCTAGTATACAATATGTAGTATACAGTATGTTGTATACAGTATATAGTATGTAGTATGTACAATATGTAGTATATAGTATACAGTATATAGTATGTACAATATGTAGTATATAATATACAGTATATAGTATGTAGTATACGGTATGTAGTATATAGTATGTAGTATATGGTATGTAGTATGTAGTATATAGTATATGGTATGTAGTATATAGTATGTAGTATTCAGTATGTAGTATATAGTATACAGTATATAGTATATAGTATGTAGTATATAGTATGTACAATATATAGTATACAGTATATAGTATGTAGTATATAGTATATGGTATGTAGTATACAGTATGTAGTATATAGTATGTAGTATATGGTATGTAGTATACAGTATGTAGTATATAGTATATTGTATGTAGTACACAGTATGTAGTATATAGTATGTAGTACGTAGTATATTGTACATAGTATGTAGTATGTAGTATATAGTATGTAGTATGTAGTATATAGTATGCAGTATGCAGTATATAGTATATAGTATGTAGTATATAGTATGCAGTATGTAGTATATAGTATGTAGTATATAGTATATGGTATGTAGTATGTAGTATACAGTATGTAGTATATAGTATGCAGTATATAGTATATAGTATGTAGTATATAGTATATGGTATGTAGTATATAGTATACAGTATATAATATGTACAATATATAGTATACAGTATATAGTACGTAGTATATAGTATATGGTATGTAGTATGTAGTATGTAGTATATAGTATGTAGTATGTAGTATATAGTATGTAGTATGTAGTATATGGTATGTAGTATATAGTATATGGTATGTAGTATATAGTATACAGTATATAATATGTACAATATATAGTATACAGTATATAGTACGTAGTATATAGTATATAGTACGTACTATATAGTATATGGTATGTAGTATGTAGTATGTAGTATATAGTATGTAGTATGTAGTATATAGTATATAGTATGTAGTATGTAGTATATAGTATACAGTATATAATATGTACAATATATAGTATACAGTATATAGTACGTAGTATATAGTATATAGTACGTACTATATAGTATATGGTATGTAGTATGTAGTATGTAGTATATAGTATGTAGTATGTAGTATGTAGTATATAGTATATAGTATGTAGTATGTAGTATATAGTATACAGTTCTCCAGATATCTTTACAGAATAAATCAGGACAGAGCTGTAATGGACTGTCCAGACCAGAACCTGCACTGTGCTTCAGCAGTCTGCAAATAGGGCTTAAATACTCATACTGGGTCAGAGTTAATACAGGGGTCAGAGAGCATGGTACGAACCTTCAGGACCCTGACCAGATGGGTTGTACTGTTCAGTGACTGTACCTGCAGAGAACAAGCAGAACCAAGAAAACAGAGAAAAAAACAAGCCTTCAGCACCTGGTCTCAGGTAAAATACCACGATCCTGCCCCTAACGAGGACCAGATCCACTGAACACCTGGTTTCAGGCAAGATACCACGATCCTGACCCTTAACATGGACCAGCTCTACCAACATAAACCACAACTTGTGCTTGCTCATGGTCGTACTGTTGGGTCTCTGTAAATAATGTTAAAGAGTTCGGTCTAGACCTGCTCCATTTGAAAAGTGTCCTGAGATAACTTCTGTTATGAATTGGCGCTATACAAATAAAATTGAATTGAACTTCAGACAGGTTACAGAGACAGAAACTGGTTTGACCTGGAGCTCATAGACTGGCTCTGGATTTCTTCCAGGCCAGTTTCAGACTGGAGTTCTATCAGTTTCACTCTGGTTTCTACTTGTTTTACACGTCGTAGCCTATAGTAAATAAATAACAAACAAACTGAACATTTATAAAACTTACCAGCCGTCTGTGTGTGAGCCGTCACAGCTGGATGACCTGAAGGAAACACAGCTTCACATGAATTCACATTCCATTATTATTGATTATTTTTGATCATTACTGATCATTATTGACAATGAAGCTTTAATCGAATACATTTGAATGTTTTTTTATTTTCTGAAGCATTCAGTGGTTTAAAGTGATTGTTATTCTGCTGCGTGAATAAATGTAAACTCTTCTTCTGCTGCTGCGTGAATAAATGTAAACTCTTCTTCTGCTGCGTGAATAAATGTAAACTCTTCTTCTGCTGCGTGAATAAATGTAAACTCTTCTTCTGCTGCGTGAATAAATGTAAACTCTTCTGCTGCGTGAATAAACATAAACTCTTCTTCTGCTGCGTGAATAAATGTAAACTCTTCTTCTGCTGCTGCGTGAATAAATGTAAACTCTTCTTCTGCTGCGTGAATAAATGTAAACTCTTCTTCTGCTGCGTGAATAAATGTAAACTCTTCTTCTGCTGCGTGAATAAACGTAAACTCTTCTGCTGCGTGAATAAACATAAACTCTTCTTCTGCTGCGTGAATAAATGTAAACTCTTCTTCTGCTGCGTGAATAAATGTAAACTCTTCTTCTGCTGCTGCGTGAATTAATGTAAACTCTTCTTCTGCTGCGTGAATAAATGTAAACTCTTCTTCTGCTGCGTAAATAAATATAAACTCTTTTTCCGTGAATAAATGTAAACTTCTTCTTCTGCTGCGTGAATAAATGTAAACTCTTCTTCTGCTGCGTGAATAAATTAAATTTTTGCTGTGAATAAATGTCAACTTTTTCGTGAATAAAGTCAACTCTTCTTCTTCTGCTGCGTGAATAAATGTAAACTCTTCTTCTTCTGCTGCGTGAATAAATGTAAACTCTTCTTCTTCTGCTGCGTGAATAAATGTAAACTCTTCTTCTTCTGCTGCGTGAAGTAATGTAAACTCTTCTTCAGCTGCGTGAATTAATGTAAACTCTTCTTCTGCTGCGTGAATAAATGTAAACTCTTCTTCTTCTGCTGCGTGAAGTAATGTAAACTCTTCTTCTGCTGCGTGAATTAATGTAAACTCTTCTTCTGCTGCGTGAATTAATGTAAACTCTTCTTCTGCTGCGTGAATAAATGTAAACCCTTCTTCTTCTGCTGCGTGAATAAATGTAAACTCTTCTTCTTCTGCTGCGTGAAGTAATGTAAACTCTTCTTCTGCTGCGTGAATAAATGTAAACTCTTCTTCTGCTGCGTGAATTAATGTAAACTCTTCTTCTGCTGCGTGAATAAATGTAAACCCTTCTTCTTCTGCTGCGTGAATAAATGTAAACTCTTCTTCTTCTGCTGCGTGAAGTAATGTAAACTCTTCTTCTGCTGCGTGAATTAATGTAAACTCTTCTTCTGCTGCGTAAATAAAGGTGACTTACTGGAGTCGAGTGGACTTCTTGTTGGATCTGCTGAAACTACAAACACACACAGTTTAATATGTTTGACCTTTAACCTCACCTGTATATCAGCCATGTTGGAAGGCGGGGCTTACCTGTGTCTGTACCTGTGGAGTCTGTTGCCACGGTAACCAGGTCTGTGAAGGAGTAACCACCTGAAGTTGAAAACAACAACAGCAATAAACACATGACGATTGACATCAGCAAGCCAAAGACAGACAGACAGGTGTGCAGACAGACAGGTGTACCTGGGCGTAGTGTGTGTGTGAACGCGTCTACAGATTGGCTGTGCAGGACAACAGGTGACGACTCTGTAACATGATCATGTGACAGGAAGTAAGTACAGACAAACTCCTGATATTGTGATTGATGTGGTTGTCATGGTAACAAGTCTTACCTGTGACATCATGGCTGAGTCCGAGACCTGATGCTGGAACCAATCAGTACACAGAGTCAACACTGTCAATCAATCTATTGATTTATTAATCAATAAGTCCTCTATCTCACCTGTGAGGTCGATGTGAAGACCGGTCACTGAGTCTGCTCCATCTGATGACATCACCATAACATCTGATGACATCACCATCATCATCATTAGGTTGGTTGATCATTTATTAATGTAAGTAAGTAATGATGATTTAATATGATAAAGTAATTCATCAGGTAAAGTCATGACATCATAGCTGAAGATGATTAGCTATAATCAGTTCATTATTTATTTATTTATTAGTTCTCAATAAAGAAAAAAGGTCATTAAACAGATTGATAGCTGATCAGTCTATGAATAATCATTTCAAAATCTGATGGATCAATAAAAGACTGATAGATCAATAACAGTACCTGTGAGATCAATCTGGAGGTTCTGAGTCTGAAGATCATTGAAGGAAACGAGTCGATCAGTAACTGAAAAAACAACACACACACATATTTATTTATTTATTTATAAACAAATAAATAGAACTGTATTTATACATATATTATATGTATAAATACAAATATAAACTCAACATAAGAATTGATCTTCCTCCATAAACAATGTCACACTTCAGTAAAACACCTATCGACTTCAGTACCTGCAGCACCGTCACATTCACACTGATTGATTGATTGATGATTGATTACCTGCGTTTGAGTCCATCAGCAGAGTCTGTCGACCGTTTCCTGAAAAACACAAACTGTCAGCCTGACTCATCTGAACAGCAAGTGTAAATAAAAGAATCACATAATAATATAATAACATAAAATACAGTTCAAAGAATTATTGATTTCAAACGGCACTGAGAGAACAATAACCAGATCAATAAGATTGATAAGAAATATCACTGATATTCTTACCGTGTGCATCAGGTGAGTCGGCTCCATCTGCTAGTAAAAATACAGAATAAATAAATGTGTAGGAGCTATTTCATTATTTTGATTATTATTATTTGTGTTTTCTTTTGCAGACACTAGGGGGCATTAAACACCACACCAAGCATCAGTTAGGTTAACGATAAAGTAGCAGGTGGGTCAATGAACGCACCAAAAAGAGAGATGCAGCACGATTCATCTGTTTGCTCTTGAACTGGAAAATAAATCAACTTAAAATGAATCCTGCGGATGACAGACCCAATCAACTGAACCATAAACTTAAGTAGCAATGACTTCATGAGCTTCTTTTATGATAAAATTATTACTATTAGAAAATTAATCACCAACTGCCATCAACAGTTATCAGTGGCTCTCCAAGTTCAGGAACTTTAACTAATGTAAACTCAGATATATATTTAGACTGTTTTTCTGCTATCGATCTTCATCAGTTAATTTCAATCATTTCTACATCGAAGCCATCAACCTGTCTGTTAGACCCGATCCCAACAAGGCTGCTTAAAGAGGTTGTACCCTTAATTGGCACTTCTTTACTGGATATGATTAATCTTTCTTTATTATCAGGATATGTACCACAGTCCTTTAAAGTAGCTGTAATTAAAACCCTTCTTAAAAAGCCCACTCTTGACCCAGGGGTTTTAGCCAACTATAGACCGATTTCTAACCTCCCCTTCCTCTCTAAGATTCTGGAGAAAGTAGTCGCCAAAGAGTTGTGTGACTTTCTACATAATTGTTTATTTGAGGATTTTCAGTCAAGATTTAGAGTTCATCACAGCACAGAGACAGCTCTGGTTAAAGTTAATAATGACCTTTTGATTGCTTCCAACAATGGACTTGTCTCTATACTTGTATTATTAGATGTTAGTGCTGCATTTGACACCATTGACCATGAAATTCTTTTACAGAGACTTGAGCATCAAATTGGCATTAAAGGAACCGCACTAAGCTGGTTTAAGTCATACTTATCAGATTGTTCTCAGTTTGTACGTGTTAACGATGAATCTTCAATAAATACTACAGTTAGTCATGGAGTTCCACAAGGTTCTGTACTTGGACCAATACTATTTACTTTATATATGCTCCCTTTAGGCAACATTATTAGGAATCACTCCATTAACTTTCACTGTTATGCAGATGATACGCAGTTATATCTATCAATCAAGCCCGATGAAATTAATCAATTATCTAAATTACAAACATGTCTTAAGGACATAAAATCCTGGATGAGCTGCAATTTTCTGATGTTAAACTCAGAAAAAAACGAAATTCTTGTTCTTGGCCCCAAAAACCTTAGAGACTCACTGTCTAAAGATATAGTTACTCTAGATGGCATTAACTTGGCCTCTAGCACCACTGTCAGGAATCTTGGAGTTATCTTTTAACTCAGCAGGATCCTGATCCGACTGACACCTCAGTTCATAGGTGAAGACTGGAACATAGACTGACTGAACCCTCGGAACCACACTGGTCCGGTACAACACCCACACTAAACCACCTGTCCATCTCGATACATTTTACCGTCACAGATGAACAAGATCCTGAGATACTGCAGAGAAATTTGTCCCCCATCGTTGCTGTTGTTGTCATCATCATCTTCTTCATGTTCATCATCATCAGTCACTACTATTAGTGTAGTTGTTGCTACTGTTGTCACTGTGCACCTGTCTGTCTCTTTCTCTGTCTCTCTCTGTGTCTCTCTCTCTCTCTCTCTCACCCCAACTGGTCGAGGCAGACAACCACCCACCTAGAGCCGAAGGGTCTGTCCAAGGTTTCTGCCTCTTAACAGGCAGTTTTTCCTTGCCCCCGTCGCCAAGGTCTTGCTCATGGTGGTACTGTTGGGTCTCTGTAATTCTATTTGAAAAGTGTCCTGAGATAACTTCTGTTATGAATTGGCGCTATACAAATAAAATTGAATTGAACTGAATTGAACCAGGACCTCAGACTGGCAGTGCTGAATCTCATGCAAACCACCTCAACAAAACCACATTATCTGCAAAAAGCAGAGACGTAATTCTGAAGTTCCCAAACAGGATCCTTTCCCCCATCCTGGCTGCAACTTGAGATCCTGTCCGACACCCACTGAGAATCTGCTTGACTTTGTACTGCTTGTAAGCTTTCTCCAAGTCCACAAAAGACATGTAGACCGCATATTTAAACTCTCAGGACCCCCCCAGCAACCTCGCAAAGTAAAGAACTGTTCCTCTGGTCCACTGGTCCACCTTTCTCAGTGTCATACCCCGATTACTGGAACACACCCTTCGGTCCCACTTTTTAAAAATGGGAACCACCACCCTGGTATGGAATTGTCCCCGACCTCCATGCGACACTGAGGTTGGAGCTGAACGATGTTCAGGAGCTTCTAGACTACTTCAAAGTCCCCGGAGGACAGGTTGGTGGAGTCCCCCGCTCCACAATATCCCCAGTCTGGGTCAGGAGGAACAGATTCCGTCCTGACCGTGGACCAGTGGAACAGCCTTTGTATATTTTAGGAGCAATAGCCTTTATGGATTTTCAGAATAAAGTCTTCCTTTTTTTAAATTTAAGTCTGTCTCTATTATCAGAGTAAAAGTCAGAATTTTCAGAGTAAAAGTCAGAATTTTCAGAGTAAAAGTCAGAATTTTCAGAGTAAAAGTCTTTTTGGATTATCAGAATAAAGGTGTTCTATACCAACCTCCCAGGGCTGCGGAGTGGGAGGAGCCTGAGACAGAGCTTGACTGTGATTGGTCAGGTCCTGAGCTCAGAGAGGTGTGATCTGGTCCTGATTGATCAATGCTGATGTCAAAGTGATGAGCAGGATCTTCAACAGATGGACGAGAAGAGGAAGAAGATGTTAGCTTTAGGTTTGACCATTACTGCCACAGCACTACAGATAATACAAACTCCATTATAATCAATTTACTATTGATCCTTAAAGGAAAAACAACAACATGGTGACAATCAAAGATTCACACTATAACACTGCTGCCGAAGACACCTGAATGCATCACACCTGCGGACACTGTCAGTACCTGCAGGTGAGTCTAGACTGGAGCCGCTGTTCTGATCTGCTGATGGCGCCGCTGTCAACCCTGAACTGATAACTGAAACAATAATTAGACTGATCAATAACACAGCCGGTCAGTAATGAAGGTAATTCACATGATGTGCAGGTGTCCTAACGTTAAAAACAGACCACAAAAGAAGAATAAAAAGAATATACCTGTAGCGTCTAGCTGAGTGGGCAGAGCCATGTGACCTGTCAGAAAATACAAATCTAACTTTAAATGAACTCCCTGATTCACTTTAAGACAACTGATCACACTGTACTGATTACACCTGTACTGATTACACCTGTACTGATTAAACCTGTACTGACTACACCTGTACTGATTACACCTGTACTGACTACACCTGTACTGAGGAAGGAGAAAGGAAGGAGACCAGAAGGAGACACTAAAAGAAAAAGACAGGAAGTAGACAAGAAGGAGACACTTTATCGATCCTGGTGGAGCCTCCTGCCATGGTCCTGCGAGATTGCCATTGCCAGTACTGTTGTTGCTGTGCACCTGTCTGTCTCTCTGTGTCTCTCTCTCTCTCTCTCTCTCTCTCTCTCGCTCTCACCCCAACTGGTCGAGACAGACGACCACCCACCTAGAGCCGAAGGATCTGTCCTAGGTTTCTGCCTTTTAACAGGCAGTTTTTCCTTGCCCTTGTCGCCAAGGTCTTGCTCATGGTGGTACTGTTGGGTCTCTGTAAATAATGTTTGAAAGAGTTCAGTCTAGACCTGCTCTATTTGAAAAGTGTCCTGAGATAACTTCTGTTATGAATTGGCGCTATACAAATAAAATTGAATTGAATTGAATTGAATTGAAGGAGACACTGAAGGAGAAAGGAAGGAGACACGGGAGGAGACACTGAAGGAGACCTAAAGGAGACAGGAAGGAGACACTGAAGGAGACAGGAAGAAGACACTGAAGGAGAAAGGAAAGAGACACTGAAGGAGACACTGAAGGAGACAGGAAGGAGACAGGAAAGAGAGACTGAAGGAGAAAGGAAAGAGACACTGAAGGAGAAAGGAAGGAGACACGGGAGGAGACACTGAAGGAGAAAGGAAAGAGACACTGAAGGAGAAAGGAAGGAGACACGGGAGGAGACACTGAAGGAGACAGGAAGGAGACAGGAAAGAGAGACTGAAGGAGACAAGAAGGAGACACTGAAGGAGACACTGAAGGAGACACTGTAGGAGACCCTGAAGGAGACACTGAAGGAGAAAGGAAGGAGACACGGGAGGAGACACTGAAGGAGACCTAAAGGAGACAGGAAGGAGACACTGAAGGAGACAGGAAGGAGACACTGAAGGAGACAGGAAGAAGACACTGAAGGAGAAAGGAAAGAGACACTGAAGGAGACACTGAAGGAGACAGGAAGGAGACAGGAAAGAGAGACTGAAGGAGAAAGGAAAGAGACACTGAAGGAGAAAGGAAGGAGACACGGGAGGAGACACTGAAGGAGAAAGGAAAGAGACACTGAAGGAGAAAGGAAGGAGACACGGGAGGAGACACTGAAGGAGACAGGAAGGAGACAGGAAAGAGAGACTGAAGGAGACAAGAAGGAGACACTGAAGGAGACACTGAAGGAGACACTGTAGGAGACCCTGAAGGAGACACTGAAGGAGACAGGAAGGAGATACTGAAGGAGACAGAAAGGAGACAGGAAAGAGACACTGAAGGAGACAGGAAGGAGACACTGAAGGAGACACTGAAGGAGACCCTGAAGGAGACACTGAAGGAGACACTGTAGGAGACAGGAAGGAGACACTGGAAGAGACACTGGAGGAGACTCTGACGAATCCTTACACTTGAAAAAGGAAACACAACCCATCATCAGATATTTACCCATCAAGCCGAGCAGGAAGTCGTTACTGGATGGGTCGATGGTTCCTGATGAAGAAGAAGAGGAGTTGAGGATGGAGACGAGCACATCGTCATAAAAGAAGAAGAAATTAGTTGAGGAGGAAATGAAGAGTTTATTGAATGTCGTTTGATTCTTTAAGAACTGATGATTAACGACAGAAACAGCTGATATGAATCATGTGACTCAGCTTCCTCCTGTAGCCCCACCCACTGTAGCTCACCTGTCTGACTGTCAGCTCCTCCTCCTCCTCCTCCTCCTCCTCCTCCATTCAGCAGCTTCTGTCCATTTCCTGAGACACACAAAATAATCAGTAATCACCTCCACTGATTTTCGTATCTTCAATTGACATATCTTCTTCTGGAGTTTATCAATAAGTTATTGATCAGTGATTTTATTGATATTTACCGTTGGATTCTGAGTCGAGTCCATCAGAACCTGCAGACACAAACACCATTCTTATCTGATAAAGTTTTTTTACTCTTAAGTTGAATTATTTATTCATATATTGATTTTTACATTTATTGATTGATTGATTCTGAAAACAAAACATTAAGCTCATCATTTATCAAAATGTTCTTGTGTTCTATACGAGACACTTTTTAACACGTTGTGAAATGGTTGCGGTTTGGTTGTTACACAAGTCATATTGTCATTACTGCGGCAACAAGTCACATGACATTATGTAACTTAAAACTTTACATGAAAGTCCTGTTTGACTTTATCGCGCTGATGGTGCGTCTCATACAGGCGTATAGTTGCTGATTAATGTTCTGATTACCTGATTGATTAATCAAATAGTTTCAACTTTTCACAGTTCAGTATCCAACAGCAGTTTCTGACACTCAGACCAGTGTTTACCTGAAACTTCCTGACCTGAAAACAGCTAACTGCTAACGCCTAGCAGCTAACTGGACAATCAGCTGCTAAAAGCAAAGAAAACTCACATTTCAGCTGAACTTTCTTCTGATTGATATTTTTATTTGAAGCTATCAAGCAGACTTTCAGGAGTGTAAATATTATATAAATGAGTGTAGATGGTCTCCTACGCCAATCAGACAATGACTTATTAAGATGAAATCCGGATGACTATGTCCCAGCAACTGAAGCCAAAAAGATGGTTTGCAGCAGAATGACCTCCAGCGCTCATAAGTGAAAGCAACGTTTCTTTCTACTCCTTAACAGCTGCAGCCTTTCTGTGGGACCATGAATGATCCATCCTTATATACTCTGACAACCTCGCAGTTGTAGACCATCAACAAGGGTTGCCCTAACGCCCCTCCATCAGGCTGTGCACGCACCTCCTAACCTGTGACTCAGTTACCAATCTGTTCTCTGTGCAGCTAACATTCCCGGTCATTCCAACGCCACCGCTGTTTCTCATTCAAGAAGTTCAGACTCTTAGACCTCCTTGCAGATACCCACCCAACTCTGGTTCCTCCATATTTGGCAATGACACTCAACCTGAAAATCCCCTGATTGTTGAATCCCTAAATACCATAATCAACATCATATCTTGCTGTCAGTCTACATCCACACCATGCACTCTAGATACAACCTAACTCATGTTCAATTCAATGCAGCTTTGTTTGTATAGAATTCATAACAGAAGTTATCTCAGGACACTTTTCAAATAGAGCAGGTCTAGACCGAACCCCTTATAACATTATTTACAGAGACCCAACAGTTTCCATGTTGCTTTAACATTTCCTCAGATGCTCACAGCCTCTGCCCATCACTTCGACCCACGCCACCATGGTATTCTAGTTAAAGCGAAAATAATCTTCTTGTCTCGCATTTCTCCTGTCAATTACTTCAGACTCCAGACACTCCTTCAGGATCGGAACACTTAATACAAATCGAGGGCCATTGGTTTTCAAAAGTGTACCACTGCTACATCTGTTCAGAGCTCAAAGATCTCAGATATGCTTTGGGGTTTCCTCATGCCTGGGTGCTACCAAAGCTTCCCCACATCACAGACAGCAAGTAGATCAACCACAGGCATTTTCATGAATCCATTGTTGAATCTTGATGTAAAATTAAAATGAATGTTTACCTGCAGGTTGAGTCTGAGAGACACCAGAGAGTTCCACTGCTGCTGCTGGAGAACCGGAAGAACCTGAGAGGAGAACCAAAGTGTTCTGCCCACATACACACAGCTATTGATCCACCGGAACATACTGATTGATTTATTTTTACCTGCTGGTTGTGAAGCTGCTGAGCTGCTCGGACCTCCAGCTGCTTAAAAACAAACACGTGAAGAAGATTCACTGACTTCTTCATGAGTTTTATTTTCTACAGACAGTTTCAACAGGAAGATGACTGATTTCAAATCAATTATTTCACATATGATTCATTCATGTGTGATGTGTCACATGCTGCTTCATCAGCCAATTATCACACATCTCATTACACAGTAGTTATAATAACATGAAGATTACAGTGACGGCCAGCCAATAGAAGGCCCTAGGGCGCCACCCTCCCAAGTCAAAAGTGTTTTTTGATTTTGATTTTTTTTAATGACATTTAAAAAAAAAAATACAATAATTACTTATTTAAGTATGTACATGTTTCAATTTAGCCGCCCCAATTCAATAAGATCGCTTCTTCTAAATCAGTTTGACAGGAGAACTTTGGTGGAACAATTATATTATAATGATAAATTCTGTGGGGCTTTTGAGCTGGCTTTGCGTGGCCACAATGAGACCGACTCCTCAGACAACCCTGGCATTTTCAGGGGTTTAGTTGATCACCTCACTAGACAGCGTGTTGGAGGTGCACCTGAAGACAGCTACTGTTTTCAAAGTCACCTTAAAGAAGGTGCAAAACAAACATTTGGACTCCATGCTGTCAATTGTTAAAAATACCATTCTGGAGGACATAGAAAATGGCAACTATCTTGCTATTCAGGCAGATGAGACAACAGACATTTCCACCCTGTCAGCTAGTACTTGTGCTACGGTACATTGACAAGCGAGGCGACATTTGTTTGAGTTCATCCCACTTCAAAATGCAACCGCTGACACAATCGCCACGGCCCTGCTGGAGAGGATTAGCACTGTCCTCCCTTAGGGACAAGAGAGCAGACTATTCGCCCAGGGTTATGATGAGGCTGCTGTGATGAGGGGACCTACAGGTGCAGCGTAAGGTAAAGGATGAATTTAACAGAGTCCTATAATAACTTTAGTCCCTCCGAAATTGATAATCTTGTAGATAGTGCTGCAGGCTCACTACGAAGAACATTAGATTATATCGCTCCTATAAAAAGGAAATTATTAAAACATAGGAAACTAGCACCATGGTACAACCACCAAACCCGCCAATTAAAGCAAAAAGCTAGGAAATCTGAAAGGAAATGGCGCTCTTCCAAATGATCAGAATATTGCTCAATTTGGCAAGATAATCTTAAAACCTATAGAAAGACCCTCCGTAACGCCAGAGGAGCCTATTACTCAGCACTAATAGAAGAAAATAAGAATAACCCTAGGTTCCTCTTCAGCACTGTAGCCAGGCTGACAGAGAGTCACAGCTCTATTGAGCCACATATCCCCATAAACTTAAGTAGCAATGACTTCATGAGCTTCTTCTATAATAAAATTATTAATATTAGAGAGAAAATTAATCACCAACTGCCATCAACAGTTATCAGTGGCTCTCCAAGTTCAGGGACTTTTGCTAATGTAAACTTAGATATATATTTAGACTGTTTTTCTGCTATCGATCTTCATCAGTTAACTTCAATCATTTCTTCACTGAAGCCATCAACCTGTCTATTAGACCCGATCCCAACTAGGCTGCTTAAAGAAGTCGTACCCTTAATTGGCACTTCTTTACTGGATATGATTAATCTTTCTTTATTATCAGGATATGTACCACAGTCCTTTAAAGTAGCTGTAATTAAACCCCTTCTTAAAAAGCCCACTCTTGACCGAGGGGTTTTAGCCAACTATAGACCGATCTCTAACCTCCCCTTCCTCTCTAAGGTTCTGGAGAAAGTAGTCGCCAAAGAGTTGTGTGACTTTCTACATAACAATAGTTTATTTGAGGATTTTCAGTCAGGATTTAGAGTTCATCACAGCACAGAGACAGCTCTGGTTAAAGTTAATAATGACCTTCTGATTGCTTCAGACAATGGACTTGTCTCTGTACTTGTATTATTAGATCTTAGTGCTGCATTTGACACCATTGACCATGATATTCTTTTACAGAGACTTGAGCATCAAATTGGCATTAAAGGAACCGCACTAAGCTGGTTTAAATCATATTTATCAGATCGCTTGCAGTTTGTACATGTTAATGTGATGTTAATGTACATGTTGATGAATCTTCAATAAATACTACAGTTAGTTCCACAAGGTTCTGTACTTGGACCAATACTTTTTACTTTATATATGCTCCCTTTAGGCAACATTATTAGGAATCACTCCATTAACTTTCACTGTTATGCAGATGATACGCAGTTATATCTATCAATCAAGCCCGATGAAATGAATCAATTATCTAAATTACAAACATGTCTTAAGGACATAAAATCCTGGATGACCTGCAATTTTCTGATGTTAAACTCAGAAAAAACGAAATTCTTGTACTTGGCCCCAAAAACCTTAGAGACTCACTGTCTAAAGATATAGTTACTCTAGATGGCATTAACTTGGCCTCTAGCACCACTGTCAGGAATCTTGGAGTTATCTTTGATCAGGATTTGTCATTTGATTCCCACATGAAGCAGACCTCTAGGACTGCCTTCTTTCATTTACGTAATATTACAAAAATTACACACATCCTATCACAGACGGATGCAGAAAAACTAATCCATGCATTTGTTACTTCTAGGCTGGATTACTGCAACTCTTTATTATCAGGTTGCCCCAATAAGTCCATTAAACGCTCCAATTAATTCAAAATGCTGCAGCGCGAGTACTGACAGGAACTAGAAAAAGAGATCACATCTCTCCTGTACTAGCTTCTCTGCACTGGCTCCCTGTAAAATTTAGAATATAATTTAAAATTCTCCTCCTCACCTATAAAGCTCTTCATGCTCAGGCCCCTTCATATCTTAAAGAGCTCATAGTACCCTATTACCCCTCTAGAACACTACGTTCTCTGAATGCTGGGCTACTTGTGGTTCCTATAGTCTCTAAAAGTAGAACAAGAGCCAGAGCCTTCAGTTACCAAGCTCCTCTCCTGTGGAACCAGCTTCCATTTGTGGTTCGGGAGGCAGACACCCTCACCACATTCAAGAGTAGGCTTAAGACATTCCTCTTTGATAAAGCTTATAGTTAGGGCTGGATCAGGTGAGTCCTGAACCATCTCTTAGTTATGTTGCTATAGGCCTAGACTATCGGGGGATTTCCCATGGTGCACTGAGCTCCTCTCTTCCTCTCTCTTTCTGCACTTATTCATTCAATTCAATTCAATTCAATTTTATTTGTATAGCGCCAATTCATAGCAGAAGTTATCTCAGGACACTTTTCAAATAGAGCAGGTCTAGACCGAACTCTTTAACATTAATTACAGAGACCCAACAGTACCACCATGAGCAAGCACTTGGCGACAAGGGCAAGGAAAAACTGCCTGTTAAAAGGCAGAAACCTAGGACAGATCCTCCGGCTCTAGGTGGGTGGTCGTCTGTCTCGACCAGTTGGGGTGAGAGAGAGAGAGAGAGAGAGAGAGGCAGAGAAAGAGCGAGAGACAAACAGACAGGTGCACAGCAACAACAGTATTGGCAATGGCAATGTAGCAGGACCATGGCAGGAGGCTCCACCAGGATCGACAAGAACCTGCGAGACGAGAAAGCACATGTCCCATTAATGCATGTTACTAACTTCACTTCTTCCCCAGAGTTCTTGTGCTTTCTCGCCTCGCAGGTTCTTATCGATCCTGGTGGAGCCTCCTGCCATGGTCCTGCTAGATTACCATTGCCAATACTGTTGTTGCTGTGCACCTGTCTGTCTGTCTGTCTCTCTGTCTCTCTCTCTCTCTCTCTCACACACACACCCCAACTGGTCGAGACAGACGACCACCCACCTAGAGCCGGAGGATCTGACCTAGGTTTCTGCCTTTTAACAGGCAGTTTTTCCTTGCCCTTGTCGCCAATGACAAATCCTGATCAAAGATAACTCCAAGATTCCTGACAGTGGTGCTAGAGGCCAGTTAATGCCATCTAGAGTAACTATATCTTTAGACAGTGAGTCTCTAAGGTTTTTGGGGCCAAGAACAAGAATTTAGTTTTTTTCTGAGTTTAACATCAGAAAATTGCAGGTCATCCAGGATTTTATGTCCTTAAGACATGTTTGTAATTTAGATAATTGATTAATTTCATCGGGCTTGTTTGATAGATATAACTGCGTATCATCTGCATAACAGTGAAAGTTAATGGGCGATCTGATAAATATGACTTAAACCAGCTTAGTGCGGTTCCTTTAATGCCAATTTGATGCTCAAGTCTCTGTAAAAGAATATCATGGTCAATGGTGTCAAATGCAGCACTAAGATCTAATAATACAAGTACAGAGACAAGTCCATTGTCAGAAGCAATCAGAAGGTCATTATAAACTTTGACCAGAGCTGTCTCTGTGCTGTGATGAACTCTAAATCCTGACTGAAAATCCTCAAATAAACTATTGTTATGTAGAAAGTCACACAACTCTTTGGCGACTACTTTCTCCAGAATCTTAGAGAGGAAGGGGAGGTTAGAAATCGGTCTATAGTTGGCTAAAACCCCTGGGTCAAGAGTGGGCTTTTTAAGAAGGGGTTTAATTACAGCTACTTTAAAGGACTGTGGTACATATCCTGATAATAAAGAAAGATTAATCATATCCAGTAAAGAAGTGCCAATTAAGGGAACAACTTCTTTAAGCAGCCTAGTTGGGATCGGGTCTAATAGACAGGTTGATGGCTTCGGTGAAGAAATGATTGAAGTTAACTGATGAAGATCGATAGCAGAAAAACAGTCTAAATATATATCTAAGTTTACATTAGCAAAAGTCCCTGAACTTGGAGAGCCACTGATAACTGTTGATGGCAGTTGGTGATTAATTTTCTCTCTAATATTAATATTTTATTATAGAAGAAGCTCATGAAGTCATTGCTACTTAAGTTTATGGGGATATGTTTTTTGTTTTAGGGATTTGTTTTAACTGGCGGGTTTGGTGGTTGTACCATGGTGCTAGTCTCCTATGTTTTAATAATTTCCTTTTTATAGGAACGATAGAGTCTAATGTTGATCGTAATGAGCCTGCAGCACTATCGACAAGATTATCAATTTCAGAGGGACTAAAGTCGTTATAGGACTCTGTTAAATTCAGACATGGCATTGAATTAAACACTGAAGGAATCTCCTCCTTAAATTTAGCTACAGCACTGTCAGATAGACATCTGCTGTAGGAAGTTTTGCCTAATGGCTTATAATCTAATAGTATGAGTTCAAAAGTTACTAAATAATGGTCAGATAGGAAAGGATTATGTGGGAAGACTATTAAATGTTCAATATCAATGCCATATGATAGAACAAGGTCAAGAGTGTGATTAAAACAATGAGTTGGTTTATTTACACTCAATTGCCAATTGAGTCTATTAATGATATAATTGAATTGAATTGAATTGAATTGAATTGGATTGAATTGAATGTCTATGGAGGTGCACACTACGTCCACTGCTATGCGCATCAGTTGAACCTCTTCATGCAGCAGGCAACATCACACATCCCCAGGATCTGTACCTTTTTTTCAGACCATGGTGGATTTGCTGCATTCTGTTCCCGGTCATTCAAGCGAACCACTGTGCTTTATCAAGTGGTGGCACACAGACTTTCTGAAACTTCTACAATAAGGTTGAACCTCCACAGCCGTGCTGTTAACACTGTGTTTGAGCACCAAGGATGACCTCCTACAGTGTTTGTGTAATAATACAAACATTATAATTTTTTTTATTCTGCTATACTTTAGCATGTAAGTCCATTCACCGCACAGCCACTGACACTGAAGTCTTTAGATGTGATTATTTCACATTCCTGATATTAAGCAGTAAGCTGGCCCTGCTTGTCACAAAAAAATACAGTCATTTTTTCATCCTTTCAAAGGATACTGTTGGCATTATTTACACTAAAAGATGTGAAAATGTTGTGTCTGCTGTTTACTATGTGTAAAAAATGCATTTGTTCATAGGTATGTGACACCATTTTGAGTCATGCCAAAGAGCGTTTCTCTTTCACCAAGCACCTCATGACTTGTTCCCGCAACACACGTGAAGTTCCCAGATTCAGCACTGGAAACCACAGTGGAGGCCTAATCCATGTTGAACAAAGCCAAACTCAAAACAGAGCTCTCCCTGACAAGTTCAGGGCTCGCAGTGATGCACTGACTCTGTTCCAGTTTGCTTCCTGAGGAACACCATGACACAGGATTGCCTGAATGCTTTGGCTCTGCTCTCCATGGAGAAAAAACTTACATTCCTGACTTCAGTAACAGGGTCATTGAGAGGTTTGCCACTCAGAAGGACAGAAGGACAAAATTCTTGTACAAATAAATCACACACACACACACACACACACACACACACACACACACACACACACACAGTCACTTCACCTGACCCCCTTTTTCTATGTATATAGTTGATTTTAGAATCAGACATACAGCAATATATGCTGAAATGATACAGAGTCCATTGTGCTCTATGTGATTCGTATTGTATAAATATGACAAATTAATTAGGAAATCTTATATAAAAGTTAAAACAGCAGTTTTACTTGCTGATTTGTAAAGGTCCAGTGTGTAACATTTAGGAGGCCCTATTGTCTGGAATAGAATAGAATATAGTATATAATATAGTCGAGATAGGGCCCTATCAGCCACTGTAGTTCTTCCTACATTCTTGGTTTTAGGGGTTTTAGTTGGTTGCAGTCTGCAACTACTCCTCTATATGCCATTAAATCCTACACACTAGTCTTTTAAATGAGGGGAGCATGAAAGCAGTATATACAGTAGCCATGCTGCCTGTAGCTAGTGCTGTTCAAGGTGCTAAAAAAAATAGAGCCTCCCTTGTTTCCTGGAAACAGGTCACATTTTGTCTTAATAGTGTGTTTGCTAATACAATAAAACTGTTTATTACAATTTAATGTTGCACCTCTAGAGCACATTAACAATTAGTAAGATTTAGCTTGGTAATGAAATACTAATATAGAGCAAATGTACATAATTTGATGTTATGTATATGGTTAACTTTTCACTCTGTTCTGACGGTGTGCCTCTTGCTCTGCCTATTTACTACTATCTGCATGTTCCGTGTGCTCAGCTGTGCACTGCTGCCACAAGGGGGCACTGGAGTAACAGTCAAGAGCCTTTCCAACAGATGTTATGTGTACAAAAAACTCAGTTACTTCAGTTTCAAATACAAATTACTATTTCACAGAGCTCGGGTATCCTGCAGTTCATGTTAAATTGCATTGGGATGGTTACTGAAACTGACTGTATATGACACAGCCCCACCTAGAATATATTTTTCACCAGCCGCCACTGATAGAGTATATAATATATAATTATAATCAGGTTTAACTTCTCACTAAACACAGTGATGTTACCTGATGAGTCCACAGAAGAAGAATCACCTGCGTGACCTGATACACACAAACATAAAGGATATATTTATTAGAATATATTATAATATTATGTCATATTTACTAATAATATATAAATAAGTAATAAAACAATTATAAATATTGTTTAGTTTAGAATGTGGCACATGTTGTTTACCTGCAGAACTTCCTGCTGTTCCATCATTTGCTCCTCCTCCCGCCGACTGACTGCTGGAAGCTGAAAATCAACACAAACTAAATTTGATTATATACTAACTAAATATATTAACTGATATATAGTTGAATTGTATAAATGTTGACGTTTGATCACTTTCTGATTAATTTTCAAACAGAACCAAAGACAAACATAGAAACATCAAAAAGTCCAAAACAGAAATACTGTTACAGAAAACTCCACCTCCAAACAATAATGTGATGATCTGTAATAAATAATATATATGTATTGTATAGATATTAAACATTAAAGGTCAACAAAAGATATGACCATCTACTCACCACTCAGATCTTGAATGTTGGACAAGATGCCTGCAGAGAAAACACACCTGAGTGAACTGATCCAACATTGTTGATCTGTGTCAAAGAGCGATGACTTATTATTACAGAATTAGACTAATTATTCATCATAATTTTATTATTATAATTATTCATCCTTGGTTTGGGTTAAAATAAGTAGAGGTCAAAATTGTTAGAACACTTATTTAAGAGGTTTTAGTTGTTTTTGTTGAATTGGCCATTAAAATACCCATAAAATGAATAACATATCTACAAAATAATCATAATACTCTGTAAACCGTAGAATAGAGCCATGCTAAGGAGATTTAGGTAATTTTCCTTACAGAAAACAAGCTAGGCCTATTTTACTGTCAATGTCAGACAATCATGTTCCTTCACAGAAGAAGCCAAATTACTTGTGTAATCACTGTCAGATGTGATTGTGCTTAAATTAATGGTGATGCAAGAGTCTTAGGACACAGCTGTGTGATTCTTTTCAGTATACAAGGCCTATCCTGACAGTCCAGAGTTGGGACCAGGAAGCAGAGCTGCTGTCTTACACACTTCTCTGCGCTTTCTTTAGAACAGTCACCCACCCAAAACCCCATAGAGACTGTGTCTGTCCCCCGACCACCTAAATTATTTAAAGAAATAAAAACAAGAGGAGTTCAACATAAAAATCTAATAAAAATTAAAACCAACTCCTCAGTAGCACAAAATAAGAGAATGAAATGTGGGCTGTTAAATATCAGGTCTCTGTCCTCTAAAGCTGTTTTAGTGAATGAATTAATATCAGATTATGATATTGATTTACTTTGTCTTACTGAGACCTGGTTGTCCCACGAGGAGTATGTTAGCCTAAATGAATCCACCCCCCCTGTCATATTAATACTCACATTCCTAAAGGCACTGGCCGAGGAGGTGGAGTAGCAGCCATATATGATTCGAGCGTTTTAATGGACCCTAAACCTAAACTAAATTATAATTCATTTGAAAGCCTTGTTCTTAGTCTTTCTCACCCAAACTGGAAAACACTGCAGCCAGTTCTATTTGTTATAGTGTACCGCGCTCCTGGACCGTACTCTGATTTTATATCTGAATTCTCCGAGTTTTTATCAAGTTTAGTCCTTAAATCAGATAAAGTAATTATTGTAGGTGATTTTAATATTCATGTGGATGTTAACAATGACAGCCTTAGTCATGCATTTAAATAATTAATAGACTCAATTGGCTTCTGTCAGAGTGTAAATAAACCAACTAATTGTTTTAATCACACTCTTGACCTTGTTCTATCATATGGCATTGATATTGAACATTTAATAGTCTTTCCTATCTGACCATTATTTAATAACTTTTGAATTCATACTATTAGATTATAAGCCATTAGGCAAAACGTCCTACAGCAGATGTCTATCTGACAGTGCTGTAGCTAAATTTAAGGAGGAGATTCCTTCAGTGTTTAATTCAATGCCATGTCTGAATTTAACAGAGTCCTATAACAACTTTAGTCCCTCTGAAATTGATAATCTTGTCGATAGTGCTACAGGCTCACTACGATCAACATTAGACTCTATTGCTCCTATAAAAAGGAAATTATTAAAACATAGGAGACTAGCACCATGGTACAACCACCAAACCCGCCAGTTAAAACAAATCCCTAAAACAAAAAACATATCCCCATACACTTAAGTAGCAATGACTTCATGAGCTTCTTGTATAATAAAATTATTACTATTAGAGAGAAAATTAATCACCAACTGCCATCAACAGTTATCAGTGGCTCTCCAAGTTCAGGGAGTTCTGCCAATGTAAACTTAGATATATATTTAAACTGTTTTTCTGCTATCGATCTTCATCAGTTAACTTCAATCATTTCTTCATCAAAGCCATCAACTATTAGACCCGATCCCAACTAGGCTGCTTAAAGAAGTTGTTCCCTTAATTGGCACTTCTTTACTGGATATGATTAATCTTTCTTTATTATCAGGATATGTACCACAGTCCTTTAAAGTAGCTGTAATTAAACCCCTTCTTAAAAAGCCCACTCTTGACCCAGGGGTTTTAGCCAACTATAGACCGATTTCTAACCTCCCCTTCCTCTCTAAGATTCTGGAGAAAGTAGTCGCCAAAGAGTTGTGTGACTTTTTACATAACAATAGTTTATTTGAGGATTTTCAATCAGGATTTAGAGTTCATCACAGCACAGAGACAGCTCTGGTTAAAGTTAATAATGACCTTCTGATTGCTTCAGACAATGGACTTGTCTCTGTACTTGTATTATTAGATCTTAGTGCTGCATTTGACACCATTGACCATAATATTCTTTTACAGAAACTTGAGCATCAAATTGGCATTAAAGGAACCGCACTAACCTGGTTTAAGTCATATTTATCAGATCGCTCGCAGTTTGTACATGTTAACAATGAATCTTCAATAAATACTACAGTTAGTCATGAGTTCCACAAGGTTCTGTACTTGGACCAATACTATTTACTTTATATATGCTCCCTTTAGGCAACATTATTAGGAATCACTCCATTAACTTTCACTGTTATGCAGATGATACACAGTTATATCTATCAATCAAGCCCGATGAAATTAATCAATTATCTAAATTACAAACATGTCTTAAGGACATAAAATCCTGGATGACCTGCAATTTTCTGATGTTAAACTCAGAAAAAAACTAAATTCTTGTTCTTGGCCCCAAAAACCTTAGAGACTCACTGTCTAAAGATATAGTTACTCTAGATGGCATTAACTTGGCCTCTAGCACCACTGTCAGGAATCTTGGAGTTATCTTTGATCAGGATTTGTCATTTAACTCCCACATAAAGCCGACCTCTAGGACCGCCTTCTTTCATTTACGTAATATTAGAAATATTGGACACATACTATCACAGACAGATGCAGAAAAACTAATCCATGCATTTGTTACTTCAAGGCTGGATTACTGCAACTCTTTATTATCAGGTTGCCCCAATAAGTCCATTAAAACGCTCCAATTAATTCAGAACGCTGCAGCACGACTACTGACAGGAACTAGAAAAAGAGATCACATCTCTCCTGTACTAGCTTCTCTGCATTGGCTCCCTGTAAAATGTAGAATAGAATTTAAAATCCTCCTCCTCACCTATAAAGCTCTTCATGGTCAGGCCCCTTCATATCTTAAAGAGCTCATAGTACCCTATTACCCCACTAGAACACTACGTTCTCTGAATGCTGGGCTACTTATGGTTCCTATAGTCTCTAAAAGTAGAACAGGAGCCAGAGCCTTCAGTTACCAAGCTCCTCTCCTGTGGAACCAGCTTCCAGTTGTGGTTCTGGAGGCAGACACCCTCACCACATTCAAGAGTAGGCTTAAGACATTCCTCTTTGATAAAGCTTATAGTTAGGGCTGGATCAGGTGAGTCCTGAACCATCCCTTAGTTATGCTCCTATAGGCCTAGACTATCGGGGGATTTCCCATGGTGCACTGAGCTCCTCCCTTCCTCTCTCTTTCTGCACTCATTCATGTTCCATTAATGCATGTTACTAACTTCACTTCTTCCCCGGAGTTCTTGTGCTTTCTCGTCTCGCAGGTTCTTGTCGATCCTGGTGGAGCCTCCTGCCATGGTCCTGCTAGATTGCCATTGCCAATACTGTTGTTGCTGTGCACCTGTCTGCCTGTCTGTCTCTCGCTCTCTCTCTCTCTCTCTCTCTCTCTCACCCCAACTGGTCGAGACAGACGACCACCCACCTAGAGCCGGAGGATCTGTCCTAGGTTTCTGCCTTTTAACAGGCAGTTTTTCCTTGCCCTTGTCGCCAAGTGCTTGCTCATGGTGGTACTGTTGGGTCTCTGTATTTAATGTTTTAAAGAGTTTGGTCTAGACCTGCTCTATTTGAAAAGTGTCCTGAGATAACTTCTGTTATGAATTGCCGCTATACAAATAAAATTGAATTGAATTGAATCGAATATCCTGCTCATTAAGTGATTGGTAACATTAGGGTTTGGTCACTGAGGTCACACCACCAATTGGTATAAATTCAAAGCCTCTAAAAGTAGTCTTGAAGCACATGTCGCTCTTTGAACATGGCTAAGGTGAAGAAGGAGCTAACGAGTGAGCAACAGTTCGAATAAAGGCCCTTTTTGATGCTGGCTGGAGTTACAGCTGCATAGCAATGGACTTGAGATGCAGTCCAAGCACTGTAAAGAAGACTTTAGACCGCCATGATGCCACCAAGAGGTAGAAAAAAAGAAACTTTTAGACAGAAAAGTAAAGCATCTCAGAATTATCAGTCTTAAGGACTGACGAAAGACCTCACGAGAACTGCGTGACGAGATCAACACCACAGTGACTAATGATGCAACAGTGTCTTCAAGAACTGTGTATCGGAAACTGGGAGAAGAAAGACTTGTTGGCAGAATAGCAGCAAAGAAACCATTACTGAAAGAAAAAAAGTGAAAGAACACAAGAAAGGGGAAAAAGGAAGATTGGTATAAAGTGTTGTGGACTGATGAGTTTGAACAGTTTGGCAACAAGCGAAGAGTGTATGTTCGACGGAGGGAGGGGGAGAGATCTTGCCAACAGTTAAACACAAAGGGAGCAGTATTATGGTGACTTAGTGAAAAGTGATGGCATCCCAGATAAGAAAGTGTATGACAAGATTCTGGTGAAGCACAGAGTACCATCTGGGAGTCAACTTATTGGCCCTGGATTTATTTTCCAAGAAGACAGAACAAATCTGCTGGAACATTGAAAATGATGCATCGGCCCCCTCGAAGTCCGGACCTCAACCCCATCGAGCAAATTTGGGGCGAGTTGGAAAATAAACTGGACAGATGTATTGTACATTCAAAGGAAATCCTTTGGCTTGAGCTGCAGAAGGCATGGGATAACATTAGTACTGAAGTTCTCAGGACATATATTGACACTGTGCCAGAGAGATGTGCTGCTGTAACTGCTGCAAAAGGTGGACATACCAATTATTAAAATTAAAAGTGGATAACAACAGTAGGACTCACTTCATCTAATGTTTGTTGTGCTTAGAGCAACCATCTGAATTTTTCATGAACATTATGAAATCAAATCATGTTTTGGAGGCAAAAAAAGGCTAATATTTTCAGATCTGTCATGTGTTTTAATAATTTTGGCCACCACTGTATGTCACTTTAATTTTAGTAATGTTATGTATGTGATGTTATTTAAATACATTAAATTTATGTCAAAATAGGTCCTGTGTTTGTCAGTAGAGACTAAACGCTATGGAATGAATTAAAGGTCCAGTTCAAACCACAGATTCACAACAAGATTTTAACCGTTATAGAGCGATTCAGGGAAGATTTGCAGCGGTGTGAATTGGTTGTCTCAGCTCGACTCAAGCTGGTTGATGGTTTAGAACAAAAGGAATGTCAACAGCCAATCAGCTTGTTGCAAAGTCAGCTGGTAGAAATGTAGAAGAGTTCTGGACAGAGGAAAGAGAAGATCACCTCATCAATTAGTTTGAGCCTTAAAATGTACCCATGCACCCATGGATGGCTCTAAATTCTTGACCTTCTTATTTTATTGAGAGTTTTCAGTGTTAAGTAAGTTACTATTTTCATTTTATTTTCGGCAGTTAGAAGCACAGTCTCATCAGTTGGTGTAAACTGGCAGGTTTTGGAGTTTGGCCGACCAGTGCATTGACAGTAGCTTAGCAATTGTAGTAACTGGGCTTAGCATTTAGGATTTATTGTCAGAAATGGAACATAATATTCATAGGTACGTTTTCATCAGTGTATAAACACCTGAAAATAAGAATCCAGTGCCTGAAATGGGTGCTCACTGGTACTGAGTACTTGAGTACCCTTACTTCTTACTTGGTACCAACGCCTCTGGTAAACTTGGCCATAAACACCACTTACGTCACAGAGGTCCAGACCTGTGTATTGTTTCTAAGGGGTATACTATACATAATTTCCTAAAAATAACTCTGATGCATTGATGGGGGTAAACATCAAACACCCCTAGCAAGTTCAGTTTTGGAACTCTGTATTTCTAAAACCCTGCGTATGGTGTGGTGAGGTCCTCCTAAACGTATCTGCACATCTGCATCTCTGTGTACACACATAACAAGCTTAACACAAAGAAATCACTGAAAATGTCCTCATTAAAATCGATTTAAAAAATTTGGATTAAAGCCATTGCACACCAAGTCAATTTTTTTCTGTCCAAAACTGCTGCATTCGACCTCACGTTGTCAGTCATAATTACACATTAACTCCAAAACCATCATTAAAGTGTTCGAACTGTGTTTTTTCGCAGAAGTCAGATGAGGACAGCACAGAGAGAGAGGAAGGCTCCAGTGGAGAGAAACAAGGAAGGAACTAAGACAGTGAGCAACAGAAGCGAGCAAACGGCTCCTCTATCAGCAGGTCAAACTCTCTTTAGACCAAATTACTTTTCTCTTCTTTCAAGTGAGAGGACTACAGGCATCACTGCATCATGACTACTTAATTAAAAAAAAATATATATATATAATGCAGACCAAGAAAAGAAAATCTCAGAAAAACTCATCTCTGATCAATATTCACAGGAAATACTCTAGAACCTCCTCCAAATCCCTACAGTTACATTCAATAAAATTCAATTCAGTTTTATTTGTATTGCACCAAACTCTAACAGAAGTTATCTCAGGACACTTTTCAAATAGAGCCAATAGATTGCACTCCTTATAAAATGATTTACAATTTGTGTTAACTGTACAGTTTATCAGTTGTTCTGTACTGTTCTTGTTATGTATTGAATATCCATAAAATATGTCAGTCAGGGGTTTTCAGTTTACTCAATAATAGAAAAGGATTCCTTTAAGAAAAAAGGTTGTGAACCAGTAATCTAATGCAATGCAACAGATCTGCGGTAAAGTCTACCTTTATGAATATGTTTAAACTTATAAAGCAGAGTTTGTGGAAGCCATTTATGTTAATTATTGCCATGTCATATTCTTTTCTTTAGATATATCTTGCAGTATAATTTGGACACTTGTTGATCAAGCTGTTGATCATTTGATGCACAGGGTTGCGTACGTAGGGACATAGGTGACAGGAAAAGGAGAGGACAGGTACAGACAGCACACACAGTTGTCACCAGGGACAGAACAGAGAACACCTACTACATTTATCTCTTTCAACAACTACTTCACCAAATAACAAACTAAACTGCAAAAATGACTGGAAAAACACTGAGGTCACAGTGATGGTGTTGTACTGGACTGCATTATATTCAGAGTTGTTCCTAATATTCTGACCACCTCATGTTTGTAAAGGCTAGTTTCTAAAACACTTGACATACTTCTCAATACATATACAATACAGTCCACTGCAAATATAACCTCAATAATAAATAAATGAGACTGATCATTATTATCTTGGTTATCTATTTAATGTTTGTAAAGAGAGAATTTGGTTTCATTGGACTGTGTTTGATTTACCTAATAAAGTAAACATCCAATGTAAAGCTGACTACAGATCAGTCTGATGTTTCTTTGATACACTGGTGCAGGGTGGATCTTCAGGACCACATCAGTTTCAGCAGGTGGCGCTGTGGCTCTAACCCTGACCTCCTGCAGTAACCTGAGACCTGCTGCATCATGTATTACCGGGCAGACTGATGGAGAAACTTCAGGATGTGGATCAGACCGAATCAGGTTAATCCTGGTCTGAATACCACCCAGTTAATCTGGATTAAACCTGAGACCAAACAGGAACAAACAAACCGTTCAGGAAGGAAAAACCTGATCAGGATCGACTCACCTGAACCTCCGGATGCTGCTGCTGCCGCCGTGGTGGTCTGCTGCACGCCAACAACTCCTGCTGGAGGGGGGAGGACGGGGAGGTGAGAGTATCAGATGTTCTGGATGAATAAAACTTCTGTTTCCATCAGCTGAAGGAAACTTGACCAACAGAGTTTATTAGAAACAGACTCATGAAGGATCAGTGTCCTTAAAATCTGACAAAGAATCTTTACAAAGTAAAACATACTACACAGGTACAATTTATTTTAAAATTAAAACAAAGTAAGACACACTAAATAAGTACTGATTTATGTTGAAATGAAAGAGCATTTGAGCATTTATGTAAAGGTTATCTGTCTTGTATCAAATGATCTCTATCATCTTACATATGTTTAAGAAATAAGTTTAAGATTATAATAATTGAAGCTTGAATTTAAATATTTATGCAGGTTTATGCTGGAAGTTAAAGGTTAAAGGTCACAGTGTGTTTTAGCCTCTCACCCTCATCAATCTTATCCTGACTCTTGGAGTCATCATCATCTGGAAAGGAAAAAACATCCAACATTTATTGCTCTAATTAAAGATGATTTTAGAAACACTTTTAATATTTTATACATCATAAAACACATTTATTTACCTTTATCTATCTTTATTGCTTTCCTCAGTGAGTCTTTTTGTTTTTTTTCTATTTCTTCTTTGACAGTGGATTTACTTTGTTCTCTCTGAACAACTTCATGTTTCTTTTCTGTCATGTAACAGCGTTCATTATTATCTTTTCTGACATTTGTTTTCTTCTCTCTGACCTCAGATTTCTCAGGTTTACACAACTCATTCATAGAGACTGCTCTACCAAACAAATAAATAAAATTTCTCACTTTCAACAATATGGCAAGTATGTTCCTTTCTTCCTGTTTCATTACATCACATCCTTTGTGAGCTGAAGTCATCAGGAACCACATGAAGACAAATACAGTTGATCAGATATTTATTCATTCAGTGATATTAACGAACTTAATATCATATACTTAATATTAGAGTAGCCCTCTAAACTAAACCACCAAATATGTTGTCAGTTACTGTTGGTGATGATGACATTTGGGCTTCAAGTTATTATTTTAATCCCCTATTGTAAGTTTAGGAGACATTTGTTGTCATGCATTGAAGTCCTCATGAAGGTAAAATCAGTGTTTTTATCTCAGACATCTCCTATCCTCCAGTATCTGTCCAACAATGACACAAAGTCATTTCTTTTTCCTGAAAAACAATAAAAAGAGGTTGATGACTCATCCTGCACTCATCCAATCAAACGCTTTCTCTCTTCTGACGCCACTGGAGTGGAGTGTTTCTGAGGGCCGATGTGTTACAGACATCTATGGCCTGATTGCTGTACAAAGACCTATTTTATAGCTACATTAGCCAGCTAGCACTACTTAATAGCTACATTAGCTAGCTAGCACTACTTTCTAATGTATTCAGTGATTTTGGTGAAACTGGATCAAATTTTATGTAGAAAATATTTCCTGGTTTTCCCTCTGACATCCTCCGGCTGACAGATAGCTTTAGCTAAAGTAGCTAACTGCTAATTAACTGCTGCTAACTGTATCTGCCGTTAGCGGACAACAGATCTGGGCTCAGCAGCTGGACCGGGATTAAGCATAGCCTCTGAGACCGAAAGGGAATAACGGTACAGTACCGAGGTCTTTTACAGTTTTCTGATGGAAAGATTGATAAGTAGCCAACCACTAACTGTTGTTAGCTCTGTCAGAAGTGCAGCTAACATAACTGCCTCAGCCCCGGGATGCCAGGAGCCAAACCCGGCAAAATACCACCTCCGTAGTGGATTTGCTATAAAACTGGCACTCTCAGTCTCAGAGATTGTATTTGGTGCCGAGTCCAGCTGTGTTCACTGGAAGGTAGACGTTGATGCTAGCTCATAGTAGTAGCTCCATAGCACCAGCTCCATAGCTCTAACTGCATAGCAGTGGGTGTGTAACACACACTCAGTGCTATTGGCTACTGAAACATGTAAAAAAAACCCTGATATATACGTGTCCATAATCCTGCCCTACTGAAAAAAATCCTGCTAAATTTTCTAAAGAAGTCCTACCAGCCATTGTTCCCTGTCTTCTTTCTATTATCAATCAATCTCTCTTCTCTGGCTGCATTCCTGACTATTTCAAAGCAGCCAGCATCTTCCCCCTACCGGCCAATTTCCAAACTTCTACACAAAAGTTGTTGCTCTCCAAAAGCACAGCACTGGAACTGTACTACTTAAAGTAACAAATTATAATCTTATGTGTGCTGATAAAGGGGAATATTCCATGTTAGTTTTACTTGATGTATCTGCTGTCTTTGACTCCACTGATCATACCATTTTAATTTTGGCACTTCTGTTTTCACTGTATAGGTTACTTCTCGGTGATCTGCTGAACTCCTCGAGTGGTATATCAATACATTTCCATGCTGATGACACACAGCTTTACGGTTAAACCTAACCTTCTTTTACAACCTGGATGTCTCAAAATGTTCTCAGTTTTAACTGACAAAACTAAGGTCCTTGTGATTGGCTATGACTGTTTTTCTAAGGAGGTCAGTCCCTGTATCACGCCCCTTGTGTGCAACATCACATCTGCCTCCAGGAATCTTGATATTCTTTTTGACCAACATTTTAACTTATAACACCTGATATCTCAAAAATCAAACCCATATTATCAGCCAGAACATGGATCTTCTAGTACATAATCTTATTGTAACTCCCTCTTTACTTGCATTTCTCAGTGCTCTCCAGCCCGTCTTCAGTTAGTGCAGAATGCAGCAGCTATAGGCTGTCATCAGTCAAAACCTTCTACCTGTTTCCTGTTCATATTTTAAACCCAGAGGCAACCATACTTTCTCGGTTGTAGTGCATAAACGTTGGAACAGCCTCTGCTGAGCCATTTGATGTGCTGAATCTGTGGTTTGTTGCAAAAAAATAATTTCTATAGTTTAACCTTTTTATAACAACTTTCTGTTTGACTTGAGCTTTGTTTATTGATAGGCTTCAGTCTTGGTCAATGCATTATGCTTGTGTGTATGTCTGAATGTATACTTTATATTTTATTAATTATATGAAGCACTTAGCAGTCCTCTGTCTTCATGGTTACAATAATAACCACAAGATTATGGTTAGGTTATAGTTTGTTTTCCTTGACTTTTTTTGTCTTAATTAATCAATTGATTGTTTGGTCTAAAAATGTTTTTCCTACCCTCCTCCTCCTCGGACAGCTCCCCCTCCACCTCCTCTGTGGCTTCTACCTCCAGCTCCTCCTGCTCCTTCTCTGGAAAACACAACAAAAACTATCATTTTATCCTATGAGGTCTAATCAAATCAAATCAAATAATCAAAGGGTGTATTTTTACCCTCCACAGGAGCTGTAGACACAGTTGTTGCCAGAAAGACGACCATCGACAATATCAATAGGTTTCTGTCAGGACAGAGCAGATCTGATCAATACTGATCAATACTGACATCTGGTCAGTTCAAATTCTAATGAAACAATGAAAATCATAATTAATTAATACCAATAAATCTTCATCAGGAACCAAAAATCAATCAATATATTGCACTACCAGCCATACTATTCAATACAAAGAAGTGAGATTAGGAAATAATCAATACTGATAACTATTACTACAGTATATTGCAGTACTCTATTACTGCAGTAGTACAGAGTTTTGTAGTACTGTTGTATTACTGCAGTAGTACAGAGTATTGCAGTACTGTTGTATTACTGCAGTGAAGTTAAAGACAATGTTTCAGACAGTAATGGTTAAATTCATTAACATGTATACAGTATAATGTGGTAGTAATGCAGTGATAAATAGCAGTACAGAGTGGTACTCACGGTGGCAGCATGCTGCTGTTGGAGAGATTTTCTGTTCAATGAGAGAGACGCAGCAGAAGAGCTGCAGCTCCTCCTTCAATCACTCATATTTATACACACAGAGAGGGGGAGGGGCTGCTCTACTGCCCCCCGTGAAAACAAACACTACTAACTACTACTTATGTATTATGTAAATTATACCTCATGCATCCTCTGCAGGGGCGGCAGTAGCTAGTGTGTAGGGACCTTGCTTGGGAACCAGAGGGTCGCCGGTTCAAATCCCACATTCCACAATATGGAATGTGGACTGGTAGCTGGAGAGGTGCCAGTTTCACCTCCTGTGCACTGCCAAGGTGCCCTTGAGCAAGGTACCTAACCCCAAGAAACTGCTATGTGGCGAGCCCATCACTCCACCATCTGTCTCCCTGTTTCATGTCCACAAGTGCATGAAGTGTGCCTTTCAGCCTGTGTGTGTGTGTGTGTGAATAAAAAACTCTTGTTAGGAAATATTGTTTATGTTCTTGTGTTGATAATGCAGGATGGATTCTGATTGGCTGCTCTGTATGAAAGTGTTAACCTATTGGCCTGTTAGCCTGTTAGCATGTTAGCCTGTTAGCAACCACCAACTGCCTGATTTTCTCTGATGTCATGTAAACAACGATGAACTCACAAGATCAGGGCTGCTGCAGGTTTCAGTGCATCATGGGAAATGTCTGGCTCTCCCCTGATCTGACTGGTTGAGAAATTCTCTAATAATGATAACAATAATAATAGCAACAACAACAACAAACACATTTAGCTAATGTTACAATGAAGCTAATGGGACATGTATGAGGCAACGACTGTGAAATAATTTTGGCATTCAACTGAAAAAGGAAACACTGACACGCTTTTAATTTGATTTAAAAAATATATTTATGACTTCTAATGATTTTTTTATTAGTCTTTTTTTATGCTATTTTCCTGTGTCACAAGTTTTCAGGTTTAAATTCCTATGTGGTTTACATATCTGCATATTGATGAGGAAACATAACTCCTCCTCTGAACCCAACAGCCAGCTGAAGAGGTAAAAAAGGATGGAGCTGTAGTTATACGACAGTGTGTGACAATAATGTAATATAATATTCATAGGTATGTTTTCATTAGTGTATAATCACCTGAAAATAAAAATGGTTGTGTTTTCTTTCTTTCAGCTTCCTTTACTCCCACTCCTCTCCTCCTCTTCCTCATTTAAAACAGAATTCTCTTGTTGAGCTGAAAGATGAGATTCAGTCTGAAACTGAGACATTAAGAGATATGTAACATTCATATATCATACATTAATATACAATACCTAAAATATCAATAACCAATACCAAAAATATCAATAACCAATACCAAAAATATCGGTACACAATACCTTTGGCTTTGGTAGAGCAGGTCGTCCACCAATCCGAAGGCTGGTGGTTCGATCCCCGGCTCTTCCTCCAGCTACATGTAAAGTGTCCTTGAGCAAGATACTGCCCCTGATCAGTGTGTGAAAGGGTGAATGTGGTTGTAGTGTAAAAGTGCTTTGAGTGGTTGGAAGACTAGAAAGGAATACAGTCCATTGACCTCAAATGTTAATACACAATACCAAAAGTATCAACACACTCCCTTAAATATTAATATACGTATGGAGAACAAAAAGTAATAAGAAAATGTTTACTGTCAAATTATTGGACTTCCTAAAACTTAGGAAATAAAGTTAATATTAATAATATCCTTATTGTCACTAATAAATTCATCAAATAGTACAGCACTGACCCCTGTCCTGTATCTATGGCATTGACTTCTGTCCTATATCCGTCCTGTCCACTATTGTCTGTAGAATTGTATGAAATTTTACACACCCATGCATTGTGGCTTTATGTACAACATTCCCATATCTTAACTTAACCCTTATGCCCCCCTTGGGCATTTTTGTACATTTTCCTCAACTTTCTTTTTTTTTGATTTGGTGTTCATTTTGGCTGGGTTACAGCTTTTGGCATGAGTTTTTGCAAAAACATTTCTTTTTAGTAAAATTTTTGAAATCCAATGTCTTTTACTCTTACATGTCTTTTATACTCTATTGATGCATTTTGCACCCTCTGGACATGTTCGTGGCAAAAATGTACACGTCCAAAAAACTACCATTAAATTATCATACATCAATATTTTTTCTGCTTTTCTTTTTCATCACTTTAACAACTTCAAACTTGCTCAAAACTACTAAACATTAAATAATTTTAAGGATTTTAACCGTTTAATTGCCAGTTTAGTTATTTGAATGATTAAATATTTATTACAAAAAATGAATTATTTTCCATATTATAAATAGTAGGGGGATGGGACATTGCTGGTGATTAGAGTCTTGGATATGTCAAAGATTAGCAACAAAATTGATTTGATTGCATTAGTATTTTTTATGTAGTGCCAGATACTCCCTCTGGACACCTTCGTGGCTAAAAATGCCTCATTGACTTCCACTAAAACCACGTTTTAATCGAACTGCCATTACAGTATAAAACCATACATTCTGTAATGTCAGAGAGAGAGAGAGTGTGTGTGAATCTGTAATCACGCACTGATCATTTCAGGGGTGAAAAAATGGCCTTTGCTGTACGCAATAACAAAAACAACTGTTAGTGTGTTTATGTACCTGGCTCCTTCAACCAATGATAAACATGTAGCTTGGCTGAGGGAGCAGAGAAGGAGAAAGACCTGAAGTACAGAGAAGGAGCAAAAATTGAAAAGGCATTTCAGTGCAGAAGAGGCTTTAGAAATGGTCATGCAGCCTTTATCTGCCAGTGAGCTGCAGGACTCATCTGAAGCAATTCAATTCAATTCAATTCAATTTTATTTGTATAGCGCCAATTCATAACAGAAGTTATCTCAGGACACTTTTCAAATAGAGCAGGTCTAGACCGAACTCTTTAACATTAATTACAGAGACCCAACAGTACCACCATGAGCAAGCACTTGGCGACAAGGGCAAGGAAAAACTGCCTGTTAAAAGGCAGAAACCTAGGACAGATCCTCCGGCTCTAGGTGGGTGGTCGTCTGTCTCGACCAGTTGGGGTGAGAGAGAGAGAGAGAGAGAGAGAGAGAGAGAGCGACAGACAGACAGACAGGTGCACAGCAACAACAGTATTGGCAATGGCAGTCAAGCAGGACCATGGCAGGAGGCTCCACCAGGATCCATGAGAACCTGCGAGACGAGAAAGCACAAGAACTCCGGGGAAGAAGTGGAGTTAGTAACATGCATTAAAGGGACATGAATGAGTGCAGAAAGAGAGAGGAAGAGAGTAGCTCAGTGCACCATGGGAAATCCCCCGATAGTCTAGGCCTATAGCAGCATAACTAAGGGATGGTTCAGGACTCACCTGATCCAGCCCTAACTATAAGCTTTATCAAAGAGGAATGTCTTAAGCCTACTCTTGAATGTGGTGAGGGTGTCTGCCTCCCGAACCACAACTGGAAGCTGGTTCCACAGGAGAGGAGCTTGGTAACTGAAGGCTCTGGCTCCTGTTCTACTTTTAGAGACTATAGGAACCACAAGTAGCCCAGCATTCAGAGAACGTAGTGTTCTAGTGGGGTAATAGGGTACTATGAGCTCTTTAAGATATGAAGGGGCCTGACCATGAAGAGCTTTATAGGTGAGGAGGAGGATTTTAAATTCAATTCTACATTTTATAGGGAGCCAATGCAGAGTAGCTAGTACAGGAGAGATGTGATCTCTTTTTGTAGTTCCTGTCAGTACTCGTGCTGCAGCGTTCTGAATTAATTGGAGCGTTTTAATGGACTTATTGGGGCAACCTGATAATAAAGAGTTGCAGTAATCCAGCCTTGAAGTAACAAATGCATGGATTAGTTTTTCTGCATCTGTCTGTGATAGTATGTGTCTAATTTTTCTAATATTACGTAAATGAAAGAAGGCAGTCCTAGAGGTCTGCTTTATGTGGGAGTTAAATGACAAATCCTGATCAAAGATAACTCCAAGATTCCTGACAGTGGTGCTAGAGGCCAAGTTAATGCCATCTAGAGTGACTATATCTTTAGACAATGAGTCTCTAAGGTTTTTGGGGCCAAGAACAAGAATTTCGGTTTTTTCTGAGTTTAACATCAGAAAATTGCAGGTCATCCAGGATTTTATGTCCTTAAGACATGTTTGTAATTTAGATAATTGATTAATTTCATTGGGTTTGATTGATAGATATAACTGCGTATCATCTGCATAACAGTGAAAGTTAATGGAGTGATTCCTAATAATGTTGCCTAAAGGGAGCATATATAAAGTAAATAGTATTGGTCCAAGTACAGAACCTTGTGGAACTCCATGACTAACTTTAGTATTTATGGAGGATTCATCGTTAACATGTACAAACTGAGAACGATCAGATAAGTATGACTTAAACCAGGTTAGGGCAGTTCCTTTAATGCCAATTTGATGCTCAAGTCTCTGTAAAAGAATATCATGGTCAATGGTGTCAAATGCAGCACTAAGATCTAATAATACAAGTACAGAGACAAGTCCATTGTCAGAAGCGGTCAGAAGGTCATTATTAACTTTAACCAGAGCTGTCTCTGTGCTATGATGAACTCTAAATCCTGACTGAAAATCCTCAAATAAACTATTGTTATGTAGAAAGTCACACAACTCTTTGGCGACTACTTTCTCCAGAATCTTAGAGAGGAACGGGAGGTTAGAAATCGGTCTATAGTTGGCTAAAACCCCTGGGTCAAGAGTGGACTTTTTAAGAAGGGGTTTAATTACAGCTACTTTAAAGGACTGTGGTACATATCCTGATAATAAAGAAAGATTAATCATATCCAGTAAAGAAGTGCCAATTAAGGGAACAACTTCTTTAAGCAGCCTAGTTGGGATCGGGTCTAACAGACAGGTTGATGGCTTCGATGAAGAAATGATTGAAGTTAACTGATGAAGATCGATAGCAGAAAAACAGTCTAAATATACATCTAAGTTTACATTGACAGAAGTCCCTGAACTTGGAGAGCCACTGATAACTGTTGATGGCAGTTGGTGATTAATTTTTTCTCTAATAGTAATAATTTTATTATAGAAGAAGCTCATGAAGCAGACACAAGCTTCGAGGGGGAGTCT